GAGGAGCTATTCACTGAAATTTTCACTGAAAGTGAAAAATTCGAAATTTTAGAAAAAGTATCAGGGTAACATGACAATCGAGGAGTTATTCACTGAAATTTTCAGTGAAAGTGAAAAATTCGAAATTTTACAAAAAGTATCAGGGTAACATGACAATCGAGGAGTTATTCACTGAAATTTTCACTGAAAGTGAAAAATTCGAAATTTTAGAAAAAGTATCAGGGGAGCATGACAATCGAGTAGGTATTCAGTTTTTAAACAATAATTCGATTGATTTGCCATTAACAAAAAAAAATTGGAATTATTATGAAAAAAAAAAAATTGAATGATGCCGGAATCGAACCCGGGCCGTTGGCGTGGTAGGCAAGCACGTTACCGCTAGGACAACGCATTATTTCAATAATAAAAATTCATTAGGCATATATATTTTGCAAAAGTCTCTTTTTAAAAAATTCCAAATTTGTCAATTTCGCTGGATATCTTCTCGATTTTCAAAAATTCAGTTTTTAAAGGTTATTTCCATTGATTAGCCATTCATAAAAAAAAAAAAATTGGAATTATTTTGAAAAAAAAAAATGATTAATGCTGGTATCGAACCCAAGCGGTCCGCGTGCCAGTCAAGCGTGTCGCCAATTAGACAACGCGCTCATTATGAAATTATAATTTCATTAGTGGTATATCTTCAATATATTGAATAATTTTTTCCATTGAAATTCCACAAGATGTGGTTTCCCCCTTCCGCTCGTTCTACAGCCGGCTAAATTTCAGTTAAACAATTAAAAACAAAAAGCATTCATACCGCAGAAAATAAAATTCACCCCGTCGACTTGATGGACACCCCAGCATTGCAATAAAAACTTGGTTAATAAAAAAAACACCCCCGCATTGCGTTTGGCGCCCTCCCTCTCTTGGGGTGCAGTACTACGATGCCACTGGGGTCACTCAAATCCCCAGAACTGATCCTCTACTTTAGTCAATCCTCTTTGGATGTATCGATACTTTTTTTTTCTCCACGGTTGCGCACCTTTTCCAATTTACAGCGCACGCGTGGATTTCAGTGGTTTTTGTCGGAAGATTTTTCCTGATTTTCCCCTTTGAATTGTAGGTTATCGTAGCTCTCATTTCTCCATTGCTGATTTTTCTTTGAACGTCCAAGAATGTTAACTATTTTTATCCTTAATACTATATATTTCAATTGTGATGTTCTAGTTGGGGAAGTCTGCAGAAATTTAAAAGTATATACTCGTCGGGTGGAGAAACCTACAATAAAATTATCTCCGGGATATTGACAGCAGGTGATTGGATATTAGTCTTGGATGTGACTCATTTTCAGCTGCCGAAGGTTCATTAATTTTTGACGTCACGAGAAAATTTTCAATATGTCAAAATCATCGAGAGGTTGAACAATCGATTTTGATGACTGCTGCTGCAGTTTTGGAATGCCAAGTGAAACAAAACGGTGACAATTTTTTCATTTGCTATCTGTCAATAAATTTCTATCCACTTTATATTCTCACGCAATTTTCAATCGATTTCTCCGAAAAAATGAGTAGAATTTTTTTGTAGAATTCTAATAAAAAGTCATAATAATTTTCATAGAATTCCAATGGAAATTCAATGAAATTCCTCAGAGAAAGCCGAGGGTTGTCTATTAAATTTAATCAGTACGCTTCAATTACAGAGTATCTTTATTACTCTTCAAGTGGCACAGCAACGAATGCTCCTTCAAAACGGAAAAGGCTCTAGGAGCCTTTGTACGGTGACATTGAGTAATAACAATGTCCAATGTACAATTAAGCAGTACAGCACTGCAGCACATTGCAAGTGCAAGAGGCCAAAACCAGGTTAGCGCCTTCTATACACCGCTCACTTCGTTTGCTGGTAAGATCAACAAAAAATTCATTACCCAAATGCCACGTGTGTAAACACCAGTACAATATCAATATTTAATTAAATATTTTTTCATCATCAGAGATGTGGTATCAAATATTCTTGTGGGCGTTATTCTCATCGATATTTGTACACACAATTGCAGCAGCAATTTGTTTTGCAACATTGAGAAAACATAAATATGGAAAGTAAGTTGAAATTAACTCAAATACATTCAAACAATTTATTGATTTGAATAAAATAAATCCTTCTTTTATAATATGAAGTAATTTCCATTGAAACAAATTTATTCATTTGTAATAACTATTTCTGCGTAAAATTTTAGATAAGTCTTTAATTATTTTGTTTAGATTCTTTCCATTATTGATTCTAATAATGGGATTTCTACTGCCACTCACGTCTGGCGTTCTAAACTCAGCAACAGTCGCATTTGTCTATCGTGCATCGAGCTATCAAATGCCACCGCTGTATGCACTTTTCTGGGGAATTGGACAAACGGTTTTGGCCGGCTGCATCGGTTTCACGAGAATCCTGGCAACTCTGTAGATCCTCCAGTGCATTGAAAAAAATCGAAACAAGAGTGCAGCATTAATGATTAATTACAGCAACTGTAAATCTTGAAAATGGTCGATCATCTCCAGCTGATTTGTCAGTCGACATTCCTTCAACCTAGTTCATCAATTTATGACTGCATCCAGTGATGATGTGAATCAGTTAATTTTTATATTCATTCCTCATTTATTATCCCTAGCCTGCGTTTTGCTCAATTTGAGGTTACGCCCATTCGATGTCACGCATTTTCATGTTGAGTGATTTTTACCATATTCTATTTTATCAAATCGTTCGAATTCTTTATTGAGTCTTCTTTCTCGTTAAAAAATCGTAATCCCCACTGGCTGCAGTACTTCAAATTCAATTTTAAAATACGAACGAAAGAGTTTAACTTAACAATTATTTCATTGATCGGAAGGAGAAAAAAAATAATTCATCATTCGATGCTTTTCGGTCATCTTAACTGCATAAAATTTCCGTCTAACTGTACAAACAAAAGAAAAAAAACATAACGATGTTTTTCCCTTATATGAATCGTCAATATTCGTACAAAGTTTTTTCCAGACTAAAGTAGCAGAATGCTTGTAAATTCGTAGGATCTCGCATGATCTGAATATATGGAGGATAAAGTGAAGAGCCACGGATGAAAATATTTTATATAAACTCCAACCAATTCATTACAAAATTCCCTTTCATTTCTATTACACTTTCTTCTTCTTTTTTCGACTGATTCTACTGAAATATCCAGTAATAAAAATGCAATAGAAATCCAATAGACTTTTCTATCGAGTTCGTTGGGTTTTTTTATGAAATTTTTCATCCGTGATATCAGAATATTGAGTCCGAACAATTGTACCATCCTTCTTACCTCGTAATTGTGTCCACAACATGAAATATGTAAACGTAATGTATATAAAGTCGATATTCGTTGGATTAATGTGGTGAAACCGATGTATAAAATCACCAATGACTTCATTAGATGCATATGTATATGTATATACCACGATAGCCAGTTTTTAAATATGAGAAATAAATGAGATGGTTATTAACGAGACAAAAAATTGTAAGAACTGTTTCGTTCGCTGGATGAAATAAAATAGTCTTCTCAAGAGATCTTTATTAGATAATTTTCAATTTTCCCTCATGATTTTCTTTTCATTTACAAATTTCATTATGAAAACTTCATTGCTCATATATTTTTCCTCGTTTTCTCCACAAAAAGTTAAAGTTCACTCGGTCAAATTCCTGGAAGATCGGCTCGAAAAATGAATTTTCACGTGCGCAAGCGTCCAGAGCGTAAAAAATACCTCGAGGTAGACTGGACCTGGCAAAAAATCCTGAAAAAATGCCCAACTCGAAGGCACAAGCAATATTCAAGAGACGGTGATATGTGACTGAGCTAATTTCCCGAGATATTGACATACAATCGAGAATGTTGTGATACTAATTAATCCCCATTCCCTCGAATCGTCGCACTCTTCCGGCAGTATCGATTATATCGCTCTGGTACCGCAAATATCCTGGGAATAAATATCTCGAGTTGATGTCCGTCCCCTGACGAAGTTAATATTCACAGTAACTGGATCTCGCGACCAAAAATGTGCAGTAAGTCAACTCTCAATTAAAAAATAATCGAAAATTTAATCGAAATTCAACAGAATTTTCAGAGTATGGACTATTTTTATATTTTTACTCATTGAATTAATTTTCTGAGGATATCACTCTGTTTTCTCGATATATTCCTCCCATTTCCATTTTTATATTTTGATTACAGATAGTCATTCGTCATCAGCTGAAATAATCTGTACCAATTGCCAGCATCAGTGAGCAATAAATCGGATTGTTCGAGATGGAATTGAGAAGAGGATCTTTGATAAAGAAATTAATTCTTATCATCTGTTTTCTCCTGATCCTTGCGTGGATAATATTGAACGATAATTCATGCCTGTTTGGAGGTATCACCCGAAAAATAACTCTCCAGAGAATACGCCTGACTGGATTTCAGGAAATTCACTTGAAGCGGACAATCGAGGAGATCAAGGTCGAGGAAATTCCACTCAATGAAGTTCTCAATGCAGAAGTTGTCAATGTGACGAGTAAAGTGCAACTCGTGCCGTTGTGGACTAATAACGATAGTTTGACCGATGGAATCGATGTATCACCTAAATACCAAATTCTCAAGCAGCAGGGGCTCATACCAACTAGACAATTACCGAGTGCTCTGATTATCGGAGTGAAGAAAGGTGGGACGAGAGCACTTTTGGAATTTTTGAGACTTCACCCCGATATCAGGGCTGCTGGCTCTGAAGTTCATTTTTTTGATCATCATTATCCCAAGGGATTTCACTGGTACAGGTAAGAACGATTGGAGACTACTAAATAACCCAATAAATTAATATAATGTGTATTTGATTATCTTGGTCATTTTTAATGAATGGTAGACATCGAATGCCACCGACTTTGGAGGGTCAGCTGACGATGGAAAAGACTCCCTCATATTTTATAACAGCAGAAGCGCCGAGAAGGGTTCAGCTCATGAATCCAGGGACAAAGCTCATCGTCGTGGTGCGAGACCCAGTGACAAGGGCCATCTCAGACTATACTCAAGTGAAAAGTAAACGTCTGACTCTACCGAAATTTGAGGAGAGAGCCTTTATAAATGGATCTCAGATCGTCGACACCAACTGGGCTCCACTGAGAATTGGCGTTTACGCTCGATATCTAGAGCGGTGGCTGCAGTATTTTCCCCTTTCTCAATTGCTCTTTGTGTCTGGAGAGAGATTAATTGCTGATCCTGTTTTTGAAATCACGAGAGTTCAGGATTTTCTGGGGCTCAAACGAGTCATTTCAGAGAAACATTTTTACTTCAATTCAACCAAGGGCTTTCCTTGCTTGATGAAATCTGAACAAAACGCCGCGCCACATTGTCTAGGTATGAGAGAAAAAATAATCCATTCGAAAATACATGATTTATTTGTTCTGATAATTGTCTTGATGCATACAAAATTGAATTCGCGTATTTTTAAGGGAAAACCAAAGGTCGGAGTCATCCTCGCATCGAGCCAACAGCAATCGAACGGCTTCGAGATTTTTACAGGCCTTTTAATCAACGATTCTATCAGCTGACAGGCATCAACTTCGAGTGGACCTAATGAGTTATCCAAATTAATGAGTAAATGCCCTTAACATATCCTAGATTATCCAAAGAGATTAATTTTGTAGCGAAATGTGAAAAACAGAGTCCACCCACCTCTTGAGTTTTTCGTAAATATCTTCGTAACAAACGCAGATGATAAAATTTTCATAGAAACCTTTCCTGCAGAGCTGATCAAGAGCTGTGAAAAAATTTTTTACAAAAATTTTTGTATCAGCCTCCCTTTCGGAGATATTTTCGAAAATCTTCACCTCTTTTACCTCTGCTATTTCGTTACTGAATTTTTCGCTTATTAATAATTTCACTGGATCATCTTTAGCAAAATGATCGCATTGATACCAATTATTCCATTTATTTATCCCTGAATTATACTTAAAGGGGGGAAAATAAAAAAGAAAAAGCTATAGAATACTGTAAAGTAAATCATATCATAAGAAATCGAAGTAAAATCGAGTAACGAGAGAAGAAAAACTGCACGCTTTTGCTCAATTCACAGTGACTACATGTACAAAATTGTTATTGTAAATATTCACGGATAGAAGTTGTAAATACCCATAACAATGCAAATAGGTGTAAGAAATTTTCGAGTTAACGAATTCGAATGAAAGCTATAGCAATATCGAATAGACTGATGCATATAAATTTGGGTAAACCATTAATAAATATCAGTATTACACAAATTGTAGTTTTTGGAAATATATATATTTCTGTCAACAGAATATGCGGCCTTATCTCCCCGTTCTCTTAATTTTCCCACAGTTTATTTCCCTTTTTACAAAATTATCACAGTATTTTTGAGTACTGAATGTATCTACGAATTTACTACTGAGAAAATATCAGCGCGTGAGAAAATTTAATAGAAAAACTCAATAGAAATGACGAGATCTTTCTATTAAACTTTCTAGAGTTAATAAACGTCCTCTAAGTATCTGTAGAGTAAAATTATTATTGATTAATGAATTAACAATTAATGGATGTACATGGCATTACGAGGACACGGACTAATATATATTCTGTAACAACGTCCCCTACGACTATCTACTCTGATATCTTCAAATAAATACTGCGTGCATAAATGACAATTTTCTCATCATTTCGTTAAATACTAATCACAGAGCCGACACTTAAACTTCAACTCCATACTCACGATTAACAAGTTGAGCCAGTTTCAAAAAAAGGGGAAGTATTTCATTATCCAAACGTCAATAATCACCGAATTTGTGTCAATATCATAATTTCCAGTGCCACTTCCCTCTAATTCCCATTTATCTCGAATACTACCGGTCTAAGACAAAAAACACTAAATAACTTTCTCATAGCAGATTAAATTCTGGCCAAAAAACATTATCCCACATTTCCCCCTAAATCCAACAGTTTAAGAGATAAATCGACATTTAAAAAACTTAAAACTCCTCTCAATCCCATTGCTCCCTCGTAATTGATTCCTACAATTAAACAATGCTGACGGTATTTCACGTAGAAATACGAGATAACGAATGATTAAACATCTCACTGCATTCTCAAGGCCACTGCATCCATAATTATTCGTGATTGATCAATAAAACTGTTTGATCATGAATACCGCAATCGTAATTATGGAATATTATGTACAAATTTAAAGGACGAGAATTTTTTTTTCACGCGATCGATGGATTGCTCTTTATCGGCTTGAGGTAGCCCCTTTCCTTGAGAAGATCATCGAGAGCCTCTTGTGTATAATAAACAATTAAATGGGATGGCTCGACTCCCTCGAAAACAGCGTAAACCGATGGCTTGAGGTTGTAAAAAAAAAGGGGCTGTTTTCTCGCAGCAAAATCCTTCGTCAATGTTTCGATGACAATAGCGGCTGTGTAATCAGCCCCATAAATGTGAGAGCAATCAATTACCACTGGTGTTACAGAATTACCCACACGATGACTATATTTTGTCACCAAATTTCTAACGTAATCGACTGACGGAAAGATAAGACAACGATCAGGCGTCAACATAAGATACTCGACGCCACAGCAACTCTGAAATCATTAATAAATCATGAGTAAATCATGAATAAACCATTGAACTAATAAATCTGATCTTATTTTCATAATTTGCATCAATATATCAAATTTATTCAACTCAATATCAATGAAGAAACAATAAAATTCAATGGATCTGTTGCAAAAACATTTCGAAAGGAAAAAAACGATTTCTCGACTGCATTTAGTGGAATTTAATGGAAATAACTAGAAAATTGAAATAGCGAGCGATAATCGTTCAATAACAATTGTTTTCATCGTAATTGCTTGAGAGATAATACGGAGATTATACTCACTCGTAATTTTTCTAAGGAAATCTTCGGCCTCGCTGCGTGGTACAGGATGAACAACACATTTAGACCAATTCCAACGAGAATACCGATTTCTAATTGGAGCACTAGACATGCTACAAATGTGGCGATACCTGGCACCAAGTCCGTCTCTATGGCAAATAAAAAAGCCAATTGTTGTTAATTTATTTTCTTCTTAAAGTAGGAAATGTCAATTTATCAACCTGAATAAACTGAATTTTTATTGAGATAAAATTATTCATTAGCAGCGTCAAAGAAATCGTAATCTTCTCGTTAATGACACGTCTAGTGCAATTTTGCTGAATAATTGCACCATGTCTCAAGGTAATCATGTTGATGCAAGTGTCACACTTTTTTATCACGTGCATTTGATATTTGAACATGGAGCGCGTGACTCTCCCCCTCCATGTGAAATACCTTTGTATAATTTACATGTTTATTGATAGGGTCGTACACCTTGTACGCTTACTACTGATTACATGCTCTTGTATAATTAATTCTCATACATAACGATCATAACGATTTTACGTTGAAGAATTTCTGGGGAAGAAATGCTTTCAGTTCGCGGATTAAACATTTTTGACAAGATCTCACTCACTTTTCGTCCTCCACATGGGCTTTATCACTTTGACTTCAACCATAAAGATAACTGCCGCTATTATTATTGCTGCCAAGCATGCCTTTGGTATGTAGTAAAAATATGGTGTAAAAAATAATAGCGCCAGAATGACCAGAATGCCTGTAGAGGGAAAAAAAAGTAGAAGTAGTAGAATGTGTCGTAAAGAGCATCAGAGAATAATCCATGAAAAAAATAATAAAATAGAATGGAAATTATTGGGTTGGAGGGAATTGATTGATTTTTATGATTTACCTGTGTAAAGTCCACCGAATGGTGTTCGAACACCCGATGCATTATTGACGGCACTCCTGCTGAGCGATCCAGTCCCCGGAAATGCCTGAACGAATGAGCTCCCGATGTTCGCTATTCCTATCGCTATTAATTCCTGAGTAGCATCCACGGATTTTCCATTTCCTGAATAATCAACCGACCAATCCAATAATCAGCTAAACAATTTTCAACTATGATAATACCAAGCGTACATCACACAAAAATGTCATTTCAATCAATTAGAAATATTTATTTGACATCTATTCCCAACAAGTTGTTACGAAAGAGTCAGAATTGTCCAGTTATTCCAATGAAAACAACTTAATTATAACAAAAAGAATTTATCCAACTCAAACGATTATTTATTTGACGTGAGGATTTTTTTTTAATGAAAAATTTCCTCGAGGACGGGATAGATTTTTCAATAAAATTCAAGTGGATGTGCTCATTGGGCTGATATTTACCGAAGGCTTTGCAAATTGCGACGTCTTCCATCAACGCAATCAGTGGCAGTACGAGTAATCCACTTCCCAAATTCGAACACATGTCGAAGAACGAAACTGTTGTGTTGTCTTCTCTGGTATAGCCAAATGGTGGTAATTGAACTATTGGCATTCCACTGGGTATAGGTCCTAGAACCGAGCTCATAAAAATTATTGCTTTCAATTAAATTTCATTTATTATATATTGTTGCTCACCAATTAATTTTAAAGGGGAATTATCAGAGAACCAGAACCCTAAAAGGCCACACAAAATAACGAGAATGGCATTCCGAGATGTTCCAGCTAGCCACATAATTTTTGTTAATATTCTGTGACGTCGGGTTCTGAGGTCATCATCCTCTGGACCAATTCTTGTCGATGCCACTACCTGATAATTATCATAAAGATAATTTCATTTTTTTCTCTCATTAAAATTCTCATTAATAATTACCCTGAGGAGAAGAAGTAAAGCAATGCAACAACAGCCGAGTACAGTGTCCCACGGTTGAATCCCATGTGTTCTCATACTCTCAGACAAACTTTTCCACAATTGTATGAATGTTGCACCTTTTGCTGGAATTCCAAGAATGTCTTTAATCTGCGTGCTGACGATAATCAACGCGACAGCCGAGGTAAATCCCGAGCTGACTGGTCCAGACACAAAGTCGATGAGAAATCCTGCATTTATTCAAGAATAAATATATACAAAGTTATATATAACAAGCCAGTTGTCACGTGCAATATGATAATTTCCTCCTAGGAATAATGAATATTTTCAAAATACCACTCAGAGTCTGAAACGAAATGTTCATACTCTGGGGATTCGTCACGGATAATTAACGAGATTGTCCATAAATTGTTGGAGAATTCCTAATCTTATTTTTTTTTTACTCCGCATTAAGCATGATTTACCTAGGCCAAATACGCCCATAAATAGCTGGACGACTCCACACAGGAAACAGAGAAGTATCGCATGCAAAACTTTTTCCTCAAGTTGAGCAACTGCTTGATACGTGAGTAATGAGACTATCGCCGTGGGACCGAATGGTATGTCCTTGCAAGACCCGAATATTATGTAGATAATGCAGCCCAAAAAGCTACCGTACAGTCCATACTGCAAATCGAAATATCATTGTTACAATAAATATTCGAAAAGCCATGATTATTTTATTTTTATTGAACATCCATCCAAATTCGTTGAAAATTCATTAAAAATTCCCTTCCGAGTGTGAAAATGCAAAATTAATACGTAATGCATAATTAATAAATAATGATTAATAATTAATTATAAACATGTCTCAATTGGTGCTCGATCATCTCTGGAGAATGGGCTCTCGGTCTTTTCTCATTCATCATTCGGTGATTTTTTTTACAACGATGAGAGTACGGAGAAATCCTGATAAGATAGTAATGAAAGCAATGTCAATTACCTGAGGAGGTAATCCCGCGACATTTGAATAGGCCAACGATTGAGGTATGACAGTGAGTCCAACAGTGATACCAGCAACGATATCACCGATTGCATCATCTCCGTTGTATTTGGGCAGCCAATTGAGCACTGGTAATCTTTTGTAGAGCATCTTCTTGGTGCATACCGATTTCAGTCGATGTCCCGCGTACTGAAACGCCGATTTGAAGACACTATCTTTTTGCTTCACCTCGTCATCTCCTGGTTCCTCCACCACTGATTTTAAAATTGGTTTTATCATTTTTTTTTATCGGAATTCGCACGAAAATTGAATGGAAACAGGTGTTGAATCAAGAGAAATTATTCCCACCGTATCAATTTATTGCAATTGCACTCACTTTTCGGATATCCTCATAGTATGCCGATAAATAAGTTGAATGACATTATCATATTGATAAATAAATGGTAAACTAGGATAAGTGGATTTTTTTCGAGGCCGATTTTCAGCCGATATCCCGAAATCGAAGGGAGATAACGATTTTTTCATAGACACCATTTCTCTAGCTCTCATTTTTATGTATAAAAAATATTTGTATGAAAAATTCGGTATGCTTCTTCAATCCGGAGATATTCGCAAAAAATTTATCCCAGGTCGAAATCTCACTCCAGAATTAACGATTTTTCAATAAAAATAGGAAAAAAAAAACTTACAAATGAAATCGAAGGAGCCCTGCATGTCAGAATTTGTTTGATCGCTGGAATTCCTCAAGACCTGTGAATTATTCGAATTATGGAGATCAAGATTTTCCTGAGAGCCATGCATTCCCTGATTCACGTAACCGCTGATTGACTTGTCAGTGACAGTCATATTGACACTCTTGCCGTTTCTCATTGTTGACAGTTGTCTTCTACAACTACTGTCCTCTTCGTTCTTACCAATATGTGCTGCTAAGATTTTACATCCCTTCCCCCTGTGAAAAATCATTGGGCATTCAGTTAATCACCAGAAACGTCAATAGCTTTGTTATTTGCATTTTTTGTCGCTACAAATCACAAGTGAAAAACCGATAATCCCGGGATTCTCCATGAAATTTATAAAAAGTCATGCACATCGATTGAGGAGGTATTCCGCATTCCTTCATGATTCTAATTACGAAGGTAATGACGAGTCAATTGTTCTCGTTATCTCCCGCGTTTTTTTCAGTTAATTAATTAAATTAATTGAATCGCTGAGAAATTCGCAAAAAAATTGATCATTCCGAAAAAAATAAAATCGCAATTCAATGACCTTGTGGAAATGCATCGATCAACTATCGGCACAATAAATTACACGATCGTTCATTCTGATACGAATGAATAGACTACATGCACTGCGATTTACAACTGCGCGTCTCCATTTCTCTGGCAATAAACTCTTTTTTTTTTCAAGACTTTCTCTTTCCCCGTTAATCTATGACCGTTAATGGAGCAAAAAATAATTAGTGGAATGCATTTCATATGTTATCCCTGAGGACATCCAAGTGGAGCAGTCCCTGATTTTAAATTCGCATCAAGAATTGAATTCCCGTTTTTTTATTTTCAATTGATTTCCTTGAAAAATCGATGTAAGCGTCAGAAAATTAATTTTCCGTTCCGCCTGTGAAAATTTTGTAATTGAACTTTTGATCCTGCGGACGAAAAACATTTCCCGAATATTCGAGAACTTCCCGAGAGTTCCTTGGAATAAATAAATCCGCATCAACCGTTGGACCCTAAAACATTTATAAAACACTTTCAAAATAAATCCCTTGATGTTTCATCCACACCCGGACAAATCCTCAATTAATCCCATCAATTAGTCCACGAATAAAAGAAAATATCACACCTCCAGTTAATGACACACTTATCAGCACGTGACTCGGAAAATAAAGCCTTATCTAAAAGCAATGACGTAGAGTAAATAGAATAATTAATTGAGCTGAAAAACAAAAAATGACTGGACATTCCACCGTGTCATCTTTTCTCCCAATTAACATAAGCGTAATTACTCCAATTGTTGTCACATTTTCGGGTAAAATCGTCGGGGCGATTACGTGAGTGAATATATCAAATAAAATTTTAGAAATACGAGTACATCTTCATGCACTCCTTTACGCAATGATCATTTCGTTTCATAACTTTCAAATTTTATGCCCCTCCATCCTAAAAAAATTCAATCACAACGAGAACACCAGGATATTTATTCACTTGTTATTTTGTTAACGCCAATGTGGCGTACCCTTGAGTAACATTAATACGACAATTGATATAGTTTATTTGTTTCTTTTAATAGTGTACTAGTCGGAGGGATCAATAAAGCAATCACTCGAAACGGAATTGCTAATCGAATCCAATCGCCGGTTCTATCGCAATACAAATCGTGCATACACAATTTGTTTAAAAAAAGAGTACGCAATATTTATTTAAATATCTTCCATTTCGAGATGAATTTTTGGTTGATTATTTACAAATATTAGGAAGGATAATTCATAACGAGTGATAATAGTCGGCAATTGGTCAGCCGGTTTCATATTCTCTCATCGATTTCTGTCATTAAAATATCCATTATTTATTGTTATTATTTATTAAATAAGGGAGAATTAATATCTAGAATTTCTGAGTTTCTGGAGATAACGGAATTATCAATTGATCAGCCGATCAATCGATCATGTGTTATTGCTGAATGAGGATCGATCTTTCCCCCACATTTTCATCGATCGCATTTCACTAATTATTTAATTAGAGCGATGATAATCACCTCTGGTTCACTATATCCCAGGACTCCTGAACGTTTCCCTCGTCTCTTCCTCCGATAAATACATGAGTTCAATTAACCACTCAATTACCTGAGAATATCGATAAATAGTAATTGAATTCTCCCAGTGTATAGTTGCACTGTTATCAACAGAGTTATAAAAAAAAAACCTCGCAGAGAATTTTTGAAAAAAATTCCCGTGCTCTTCTGGAGTGTAACGCGCACACTAGAATTTCACTGATTGTTGGATAAATCAGCCACAACCGATTGGAATGAAAAATTGACAGATCATTCGAATGTGAATCGAAAGAAACTGAATCGACATGAATCTGAGTTGAGCGTTTATAAATGCCGACGCATTCGCAAATGTATTTTCCGTGTCTATCACGCGGTCTCAGTTCCCCTTCTTCATTTTGCCCTTCCCCAGGATTCTCTATCCCCTCCAAAAATCCCCCACTCCCTTGCCCACTTATAGGGGAAGTCTACGTCATCGGTGAAGAAGCCAATGAGAACCCAGAAATTCCAAGGCTCGAATTTACATACCCAGTTTGGGGTTTAGACTCTTAATTTATCGTTCCAACTGACACTGAAAAAATTCATTTTGCAATTCAATTTTCAAGATATATTTTGGATTTTTTCATAAAATTTTTATCGGACTGAAATATCTTTTTTTTTAACGGAATTCTCTAGGTGATCCACAGCAGCTCCAATTTGAAATTCAAGTATGAGAATTATTTTCAACAATGAAATTATTATTCAACAAATGAGCGCAAGCGATTTAACATACAAGAATATGGCACTTGAAAAATGTGGAAAGTGATAAATCCATTTTCATGCCTTTCATTATAACTCATTGGTGCAATTAAGTTTTCACTTGTTTAATGAGTCATTATTTTGTTTTTTTTTGTAGCAAGAAACGAGTCACGAGTTCAGACACCTGTTGAGTCTCATGTGTAAGGTTTCACGTGACTGCAATTACCGGTACATCGGGATCATGTGCTTATCGAAAAAATTGTGCATTCAGGTGTAATGGATTTTCCTAGGAATGCAGAGGGATAATTGTTCAGCAGCATTCATTGACTCCTGCCAAGAAGAAAGAACTTCACATTCAGGGATTCAGTGAATATTCTCAACTGTCAATTGTCATATTATTTTTTGCCCATCAGTCTGCGGTGCCAGGACTATAAAGTTGTCCTTCGAAATTCAAATATTCATCCTCGTTTTCTTTCCTTGATGATTTTATAGCCAGTGCGTGTCTCCTACCTCGGCTTTATTTTTTTGGCACCGGTTTCGCAATGAATTTAATAATTTAAAAAACAAATCGAGTATCAAATCCTCCAATCATTCTAAATGACGTAATTTTTAATAAAAATTCAAGTGTGCAGAAGAATAAATATTGAATGAAATCATAATCTCGGAGAATTTGTTATTTTCGCCAGGAGTTTTTGTTGATCAACAATGAAGTCATAAAATACCAACACTGATTACATAATTCCTCCATTAATTACCCAAAGAGCGTAAGAAGTAATTGTTTATCGTTGAGCCAGCAACTCGTGACTTATGCAAATTTACCTGGGAATGGTTAATCAATTGATACACATGCGTTGATGTATTTAATCTCACAGAGATGTGATTAAACTTAAAGGAAGTGATGAATGTTTGAGATTAAAAAATTTATGGAATACGGATTTTACGGAATTAATTACATCTTCCCGGATTGTAATATTTCAATTTTATTCCAAGATAAATATTTTTATATAAAAAAATGATAATTGTCCCAATAAAATTTTCTAGTCTTTCCAAAAATTGAGATCATAATTTTTTTTTTTTGTAAATAATAGAGAAGCGATAAGTTTTTTCTCAGTTTACTGTCAATGAGAAAGTCAAATTGAAACGGAGCGCAAACATCTGATATTGTCAGTTTCTATTACGATAACTGAAATATTTGTGAAGGGCAAGTAAATATTTACTTATCATCGTTAGCTGTGGGATAATCTCATTCAAGAAATTTTGTCGTTCTTATTTTTTTTGGTCCCATTAACGACGAATTGCCCTAGAATACTTATTTTTCAAAGCGATGTTTACTCACACGACTTCACCATAAAACCCCTTTTCCACACGTCTAGAGGAATTCGTGTCTGAATAATTGGACGTGAAATTTGGTGGCTTGATTAGTCGCACCATCTTTATTAATGGAATTGTGGGATATCGCGGTTGAATTATTATTGAGCGTGTCCATTGGTTTTAATTCAAACGCCACGCGAGAGAACACTTTGAAATTTATTGATATCTCAGTCGTAATGTCATTTAAAGCTGGAAGATGATTTTTTAATACCAGAAAAAAAATTTACAACTGCCTCAGAAGACCTTCCATTTCTCGATGCGCATGAATCCATGCCGACACAATTTTCCGGAGAAAAATATTATTAATATGCCGGTGACAATAACTTTGTCGTTTTCCTCATTAACAATCGTCTGTATGTACGTAATAACTGGCCATAAAGCATGTGCTCAATGTTTGTCTCCCCAATAACTTCAGGAAGAGATCCTTGTGCATGCAATCTACTGTACCATTAAAATGTTATCCTTCAAATAATTATCACAGCAACGAGGCTATTCATAAATAGGTAGCAATATTTTTATCAGTTTTGTCGTATCGGGGACGACTCTCGGAAAATTCAGTAGTCAAGTGGTAAATTGAAATAAGTCCAACACCGAATCGCTCTTGAACACCGATTTTTCGCGAAAACCAGCGATTTCACGTGAAAACAGTGAATAGCTTTTTTGTAGAAAATTCAATTTCCAGGGAAAAATGTGTTTTGACATTTTTTCAAAAAATCGACGGTTTTCGGTCAGTCGATATTTTTCGAAACTCCAACTGATTATGTCACTCGCGAAAATGAACTCTCTCGAGTTCTGTTGAATGTTAATTTCAGGAAACGTTCAAGTGATGGTACGGATAAACATTGCTACTCCGGTGAGATTTCACGATTAATCCGAAATAATTGATCCTAAAAGACGGAAGTGTATTTCATTCACTCATTATCGCGATATGCTGAAATTTCCGGAAGTTGTGGCATTGAAAAATGTTTTTATTGAAATCTCCACAGATATTCCGTATAAATTTCGTAAAAAAAATTGTGCTCCCTCGACATCTGGCATTTCCCCTGAAATTTCAGATCATTTCAAATAATTTCAAATAATTTCAAATGATTTCAAATAATTTCAAATAATTTCAAATAATTTCAAATGATTTCAAATAATTTCAAATACTTTCAAATAATTTCAAATAATTTCTAACGGTGCAATCAGCACTAAATCACAGATATACCCAAACCATGTGATTCCCGATTGCAATACAAACTCCTCCATAAATCCGACGAGTTGTCACTCTCCAACCGACTATTTGGGCTATTGAATGAATAATTAATTAACCATTTCCCCTAGTACATGAATATCCTTGAGCATCAGGTTGTTGACATCAACTTGTCCGCGAATTAAACTGGTTTTCACGTTTGAGTCACGAGATTCAAGCAGCACGTGATGCTGCAGATGGATAACGAAAAATCGTACCAATTAAACCAACCGAGAGCTCTTTTCTGTCACGAGGGTCAACTGGTTGTAATTAAAACTATCACATGATGTGAATCGCTAGCTGAAATAAGAGAATTGAAAGATTCAATTGAGATACAAATAGAGATAGAGTCACGAGGAAAGTATTTCCTTGATTCGGTCGACATCAAGGAAATATACTGTGGGGATTCACCATTTTTTCTGGTGAAGGACGGTATCTCCAGTCACATGATGTATCAACATTCACACGACATTCCTCATTTTCATTTCATTTTCATTCACCTGAGGTTGATGCACGTGAGCACCTCCTCTATTATTTTTCTATCCACTTTCCGCCTTTTTCTTGAAAAAGATACTCCTCGGTGATTTGTCGTTTCAATGGGGAATTGAATTAGACATCTTGGATTGTCTTGGATTTGTCAATTGCGTGTAATTATTCAAGATAATTATACATTTTGCTGGAGATTCTTAAATTTCATACATCTCCAATTGCATGTGGTCATAGCGAAAACAAGTGATACTACAGACCAACTGCATATTTTCTACGAATATATGCCGTCGAATTCATTCATCGATAATCATCAGTCATTTTCGCTATCATCTGTCATTTAATGTTGCGTAATGAATTCATTTCCCATTTTACTTTGCCAGAAATGGAAAATCCTTGTTCGTAGAGAAAACTGGGATTTTTAATAAATTTTATATGATGAGTGTTGCATCATTCGAATTAAATCCTGCAATATATTATGTTTTTTCTTTAAATATCAAGCATTAAAAAGGAAAAGTATCTGCCAATTAATTAGATACGACAGGTATTACCCTAAACTAATTACAAGAACATTCATTGGTGTTCGGTGTAAAAAGCTGTGAACAAGAGGCTGAGCATTACCACGAGTAATAAATTCTAGTTTTACCAGAGAATCTAGTTATTATCCATTTACAATTATCTACTGAAATCCCTTGTTACCGTCAGTCATTTTTCTAATAATAATATCAATAATTAAGACCATTGCCACGATAAATGTAACTTCTCAATGAGATTCATTAGAAATTATTAAGAATATCCAGGTATACTACTCAACTCTCAAATTTTTAAATTCATATTGCGCGAATGAGTGCAATAAAACAGATTAAAAAATCATACGAATAATTTTCCTGTGAAATAAATTTCGCGGATTTGACTGGAGGAAAAATAGTTAAAGTCCTGGATATTCTTAGAAGATCCCTGGATTCGTGGTCTGGTCAATCTGCCCGTTCAATAATTTATTTGGGATAAGATAAGTCTTTATAATTCTGGACTGCTGCTTGTGCGGCGAACGTAACGATTGAAATAATCAGGCCTCCAACATTTGCAGCTTCCCGGCACGAGGAACCAATCGTAGTACAATCGAACCTGTCGTAAAAAATTCATCATTACATTTAATTGTTTTCTGCAATTGATTTTAGGAGAGTGATTTATGATCTTGCTACAAACCAGTACCCGAGATACAAAGAGACGGTAAACGTGTGAGATATCAATTTCGAATTTATGATGATCGATGGAATTTCAATGGATACATAAAAAGTTTTGTAGGAAACCCCAACGTTTTCCTGAAGCAATTCAATTTTTATCGGATTTCCCTCCAGAATTATGTTGGAATATTCAATCAGTTCTTGCGTCAATTCCGTCGAACATTACGTAATTGAGTGGTCATATTTCATGAAGAGTTTTCAACAAAAAAATTACCTGAAAACATCCTGTCTCGTCAACACCATCACAATGATGCTGATTAGCACTGCGGCCTTCATTTTCACCCGCCCTCTTCTGGAGGTACATCTGAAAATTCTGATAATCCTGCACAGGAGGTGGTGAGCCTGCGACAGGTTCCCTGAGCCCTGGGAGTCGTCCACCAGGATTTTCCTCGATGAATGTGTCTGGGTAGAATATCTCTGCTACCAGGAGACTAGTCCATCTGGGGGATGACAGACATCCCCCATCCAGATAATGACACTTTGCCTGCATGCACCTGGTGAGCTCGATTGTCTGGGTGAAATACCCCTCGTAGGGTATCTGCACCACGTATCTCCAGGTGCCCTGATAATTTTTAGCGAAAACTGGTGTTGCATATTCAACTTTGGCAGGACAAGGGGTGGGTGGTCCAGAGTACTCTGGCTTCTCGGAGACAAGAGGTCTTTGGCGATATTCTGGAGGCGCTGGTTCGTCCCTGCGTTCTGCTGCTGAAGATGCCAGGGGCTCACCCTGAATTGCTTTGTACAACATGCAGAGTCTTCAGGGATATTTTAAAAAATTAGACTTCATTGAGATGAATTATCGAATTTTTGAAAAGAATGAACTTACACTCCACCCCCATCCTCGCAATATTTTCGCCCACTCCTGTCAACCTCTGCTGAATTCTCATCACCTTCCACTGCTCGTTTACTTCTACTCCTTTTTTCATCGGTATGCACTCTGTAATGCAATTAAATTCGAATGATGTCAGAGAGATACCGAAATGAGGCAAAAAATGAGGGAATACTTACGAATTTTGGGAGAATGGCTGGATCTTCGCGACTTTTGGTAACGAATCGTCAGCCTTGAGGATAGGTAATGCCTTGCTCAGGAATTTCAACGTGTGATTTTTTATGAGTTCACTGGAAGACAGGGAAATTATTCTTTTTGTAATGTTTGTAGTGCTCGAGGTCATGAGTTGTCGAGATATTCCCCTCGACCTAGTTTTATCGAAGTCAAAGGTTTTGAGGAATTAAAAAATTTTTTTCGAAAACTTACAATGGATAGGAAGTTCCAGCGATCTTGTGCTTCATTGGATTTTTGGGGATGTAGCCCTTATTCAGGTCACCACACACATTGTGAACAGATACGTAACCCTTGCCTTGTTTTCCAGTATCTAGTATAACACGAAACACAATATTTTGGATACATTTTCTCGTGAATCCTCGCTTGAAATAGTTTAGCGCAGAAATCAGAGAAAAATTATTGAGTACATACCATGACACTCCTTATCACTGTCAATATAAGGTGGAGGTCGGACCTTCGGTGGCTCAGCATTGGGGGATTCTATGAAGGCATAATATCCTTCTGGTGGTTCATCCTCCAGAATAACTGAATTATTCGTTTGAGATGGTGATTTGGTGGGCGTGGGTTCGGCAAAGGCAGAGACACACATGAGTATCATCTGAAAATTTTTTACAAACCCCCAACATGACAGTCAGTGATAAAAAAATTATTTCCATGAATGATTTTTATTTTATTTTTTATTTTCTTCCGTTTTCCGGAGTGAAAAGTTGACATTTTCCATTGTTTTATTATTCCGTCGCAATGACGAAGGAGTACAGCTTTCACTCCGTTCCTCTATTTATGCAATATAATAACAAATTGTCAGGTAATAACAATCATTGAATATGCGTGGTCGTTTCCACGTTGCATTGAAGTCTGATGTATCCACTTTTCACATTTCTATGTTAATTCTGCACGTACAATAGCAATTCAATTCTCAAGGATTGATCTTCAATTTGCAGCAATCGACAGCTCTATTTATTTACATAACATCAATATTTACGTAACATTTCCATAATTATTTTCAAAATTCACAGAGTAGTAATAAATGAATTGTTCCGTGGGTTAATAAAATTAATTGAACGGTATAAAATCGGATAAATTGAAATAAAATTATGAGAATGAAATAAATTGAGACAAAAATTGGTAATTCAACCTCCATGAATCGATCTATTTCAGGATTCCCCTCTCTGTGCTGCTGCAATTCACGATGAATTCAATTACAACTGAACTATTCCCTCTAGTCTTTTCAAGACGTCGCATAACCGTTATTACTCGAACATGTTACAGATATCAGAGTTTACCGGAACGATAGAATACTTTCAAAACCGGTATATCGACTAACACGGAAATTCAACATGTGACCCGCATAAAAAATATGTTGGACCTGGCAAATTAAATAGTCACAGCAACTTCTACTTTTACCTACTGATACCATCTCAATCGATTTTATTCTCGATTATTCGCGATTTCATCCGCGAAATTATCGCGCAATAACGATCGTTCAAAGATCATTTTATTACAAGTAGGTACCAGATCATTGGTTCACACCAGATCATTCGAAATATTAATATTCAGAGAAAAGAGTAATTGGTGACTTACAACAAACGTTCGAAATTCCATCATGATGAACTGCGGTGGATAAAAAAATTTGTTAATTTTATTTGTAAACGATTTGACCGGAGAAAACCGCTTGATTCCTGCACGACGGTCATAGGAAAACTGAAGTTCTTGAACCCACGAGCAGCATCTACCTTCACCGGTTTCTTGTATGCTGACTTCTCCAAAGGTTCGGTTAACGTTCCACATTCCTACCTGAACAGGTATATCTCCAAAATAGTCTGACCTTGACCAAGTCATTGAAATTGTCACGCATCTCTGATCGGATCTAGTCCTGATATTTTTTTGATCCTCTTCTCAAAAGAAAATATTTTTTTTGGAAAGCACTTGCCCGGATAAATCATCCCCAGCCCCTCCCCACTCCAAATTATAAATTATTCGGAATTATTTAAAAGATCATTCACTTAACGCGAGTAAATGTAGATTAAATAATTTATTTCATTGAAATATATAATTTTTTTTTATGTAGTCTACCTGAAAATTCATGTAGTGAATTTTCGATGGGAAAATATTTTTTGTTATCAATTTCAGAAGTTCTCATGATTTATTTCACCGATTTATTGATGACAACCAATTCCTCCGGTAATTATTGCTATTGTAATGAATGTTGAGAAAGAAAATGATTGAAAATTGCCTGGACACCAATCCATTCAGCTGATTCCGTTTGAAAATAGTAGGTATACAATGTAAATGTACTGTTATGTGTGTACAGTTATGTGATGACGTCTGCACTGGTGGAACGGCATCGGAGGCGCCAGTACGAATGCCAATTAATTCACTTACGTCTCCCAGAATGCGAGATGCAATTTATTTTTTAATCAATCAATCAGCTTCTCGAATTGAGCGACTCATGCACCTTTCATCTTCAAAAAAATTAGCTCAGTGAAGCCGTCTTAAGAATTGTGAAATTGAAATTAATTCTTTAATCAATTTTTAATTAAATAAATAAATACCCAAAGAGAACACCAAAGTCCAAATAAAAATCATACACTTTAACAAATCCATTGATTTATTTATTATTCATTTATTGATACAGGGGTACATGTCCAGTGAAATTCTCACTAATTTATGAAATTGAAGGATTAGAAATGGAATTTATGTGGTTGCATTGGGATCAACGTCGAATTTCAGATAAATGGAGACGTTCTTGAAGAACATGTTGGGTCCCTGGAAGTGGGGCTCGTAGATTGGTCTGTCCAGCGGGAAGCCGATGGGTTTCTGATCGTATTCGTAGTAGCCAAAGACCCGGGACTTGTACATAATAGGATTGGTCACTGGGCTGACGTAGGCAAAGAGCTGGTAGACAGTACCAGAACGTGATCCCTTTGGCAAGAGCAGGCGCTCAGGGAAACCGTACAGACTCTGTTTGTAGATGAATTTTTCGGTTCCTTCCATGGATTTTTCCAGTCGCTTATACGTGATCTCGGTGGGATCACGATCAGCCATTGCGAAAAAGAAATCATGGCTCACGCGTTCCAGTTTGTTCGTACCAGCGTTCACTGTAAACAGAACAAGTGGATAATTACCTGACTCTAGCTTTATTTCAAATGCATAAAGTTTAAAAAATCTGGGATTCATTAAATAGAAAGTTTACCGTCAGTAATCCAGTAATCAAGCTGATAGAATGATTTGTAGATTTTGCTGAAGTCGAGGGGATGATGATGCGTGTCATACTTGGGCCCCAGGAATAGCTGAATAGCAACTTTCTGGGCTTTATCCGAATTCAAACTGAAGTGAACAGTAAAATGTTTATTATTCAACCTGTACTGTCGAATTTTTATCAAGAAATTATCAGCCTCCTGTTGACTGGCTATGGGAAGTCCATTGCTGATTGTCGTATCGAATTGATCGAAGTAAGTCACCAGTTTGTCGACAGCTATTGACTCGAACTTCAACCCAGGGAAGATGATCTCCTCTTTGGTGTACGGTTTCATGTGGGCCTTGTATTTATAATAAAAGTACATTAATCGCTGATAGAAACGATAGAATGCTGGATCTCTCAGGCAGGAGGCCACCGACTCAATTGCACTTGGAGTAATTCGATATGGATCAATGGGTTCCAGGTTGAAGCCGAGAACTTTCCTTCCAAATACATCGAGATTACCGTAGTAGTTCTTGTTGCAGGTGTCCATATTGCCCTCAATGATGTTTCCAATTAAATTCAAACCCTCGGGTGTGTAAATCTTGTGATGTGTTCCGTCCGCATCGATTACGTACCCCAAATCAATCGCTGCAGATATCCTTGACTCAAGATCGTGAATACGCTAAGAAAATTAATTGATAATTATATTTTACATCTTCTATTATTATTTTCTCTTGACAGTATTAATTAATTTATTAATGCGTACGTATAAGAACTTGTATTTGTACTCAGGAATTTTGGAATTAGCCGGACGCTGGGGATACGGCAGTCCATTATGATAAATCATCGTTGGATAGTATCCGGGATAGAATTGCCCATCCCAGAGGAAGTTCTCAACCCTTTCCAGCCCATTTGCCAATCGCTCGAGGTTGTACCGATTGAGAAGCTGGACGTGGCTATAAAGGTACTCTTCACCCCTGTACGATTTGGCAAGTCCGAATTCATCACTGCCGAGCCACCAGGGATTGTCCTGACGGAAGAAGAAGTAGAAGGCATTCAGGCCGATGTCCTCAGTGAAGTACTGCAACTTCGTCTCGGGATCGTAGTCTCGGTGCAAGTACCAACCGGAGTAATTTCCAAAAATCACGTACGAATTGCTCTCGGCTGAAATAATTATCCGAATGTTTATTGGTGATTTTATAAATGCAGGGGTAAAGGCAATTATTTACTCAATTTGTTATAAATTTTGGCGTTCTTCGCTGCTTCGATGACTTCAGTGTTGAAGAAAGCGTATGGATAAAATTCATAGGGCGGTGGAAGTTGAATGAAAACTGTGTCAGGTCGACGAATAACTGCCTGATAAAGGGCACAGAAAAATTGTCCCTCGTTGATATTATTGCGAGCCCACAGGGCCGTCTTGTAGAACGTTTCAAAATCCTTGGAGTAAAAGAAGAGCTTGAAAAGGGATCTCATCTCTTCTAATTGTTTAGGATAATAAAGAGAGAATATCTCGCCCCTTGGAAGGAATCCAAATTTGTACAGCTCTATGAAATGATTCACTGCATCCTGCCAAATCAATAATTATTTTTTAATTTTTTCCAGATTTTCTTTTCAGTCCAGACAATTCCACTGGATCTTTCATTATCCACTCAGATAATTATCGATTAATTGAGTTGAATAATTGTGTTCATTAATTACCTTGTTGGTGTAAGAATCGATGTTCGCCTCGATGCTGTACTCCTGCCCCTCTTTGAACAATTCTTGATTAACAATGTTAGATTGCGAGACATGATAGAAGAGCTGGTAAATCTTCTTCTGCTTGACAATATAATCCTGATCAGCGGTAATTTCCGTAAAATAAAAACCCAAATCAGCTGCTGCAAGTGCAGCGAGGGTGAAAATTATGAGCGACTCCTTCAGCATTTTTTAACAATAACTGAAGGATTGAAGAAGAAAGAACGACCAAGTGCGAAGTGTGTCGCACTTCTGCCGAAACTCAGTGTCACTCTCAAATCGAATACAATTGCCTTTTATAGTTAATGATTTCCCTAATCGTTTGACCCCGGGTCGTAATTGCTCCTCTCATTGGCTGATTCTTCAGAGTCACGCAATATAAACAACACTTGTTTCTCAAGTATCTCGTGTTAGATACATTTATTTTTCATTTTCATTGAGTGATAAAAATTGGTTCGAATTTTCACGGAGCTGTACGAATTTTCACTTCAGCTGTACAAAAATTAGAATCACTTGTTGACAACGTGAAATCGATTGCTTTATTAAAAATAATAATTATCAATGTTGGGGTGGATTTTTCAATAACATACGTTGTACGATGGAATAATTATTTGCGTCTTGAATTTCGATTAAAAAATTAAATCTTTAATTTATCAATTTTTAATCAAAACTCGTCAGAACTTATCGATTAATCATGAACAATTAAAAAAATATCAATTATTACCTTTCTATTAATATTTTCCTTAAAAATTCTAATAATATCCGTTAAATAAATATTATTCATTGTTATTTGCATGAAATAAATTCATGGTTACATCGAGTAATGAGTTATGAGTGTAATGACCGAGTACAGTTAATTTTCTCATTAGCGACTAGACGATAAGAACATGCAAGGGTGAAATATGTATTTGTCTTGTTGTCACCGCCAAAATAAAAGAATATATATTCCACTGACGATAAGTACATGAAAAAAGTTCAGCACCCAAAGTGATTAATGATTATAATAATTATCCAAAGTCTTGATTATCATGATCACTGATGTTAAAATAATAATTATAAAAAAGCCAAGAAAAAGAAAATATTTTAACTTGGCAGATAATCGACTCATTTTTTAATTAAAAAAATTAAATTCTCCTGGGCAAGTGCTTCTGATATTAAAGGTGGGGCAATTATCAGTTATTCAGCGATAAAAAATTTGTTGAAGATAGCACTCACAAGTTTATTTATTTTTTCTCAATGATAAAGTAAAAAAAAATCGACATCATTCTACATTTACGACTAATAACTAGACAGCATGAGAAGACACTTAAAGGTACAAAGTCTGACCAGTTTGGTTGAGCTCTTCAATTTGCTTATGGAATACGACAACGTCCTTGAAATGGGCATTAGGTACACCATGGAACAGATGCCGGACTACAGGTCTGTCCAGGGGGAATCCCATGGGTTTGCCGTCGACCACTGTGATGCCCCATATCGGGGACTTGATGGTCACAGCTTGATCATCTTGGAATGGAGACACGTGGACGAAAAGTTTCAGTGGGAGACCCTCCTTCTTACCCTTGGGCAACGCCAACCGATCGGGAAAACCTGATACCTGACCGTTGTATTGGAAGACCTCTCCAGTCTCCAGGGCATTCACCATCTTCTTCCAGTAGATCGTCGTGGAAACTTCGTCAGGCATGAAGTAGATGGACTCAGAGCTGCTGCGCTTGATCTTGTTGGCACCGGATTTCACTGGCAAGGAAAAACATGATGTCAGATATTATTTCACTGACCGATTTATTTTTGGGAAGAATATCATGTTTTTTACAGATTTTCCCAGGTACCGCCAATTATGGGGAATAATTGAATTATCATTCAACAAATGATCTTGAATGAATTCCAGCAAGAATTATTAATATTTGGAATAACTTACGATCAACAACGAATTGATCCAACTCGACAAAGTTGAGCCACTGATCGACGAAATCGATTTCATGTCCATGAACATCAAATTTGGGTCCCAAGAAGATGCGTACGGTACCCTTGACGTCTTTATCACTGGTAACACTGATGTGATAGGTAAAAGGCTTGTGATTGAGACGAGGCTGTCGTACCTTGATGACAGAAGTAGTTGCATCCTTGACGGAAGAAACGGGAATTCCATTGTTGATGACCGAGTCAAAATTCTCAAAGTACGTGATTAGCTTGTCAACAGCCACAGAATCCACCTTAACACCGGGGAAAACGACTTCCTCGTGCGTGTACTTTGGCAGATTCTGCTTGTACTGGACGAAGTATGACACAATTTTCTTGTAGATCCTGTAGAAAGCTGGATCCCTCATGCTGGTGGCGGTGTAGTCCAGGACACTTGGTACGACATGATTTTTATCAATCGGTTGTGGAGAGAATCCAAGAATTTGCCTGGCGAGAGCATCGACACTGCCGTACAGCTGAAGATTTACTGAGTCCATGTTGCCTTCGATGATGTTACCAAGTAGATTGAAACCCTCTGGAGTATAGATATCAATGTTCTTCGGTGGACGGCTATTGTCTGTGATGTACCCAGAAGCTATTGCTGTGCGGATTCGCGCCTCGACCTGTTCCAGATGCTGAAATTTTTTCATTAGCCCGTAGTACTTGAAATTAATTGCCTGCAATTGAATTAATGAATACTCACATTGACTAATTCATTCATATACTGAGGAATGTGTGTCCAGGATGGACGTTGGACGAAAGGCAGTCCATTTGGAAGATTGATCGTTGGATAGTATCCAGTGACGATCGGTGAGTGCCAATCGATCGTCTCGATTTCTCCCAAATTGTTGGACAATCGTTCCATGTAGTACCTCGCGAGCAATTGTCTGTGGACGGTGTAGTACACTTCACCACGAATTTCTTTGGTGAGGCTGCAGTTATCGCTGCTGATCCAGGATGGGTAATCGTGAACAGCGTGGAAGTACCAGTCGTTGATACCAACGTCTTCAGTGAAATACGTCAATTTCTCGTCAGCATCGTCATGCACGATGTACCAGCCAGAGTAATTCGCATGGATCACCAGATCGGTACCGTCGTGGTACTTGACATCGACACTCTTCTTCAGGTCTAATTAATTTAATAGATTAATGGAATATTTTGTGTGTGATAAATAAAAAAAATGCATTACGAACTGGCATCTCCCAATTTGGCTCGGTATGCGGTCTGCAGCACCTCGTTGTTGAAGTAGAAGTGAGGAATCATTTCGTGGAGAACAGGGAGACGAATGTTCCTGGTGTCAGGTCTGTGCAAGATTGCAACAGCTAGGGTGTAGGCATAGAGATGTGCATTCACGTGGAATCGAGCCCAGATTGCCATGTTGTAGAAGGTCTCGAAGTCCTTGGCATGGTAGAATAAATTGAAGAGAGCCTTGACTTCCTCCACGTGCTCAGGATGGTAGGATGTGAAGACAGCCTCACGGGGGAGGAGGCCATATTTCCATCGCTGGACGAACTCCTGGACGACGTGCTGCACACGGATTTCCATTTTTAATCAAAACATTTAATTAATAGTTTGTGTTCTAAATAATTTTGATTGTTTAAAATTTTTAACTTGAGAATCGACGTAAAAAATTGGTGATATCGTTGGAATGGCAAACCTGATGGTGAGGATATGCGTCAACATGATCCTCCAAGTTCCAGGCGCGTGCTATCTGGTAGAACTCAGGATGAACAGTAGTTGGTTGATCAATATGCCAGAACAATTCGTAGACGCGTTTTTGTTTAGTAAGATAAACTTTATCAGCGGTGTAGGTGTCTTTGTGAACAGCACCCACAAGAGCTAGACAGACGGTGGCCCAGACCACCAGAATTCGTCTCATTCTGCTTCCCAGAGATCGACCTTACACCAAAACTCCACTTTCCCCAACAATTAGCTTTCACACGACCGAAATTTTGTTTATATAGCAGCGATTAACAATTGCAATCGCTCACCTTTGACATCGATTTATTCGCGAAATGCAGATTTCGCTTGTTTACCCGTTTTAAATTTCGAAACTCCCGGATAAGATTGTATAATGCAGCTCTTAATTAATTTTGTCGTTAACATGTACTGGACGATGTTTGTGATTGTTAAAAGCAGACTGCAAGACTATTTAATTAATTATCTGGACAGCTTTGTCAATGAAGAAGATTATTTTTTGTTCAAGCATTAATGAAATTCATTATTGCAATAATGATTGCTTATTTTTGACAGGAAAGGCGGGAGAATTATTTTCCAGAATCTCACGTTTAACGAGAAAGTGATAATTTGTATCTCTGCAGTCACGATAAACGAAAAGGTCAGGATAAAAAATAAATCATTTTTATTTCATGAATATGTTTATTCAGAAGATCATTTCAGTCATTGCAGTCATTACAGTGCATTGCAGTCATTACAGTGCATTGCAATCAACTGGTGATACATTTACCATACCATTGGGTTCGATTTGTAGGAATTATCTCTTTCTGGTCACCATCTCAGAATTATTCATTATAAATTGTAGTATTTTAATAATTAGCATGTGAATAATTATTTCACTCAGTTAAATGAATGGAATAAAAAAAATTCTTCGCCCGTGCAGAAAAAATGTCAATCATTCCACCTGAAATTGAGACGTTGAAATTCGTCTTGATGGCGAGTCGTAAAATAAATTTCGAGTGATCACTTATATAATAAAAAAAAAATCATCACTTGTCGCATAAAATACCACGAACTCGTCGCAGAAGGCTGTCCCCAGCAATTATTCGATAAATAAATAATAAAAATCTTTCCAAATGCAGAATTTTCATAACCTCATTATGTACCTGCGTAATTACTGCTGTAAATGATCATAATCCCCAGATTAATTACGAGGAAATAAATAAATTAAACCATTGAAACATAAATCCAGAGGGATAAATATATCTGAGTAGATCAATATTCACGGAATATTTCTCCAGGATAAAACAATATTAATAGATCTCAAAACGCAGCAATGAATCCAGAAAGATTCAATAAATTATTATGAGGAGTGAAAATAATAGAAAATATGATATTAAAAATGAGAAAATAAAATGTCTTGAAATATAGTAAAATCTGAAAGGTCAAGGAATGGTAGAATAATTAACAGATGCACCAATAATAATTAGACTTGAGTAATAATTTTTATTCCAACAGAAATGTCATTGTACAATGGCTCACGACAGATTGACCATAAAATCAGTGTCAATAACAGAATGATAGACCTAGAAGAGGGTCTTCTCTACGCCAATGGGATATGCCTCCTTTCCGTAGTACTTGTCATACTTGTCGTACTTCTCGTACTTGTCGTACTTGGGGTATTGTCCATAGGTCTCGTATTTGTCACTGATGTATTGGCCGTAGTGCTCCTTCTGGTAGCTCTCGGTGTTCTCATTGAGGTAGTGAACATAGACATCTCTGAAGTACATGTTCTTGAGGTCATAATACCACGGATACATGGGTCTGTCGAGTGGGAAGCCGAAGGGTTTGCCGTCGTACAATATCTTGCCGAAGAGTGGGAAGGTGAAGGTCGTCAGATTTGCCTCATCAACTGGGTAGATGAATACGAAGAGTTTGAAGGGATAACCACCGACACGACCACGTGGCAGATACAGATTCGATGGGAAACCATACAACTTGTTGCTGTAGGTGAACGGCTCGTTTCCTTCCACAGCCTTTATCAGCTTTTTGTAGAATTTATCACCGCCGAGGAAGTCTTTGCCTGTGAATGAGCTGTCCTTGCTACTGCGCTCAATCGTGTTCATTCCGGTCTTCACTGTAAAAAAAAGATGACGCAATTGTGTTTGGATTATTTGTCAAAGAACTCCACGAAATTCTATTTACATATTGGGATTAATTTAAAATGATCTCTATGAATAACAGGAGTAATAGAAACTCACAGTCAACCATGAATTCGTCGAGCTCCACGAAGTTGTACCAGCTGTAGTAGAAGTAGTTCTGCTTCTTGAAGAATTTGTCATTGTAAGATGGTCCCATGAATATGCGCACCATACCCTTGGTGGGTCTCTCGCTCTTGACATCAATGGTGTACGTGAATGGTTTGTAATTGAGACGGTACTTTCTGGCCTTGATATTGAAGTTCATGCCATCCTTGTAGTTGTCAACAGTGACAGCATTATTGATCAAGTAGTCGTACTCCTCGAAGAACGTGTAAAGTTTGTCGAGCTTGACATCTTCAATGTAAACACCAGAGAATTCCAAGTCATTCTTGGTGTATGCTGGCAGATTGCACTTGTACCTGAAGAAGTAACCGATGATCTTCTTGTAGAGACGGTAGAACGCAGGATCACGAAGACTTGTGCTGAAGAGCTGGAGAGCACTGGGTACAACGCAGTTCTTGTGTTTGCAGTCGTAGTTGAAGCCGAAGATATCTCTGTAGAGAACGTCAATGGCACCGTAGAAACGGGTGTTGCAGGAGTCGTAGTTGCCCTCGATCAAGTTTCCTAGGTAGTTCAAACCTTCCTTGGTGTAGAGACCGTATTGTTTGCCCTCTTTGTCGACGATGTACCCAGCATCGATGGCAGCAAGGATGCGGTATTCGATGTTCTGGATTTCCTTGACGTATTTGAATTTGTAGTATGGAACTTCGCTGTAGCGTTCGCGACTCGGTTGGGCAACACCGTTACCGTACACGATTGTGGAGAAATATCCTGGGGCGAATTTGTTGTAGAAATCGAAGTCCTCGATCTCACCAAGTCCATTACTCAGACGCTCAAGGTAATAACGGGCCATCAGCTGCTGATGGACGTAGTAGTAGAGTTCTCCTCTGATTTGTTTTGGAACTTCAAGATCCTTCAGGCTGATCCAGAAGGGGAAGATGTTTCGGACGTAGTAGTAGTAGTTGTTCAGACCCACATCGTCGTAGAAGTAGTCGAGTTCGTACTCCTTGTCGGCGAAATATTTCATGAATGAGGTCGTGTAGTTCGTGTTGATCAGGAATGTTTCGGTATTCCCAACGCCGAGTTCTTTCTTGTATCCTGCTGACAGATTTTATCATATTCATAGGTAATTATAGAAGACATTTTCTCCTGATGATGATGTATTCTTACCGGTCATTTTGATACGGTGAGCATCCTGAATGATCTCGTTGTTGAAGAAGAGATGAGGGTAGACTTCGTACATTGGTGGAAGAGCGATGTTCTTGCAGTCGGGTCTGTACATGACAGCGGTGGTGAAGGCCATGATGAACATTCCCTCGTTCATGTAGAGACGAGCCCAGCATGCAGTCTTGTAGAAGGTCGTAAAGTCCTTGGCGTAGTAGAACAGTTTGAAGAGAATGCGAAGTTCTTCACGGTGTTCCTTGTAGTAGACTGAGAAGAGGGCACCTCTCTTGAGCATACCGAGTTTAAATCTGTACAGGAACTCCCGGGGGATCATCTGTAAAATATTTCAGACCTTGAATTGTTGATTCCAAACCTTGACTTACCAAGTTCCGTTGTACAAATGACGCGATGACAAATGGTTGGATTAAAAATTTTACTTCGGTTTAATAAATAGTAATTCACCTTGTCCTTGTACAAGTCGATATTCTGCTCGATGTCATAGCTGCGTCCAACTTCGTAGAACTCACTGCCAATCAGTTTGGGTTGATCGATGTAGAAGAAGAGCTCGTAGATTTTTTTCTGCTTGTGGAGGAAGTCCATATCAGCAGTGTGAGTCTCACTGCCAATTGCCTGGGCCAGGCAGAAGCCCGTGAGGGCCAACACCAACAGCTCTCTCAACATTTTCAACTGATTATCAAATCGTTCCCCAATGTTCCCTCGATCACTCGAACGAAGGAAGATGCTTTCCTCTGGCACTCACACGAGCTTTTATACCCAGAATTTGGCGATTAATCTTACCTGACCCCGAGGTCAATGCATTCATTTTTTTTAAGACAATCCAATGCGCAGCAAATACCTGATATTTGTTTATCGTCCGATTGCTTGGCACGGAGTTCCGTTCGGGTAAGAATTTCGAATTGATAAATACATTCGAAAGGCTATCGTTCGAGTTGAAAAACAAATGTTTCGAATTATCGCCCTTGGAAAATTTCGCCGCTTGGGTCATCGAAATCATAACTATTGATTGGGTTGTCAATCTCATCGGTGTTACAATGAGGGGGAGTTTAATGAGACTGCAAGACCATTTTGCGAAAACAAGATAAATTATGTTGGCGGTTGTCTCAATGTATATTTATGTCATTTTTGAAATCATCGAGTGCGAGGAAAGATCGTGCAATTGTTTATTCATTTGGAAATTATGATTTTTTGGGCGACTATATTGTGTACTTCATCGATTTTTATTGCTAGTTATTTATTTCTCATAAATTTTACAGAAAGAATGCAATATGCAGTAAAACAAATATACATTATCTTTACATTTTCGTTGAACATCATCTAATCACGCGGTATTATATTTTTTACAGTAAAAAAATTGAGTTTGTCGAAGATGTACGAGTACATCAGTCATACGTTGATCAGACATGATTTGCCTATAGGAGAATGAAAGATAACAGGTTGATAAAATAAATCACAAGGATGAGTTTGAATATTGACGATTGACAAAGTTCACGTTGAAATTCTTTCAAATTCTCAAATTGATCTTTATTTCTTTCAACTGCATATCGAATTATTATCATCAGATTTTCCATTCTCCATATCTTCTTGCTCTTCCTCTTGCTCAGATGTCTCCGCCCAGTTGTCGTCTGACTCGCTCTCACCCTCCATTTCACCAACATCAGTGTCGTCATCCGATGAATCTGTAAGACCAACCAAATTACACGTAATTATGACAATTCAGTAATTACCCGTGAAATTAAATGAATCGAACGTTTTTTTGGCTGAATTAATTCCGGAGAAAAAAAGTATTTCGCCATTATCTCCTAAAATCAGTTTTTGAGAATAATTAATTTTTTATAACGTCCAATTACACTAACCAGAATCCTGATAAACCAGGAGACTACCCTCCTCAGCGATATCCTTGCTCTCTTGATCATTGAGATGTGATATCTGTCCAGTGATGAGAGCAACACGCCCCCGGAGCCTTGATAATTCCGTAAAAATAGCGAGTTTAGCATCGATGAGCCCCAATATTGGACTGAGAACATTGCCAATATCAGGATGGGAGAGTAAATGAGCAGCATGAGTGATCAATAAATTTTTCAGCCACACAACAGCTATTTTACTGGGATAAGTCTTCCCCTGGAGCATATTAGTCAACTCCTTGACGAGCGGCGATATTGCCTGCACAGGCAATTTGGTTATTGTATTTTTGATTATCGTCTCGTCCCGATTATACAAAACATTCATCAATATATTCCTGTCTTTGCTGTTAAGACCCTGCAGCAGCAGTTGCGCCATGTTAGCACCTTTCGATGGTGTTTTTCCAGACGTATTGACATCTGAATTCAGACTGAGATTTTCCAGTCTGTCTTTCAGAGGCAACTGTGAACCACCAGCTCTCGTTCTCTTTGGTGGAGCACTAGCTGCAGCACCTGGTGCCAAATACTCAATATTATTGTCACTAGTTTCCACCATTTTAACCTTTGTCAGGGCTTCCTCTTTTTTTTCCTTGAGTTTTCTACAGTCAGACCTCACGAGACCCATTATTTTACACGATAAATCCGGCAAAATTTTTTCGAATGTCAAATTAATCAGTGATCCATAGGCTAAAAACATTTTTCCATCAGCTGTTAGCTCGGCTGACTGGATAGACACCTGCTGGACAGACTCCTTCTGGTTTGAATCAGCAGCGATGACAACTGTCATCACTGGCTTCAAGGGTTTTGTGCACTGACCATTCGGCTGGTATGTGAATAAATTCGCCTGACCCGATCTATTTACTGCTAAGACTGTTATTTGAGAATTGATTTCAGAAGACTTTGCCGATACGGACATCGGCTCGTCCTGCATTGTAAGGGATGCTATAGATGCTCTCTCCTTTTTCCTCTCATTTAATGACCAGACACCAAGATAAGAATCTCCCTTCGCTCCGCTGATCAAGTAACTCGTGTGTTCATCAATTTTAATTGTTTTTAAAAATGATATTTGATTGGCATGACCTGTCAAGGTGCCAACAACCTGCTTGCTCTCCAAATCCCACAGTTTGATCATCTTGTCCGCAGAGATGATGGTCCTCTCATCTAGAGATAGTGCTAGAGCTGTGATTCTTCCCCTCCCCGTTTTCCATTTACATTTTATTCCATTCTCTTGAGTGTTCCACTCCACAATTTGATGATCATCAGCAGCTGTGAATAGCCCGTGAGACGGTGACCATGTGAGAGCTGTGACACACCCTGAGTGACCATTTTCCAATATTTTAATCACTGATGCTGATGATACGTCGTACAATGTGACACTTCCATTTATCGAACCCATTGCAATCACTTCCTTCTCCTCTGCATCTTCTGATATTGATTTCCTCTTTCGTTTTCTCCATGGTGACGGCTGAAAAAATTTTTTTCAATGCTTCAAGATGAATTTTATTACCATTTACAATTAAGTCTCATCTAGAAAATTATTTCTTGGCAAAAGGGTAAACGGTTACAATTCCACTTGTTTTATATTCGATTTTTTGAAGAATATCTACGGATCACAGAGAGATACTAATATTTTACTTAGAATCTATTAATATTTAATTATTATCATGTAATTTTAATTTACATGCGTTCGTAGCATCACAACCCTAACCTCAGTAATTTTTATTTAACATTTAAGATTATGATCTCGAAATGTGAAAATAATTTGCCGGGACTGATGCATTCTGGAGATTTTTAAGATTATAATAGTATGGAAATAGTTAATAAACAGCTGATAGGGCGAGATAAATGAATTTATCATGGGATAATGTAATGGAACACGTGGGCATACCGCAACACTTGTAGGCTGTTGTCCAATTGTAATCCATCCAATTACACTGCATGGCGACGACAAATGCAAATTAGGTACAAATTCTTGTTTCAATCTACTGGTTGCTGTCTCCCATATCTTCAATTTTCCATCATTACCACAAATAGCCCAGTATTGCTGATTCGATGAGAAAGCAGAGCAGCCCGTGCTCGCCATCTTTATACTGTTTACTGTCTTCCTCTTGAAAGACTACCCTCCAGCGGATTTTCCTGACTGAATTTTCCACGACTCAAGGTAGATAATATTCAATTAATCCCAGAGATTATAAATAAGAACTTTCTGCACAATTTCTCCGAGTTTGCGGTCGAAAAATTATTAATCAGATGACGTTAATGATTTTTTACAATTCGTTCTACGATTCAGAGGTATTCAAACTTCCCAAAATTCCGGTTGGAGAGGAAATTCCAGATTGAGGTGCCATCTTGTGGGGGTTTGGGTGTCACGATATTTTAATAGATAAAACGATAGATGCAGGGTAATTAATTTATTGATGTCTACAATAAATTATTAATAAAAATTAATTGAAAGCGTGAAGAAATTTTCAGTTCTAAGTGAGACGGCGATGGGATGAATCCAGAGAGAAAGTCGACGAAGAAATTTCGTTGTTGATGGAATTGCTGTTTTGAAGATACACCGACTGCTGTATTCGATATTTCTTTTGATTCACCCATCAATTCGATTCAATTTTTGTTAGTAGAACACAGGAGACCTGGAAGAAATATTTTTATCATGTTCCCATGTCTAAAACGAAATTTTTTTTTTTATAATATTTACGTAATCATGGCGTAATTTTCAATTCATTTCGCGTAAAGGAAAGGTTTTTCAAAACACTTCTTGACATTGATACCTTGGAGGACTTGGATAACTCAGCACGCTCTGGGTCTTCTTCGATGGAATCGGAGGGCTGAACAGGTCATCACTCTCATAATAAGCTGCAGCCTCGGAGTATCCGGGGCGAGGCGAAATCTTCTGCAAGACTGGAGGCTGAGGAGATCTAGAATAAGACGAATGAATTCGCTCATCACGTGTAAAATCAGTCCCTGGTGTCTGATTTTGGGATTTATCTTTCTGATTCGTCTTCAATGAGAACAATCGTTCGGTTTCCTGCACTTTCAGGTGCTCCTTGAACCCCTTCATCAGCTTGAGATTTCCCTCGCCGATCAGAATTGTCTTTCGCGAAGTCTTCACAACACTCGGAGAGGGTAATCCAAGCTTTCTGCTTCCGAAGTCAATAAATAATTAAAGAAAATAAAAAAATTGTTAAGACCTAGGAGTCGTCATCTTGTCTTCATTCATTTTTTTTTATTTCTTTACGATTGATTTCACTTACTTTTTCACATCCTTTTCCATATTTTTCAACAATTTTCCGAAGAAGTCGTCTTCCTTTTCTGAAGCTTTCGAAATAATTTTTTTCTTAATCATCATCTCACGCCTGCCGACTACTCTAGAAGAAATCATCCCATTTATGTGGGAGATGTCGAAGGTGCAGTTATCCTCCATGTGTAAATTCGTTAAATCTGCAAGAGGTCGAGTTTTGAAATAAGGACTGGATGATTGATTTACAGCTGATCCCTTCTGGAATTTTCTGCCACTCGTATCTAGTCCTAAAACAATGGATGCCGCTCGGGAAGAGAGAGACGATCGTTCGGTCATCCGTAATTGCAATAAATTCAACAATTAATCACCCAGTAAATTTTATTTAAATATCGATCGATCTCAAAAACGATTGACGCTGGAAAAAAATTTCGAGAGATTTTTTTTTGTCGTCAATTTAATCCACTAAGTCTTAAGGATTTTTTCTGGAAAGACTAGTTTTGAGATAAATCGGTGAGGACAATAAACAAAAATTACGGCAATTGAACGGTCAACAATTTTTTCGAACCCTCGAAAAGTCACGAAGCCTGACGAAGCTGCGCGAACATGAGAGACTAGGTTTCGAATTTTCAAAAAAGGCTAGGTTACAACACACGAGTGACTGATACTGAATCCCATAACCTTGCGTCATCTCATGTTCATCGATATTCATCACCAAGAAGTCTCTAGAAGTCAGTAAAAATCTCCGCAATTATCGGTTTGATGTTTAAAATCCCAGAGTCAGAATGAAATTACTACTCAGTACAATTAATGGGAAATTGCTCCCTGTATTCAGTCATCGAGTTTCGGTGACTCGAGTCTTCTCCAGAACAAGTGGAATCATCAATCGACCGGGATTACCGGTCAGAAGAACAATTGGATTTCTGAACCTTCAAGAAACCAGAAGAAACTGGAGACATGTCACTGCCATCGGGGTTCGACAATTTTCCTCCAAAAAATCGGATGATCCTCCATCGTGAGTCGATGAAAAATCGTTCCTTCAATTTTTTAAATTGGTGTAATAGTAATTTATTTGAATGTCATTAATTATTCATCTGTCGATGATATCTTCCAGAGAGAATGGAGGTCCAGAGGCTGAAACACCTGAGGCTTATCCAGCCACATTACCAGCCACTGTTGTTGTCCCTGAAGTGTGGCCCCACGTGCCACTCATCGCCATCAGTCGAAACCCCGTCTTCCCTCGGTTTATCAAGCTCATAGAACTGACAAATCCCGTTCTTATTGATTTAATCAGGAGGAAAGTCAAATTGAATCAACCCTACGTGGGAATATTCCTTAAAAAAAATGAGGAGTATGTTTGATATTTTTATTATTGACTCCTCAATTGAATTGATTTTATCCATTATTTAATTATGAATGGCCAGGAATGAAGCGGAAGTAGTACAGAACCTGGACGACGTCTACTCAGTGGGAACATTCGCCCAGATCCACGAGGTCCAGGATCTCGGTGACAGATTGAGACTCGTGATCATGGCACACAGAAGAATAAAAATCGTGAATCAAATACTAGAGGACTTCGAGGTTAAATCCTCTCATGGTAATATTTTTATTTCACTTCATCGTGTCCTGAGAATTTCTCTAATCATTCACGTCTCTGAATGGTTTACACAGAGATGACACTGACGTTTCCACTACTAAATACTACAATTAACGTCCCCCTAGACGAGGCCAGCACTCCAGGGAAGAAAACCCGTCCTTACAGGCGAAAGAGAGTGGACGAGAAGACGAATGGGACACTGGAAACGAGTGAGAAAGAGGAGGAGACGATTTCCGAGGGTAAAAGTGAAGAGAAACCTCAGGAGAGTGCCAGTGAAGCTGCTGCTGCTGCAGAGGGTGTAAACGTGGAAGGAAATGCTGGGCAACCAGTGCTGATGGTTGAAGTTCTCAATGTGACTCACGAGAAATTTCGACAGACTGAGGAGATCAAGGCATTGACACAGGAATTGATCAAGACGATCCGAGACATCATCAGCATGAACCCCTTGTACAGAGAATCTCTCCAACAAATGCTGCATCAAGGACAACGAGTTGTGGATAATCCAGTGTATTTGAGTGACTTGGGTGCTGCTCTCACGGGGGCTGATGCTCAGGAGCTGCAGCAAGTGCTGGAAGAAATGGATATCCACAAACGTCTGAGGTTGTCACTAGCTCTTTTGAAAAAGGAATATGAACTGAGTAAACTCCAACAGAAGATCGGCCGAGAAGTGGAGGAGAAGGTGAAGCAGCAGCACAGGAAGTACATTCTCCACGAGCAGCTGAAGGTGATAAAAAAAGAGTTGGGACTTGAGAAGGATGACAAGGATGCCATCGAGGAGAAGTACAGAGAGCGGATTAGACAGAAAACAGTTCCCAAGCACGTGATGGACGTTCTTGATGAGGAGCTCAATAAATTGAGTTTCCTGGAGAGTCACAGCAGTGAATTCAACGTGACGAGAAATTATCTGGACTGGTTGACGTCCCTCCCCTGGGGTGTCACGAGTCCCGAAAACCTGAGCCTCCAGGAGGCTGTCAAGATTCTGGATGAGGACCACTATGGCATGGAGGACATAAAAAAACGAATCCTAGAGTTCATCGCAGTGTCTCAACTGAAAGGAACGACCCAGGGAAAAATCCTATGTTTCCATGGTCCACCAGGTGTAGGCAAGACTTCAATTGCACGTTCCATAGCTCGAGCCTTGAACAGAGAGTATTTTCGCTTCAGTGTCGGTGGAATGACAGACGTTGCCGAAATTAAGGGCCACAGGAGAACATACGTTGGGGCAATGCCTGGTAAAATAATCCAGTGCCTGAAAAAAACAAAAACTGAGAATCCTCTGGTGCTCATCGATGAAGTCGACAAAATTGGAAAAGGACACCAGGGAGATCCAGCCTCTGCCCTCCTGGAGATGCTGGATCCAGAGCAAAATGCCAATTTTCTGGATCACTACCTGGATGTACCGGTGGATCTCTCCAAAGTTCTTTTTATCTGCACAGCAAACATCGTCGATACCATTCCAGAGCCACTGCGAGACAGGATGGAGATGATTGACATGTCTGGTTACGTCGCTGAGGAAAAATTGGCAATTGCCAAGCAGTACCTCGTCCCCCAGGCGATGAGGGACTCCGGACTGAATGATCAGCACATACATATCCAGGACAGTGCTCTCAGTACTCTTATCAAAGCTTACTGTCGAGAGTCTGGGGTGAGAAATCTTCAGAAACACATCGAGAAAGTTTCCAGGAAAGTTGCATTCAAAGTTGTGAAAAAAGAGGCGGAGAAAATCGATGTTTCAGCTGATAATCTCAGTGAATTCGTGGGTAAACCCGTCTTCACTCACGATCGAATGCACGATGTTACTCCGCCAGGGGTGGTCATGGGGCTGGCCTGGACAGCAATGGGCGGTTCCACTCTTTTTATTGAAACGACCTTGAGTAAGCCAGCAAGCACGAAAAAATTCGAAGGCTCATTGGAGATCACTGGACACCTCGGGGATGTCATGAAGGAGTCCACGAGAATTGCTATGACTGTTGCTAGGAATTTTATTAACAGTACTGAGCCATCCAATACTTTTTTGTACGACTCGCATCTTCATCTTCATGTACCTGAGGGAGCAACACCCAAGGATGGACCCAGTGCTGGTGTCACAATTGCTATAGCTCTGGTGTCATTGGCTAAGAACCAGCCGATCAGACAGGATGTTGCTATGACTGGAGAACTCAGTCTCATTGGAAAAGTTCTACCTGTTGGTGGAATCAAGGAGAAAACCATTGCTGCAAAGAGAGTTGGTGTCAAGTGCATTATTTTGCCTGAGGAGAATAAGAAGGATTTCAATGACCTTGCCAAATATATTACCGATGGACTTGAGGTACATTTTGCCAGCACTTTTGAGGATGTTTATAGGGTGTGCTTTGCGGAGGGAGCGATGGAGAAGATGGTGTTGAAGGGGGAGAACTCTAACATCGAGGGGACACCACAAGCAGCTGCTGTGCATGGGAAAAAAGTTGGGGATGTATGAATGAGATGAGCAATTTTCAGTTCTTAATCCAGGGGGGGGTTTTAGCTCAGAAAAAGTTGGTTATTCGGATGAAAAAACTATTGTTTTTTTACTCAGAAAATTTTAGAGACTAAGAGATCTCTACGTTGGTTCAATAGTGTAAATAATTGGGAATATCTTACGATACTACCGTCAATTCTTCGGTAATGAAGCAGTTATAAGTTAGTTGTTAAGAGGCATTTAATGTTGTATGAAAATTGCTTGATGATTGAGGACAAAAAATATTTGTACATAAATAAAAGTTTTCAATCATAAATCAAAATATTTTTTAGTGTCAAAACGTGAATAATTTCATGACTTAGCAAATTAATTCATCGATGGTCCTCGTTGGTTAACAAACAGTTTAAAATAGAATTAATATTTTCAAATGAGGTACAATACTGTGGGCCCTTCATGGGGAACGATGAAGTTACAACTTTTCAATGATTTCATCCCTAGAATCTCGAGAAAGCTAGCTGGGATCCATTTTGCTGAGACGAATTATGAAATCACAGAGTCTCATCTGGACCTGAATCTCCATTGGACTATCAGTGACATAAAATCCAGGCACTCCAGCTTTTTCCAGGATACTCTGCTGATCAGCCACTTTCTGATCCAATTGCATCACAAGTTTCATATCATTTTGCTTCAACTCAGCCTTGTGCTTCACCTGTAGAGCAATTTGAGCAGTGAGTTTGTCCTCCTCAGTGATGAAATTGGCGAGTGTCTCCTGCATTTCAATTTTTTGTTTATTGAGAAGCTGCAGTCGCTGCTGAAAGAGGTGTTTCTCGGTGACGTGTTGGATCTCCATGAGGCCCTTAACAATCTCGAAAATCGTATCATTCAAAAGGGAATTCGCCAGAGCAGAGAGGAGTTCGTAGGGCAGTCTCATCTGGTATTTAGGTGGAAGAGAACTTGCCATATTCTGCAGCTGTTCGACCAGGAAATACAATTTACGTTGAAGGTCCTGGGGTGTTGGATTATTCTCTTCCATCATTATCACAAATGATTGTCGAATATAAATCAGTACTATTTGAAATTTTCACATTAAAAATTCGAAAATCACAATTAATAATAGAGATATATTTGTTTTTATTATTTTTCCCGAATTCCTAAGACAAAATATATTTTAGAAAATCACCGTCAGACTGTGGCGCCAACGGAATCGAATTTGTGTCAGAAATGCAATGAAATATTTATACTAATTAAAAGAGAAGAGATGGATTTTTAAATTCATCTTGTCATTTTCAGTCATTTACTCATGAGATGCCGGGGGAATTACAAATATTTTCATTTATAATATTAAAGTTGATTTTGACTTATTCATTTCAAATATCCCGCCGATGCGTAAATGTTCGACGCACGGTGACATATTATTTATCTATAGCAAAGTAAACTGGCTTGTTTAAACTATGCAAAAAAACCACGAAGCAGATTTTACACCGAATACTCATTTAACCATTAAGCTCTGATTATCTGGTGCATGATAATATCGAAATAAAATCGATAATTGGTGTCATTATAGTGTCAACACACCGGATGCATTGATCTGTCAAACGAAGTGCATAACATTCTGTATTTTTCGAGGTTTCCTTCATTATTCATGACAAAGATAATGTGCACATCAATAACAAATCATCAGGTAATATTGAAGAGTGACTTTTTATTCTGCTGTGGACAGTTATGTAACTTGGAATTAATTAGCAGGTTGATAAATTGGAGGGCGAAACGATGATGGAGACGTCTAAAAAGTTGTTATGCAGTTTGATACGTTGTATTATAGTGCAATTGCACTACGTATTTGACTGTATTATTGATTTCGTCTTTGGACTTTATTATAATGGAAAGGAGGAAAAAGTGCCACCAATTAAAAATACTATACTACTGGAAAGTGCAATTATGCTGGCTGAGAAAATTAGGTACGTTTTTTTTTTCTCGAGATATTGAGAAAATCAATTGCGTTCAATGAATGAAAATTCAATTCAATTTTCCTCCGATTTTTTTACCGTGCAGTCATCACGGATTAATGATGACAGGGCATAATTATTTTTTGACGTTGAAGGAATAAGAAACTATCCTGTCAGACAGTGGTGAACACGTTCATAGAAAGATGTAAGGAAGTAAATGGTACGATAAATGTAATTGTCGATGAGAGGTACGACGAAGCGATGAAAGAGGCCAGACGAGTCGATGAGTTACTCGCGTGTGATATTGATATTGACATCCTCAAAATAACAAAACCATTCTTGGGAGTGCCATTTACGACTAAAGAGAGCAATGAGGCAAAAGGTAATGCAGAAAAATGGAAAGCAGTAGTAAAGTGGTAAAATGAGATGAGTGTAATTTTACACATCTCGATTTTCTGAATTGTTCTCTAAAAAATTATTGTTTAAGGACTTCTTCATTCGATGGGAATGGTGGCGAGGAAAGGCCACAGATCCACACAAGACGCAACAGTAATTGCCAACGTGAAAGAATCCGGTGCCATTCTAATCGCCAAAACGAATATCCCCGAGATGAATCTCTGGGTCGAGTCTCGAAATCTCATTTATGGCCAGACAAACAATCCCTACAATTCGACAAGAGCGGTTGGAGGAAGCAGTGGTGGAGATGCTGCAGTGACAGCAGCTTGTGGAGTGCCATTTTCTGTTGGGAGTGACATCGGTGGATCCATCAGAATGCCAGCATTTTTCAATGGAGTATTTGGGTTGAAACCGAGTGAACGAGCAACTCCTCTTCGAGGAATTGGTCTCAGAACCGAGGACTCAGCTGATTCAATGGCGGAAGCTGGACCAATCTGCAAGTGTGCAGAAGATCTGTTACCTTTACTCAAGATCATGATAACTGATAAGGACCTGAAGGAGAAACTCGACACTCCAGTGAATATAAAAAAGGTCAGGGTTTTCTATCAGGAGGGATCTGGGGACCTTCGGGCCAGTAGAATCAATCCTGAGATGCGAGCTGCACTGACCAAAGTCGTTCAGCACCTGGAGAAGGCTGCGGATTCAGTCCAGAGGATCAAGTTACCAGGATCTGAGTACAGCTTCAGACTGTGGAGGTACTGGATGACCCAGGAGGGGGCTGATTTTAAATCAGACATCACGAATCGTCAATCGAGAACCAGTGCCTCCGCTGAATTAATTAAATTAATCATGAACAAATCAGAGATTACGTTTGCAGCAATTCTCAAACTCATCGATGAAGACTTTTTCCCGAAGGAGGACAGCGAATGGGCTGAGGAGGTCACAGCTGAGATGAAGGACTACTTAATGGTACTAGAAACTTTTACTACATTTATCAAATTTTCAATTCCCCATTTTTAATGTCAGAATGACGTTCAAATAAAAAATTTTGACTTCGGTAGAAAAAACTGGGAGACAATGGAGTTCTCGTGTATCCATCATCGCCGTTCCCAGCGAGTTACCACCACTCGTATTTCTTCAGGCCATATAATTTTGGATATTGGTGTCTTTTTAATGTTCTGCGATTACCAACGTGCCAAGTACCCATGGGATTGGATAGCGAAGGCATGCCTGTCGGTGTACAGGTAAGAATTACAATGAATTCTGGAATTTAATAAAATATTGAACTGCAATGAAGTAATTCTTTCCAGATTGTTGCAGCTCCTCAGCACGATCACCTGTGCATCGCCATAGCTAGAGAGCTGGAGAAGACATTTGGTGGATGGGTACCTCCGTCCATGGTAATGCCCCAAAATTAAAACCCAAAAGAATTTTTCGCACTCCTCAACCAAAATAAAATGATTCACAAAGAAGAGGAAACATTCCAATTATACTTTGGCTGAAAAAAAAATCAACAATCTCCATCAAATAAAATGAACTCCCGATTGAATGAAATAGTTCCAATAGAAGTGTGAGTGTGTTTTTTTAAAATATCTGTATATTCGTTACGTTCGATGATCACAAAAGCGCAAGGCCCCCTGAATTGAACTCAATTCCCAATACACTATCAATTGTCATTACGAATCTTCAATCTTAATCAATAGGTTCTCAAGTAATTACTAATTTGTTGGTGTCAGATAGGTCTACGGGTGCAATTAAATTATCCCATCGAAAATAAACATTCGATCAAACCAGAAACTTGCACAATTCAATAATTTCCACGATTTCACCAAAATCCAGGCACAAATTTGATATTCTTTACGAGTAATATCCGCAGCAAGAATAGAAAACTATCATTTGTTCTGTAAACAGACAATCGGATCAATAATCAAATGCAATTTCCAGAAAATTTTTCATTATTCCAATAATTAAGTGGTTTTAGGTGACAATATATTATCAAAATCATCAGTGATTTTCCCTGTCCAATTTTTGTAAATGGGTATAGTTATTGTTAATAATAAATTGAAAGTTAGTGAATTTATGTGGGAAAACAAATTATTATCCCCCTGAAGCATGTAATTATAACCGTTCAAATGGTGCGTCTGGAATGTAAAAAAATCATTTGAAATTCGTAGTATTTTATTGAGCTTCGTGCAGCGCATGCGTTCTTGGTCGTGTCCAGACACTGGCGTTTAGACCGCGAGAAATCTCCCCTCGGTGTCTCGTAACTCGGAATAGTAATCTCGCGTCTGTGGAAACGCGTGTGACGGTGCCAAGTCGTCGGCAAATTAAATCAGTGTTGCCAGTACCTGTCGATCAATCCGGTGAAGAGTTGTAATTAATAATAAATGCGAGTGATTAAATGTGACTGATAAACGCGCGGGAATTTGTCCATCAGATGCCGTCGATATCACCTGCGGTGATCATCCGGTGGAATGGTTTGACAGGAGTGAGGTGGGGGGTGGTTAAAAGAATGTGAGGACAAGTCCGGATTGAAATAATAAATCCGGCGATGTCAGAGAAATGGGCGAGGTCCCGCGGATTCGAATTGACCGCAGGTACCTGAAACAACTCAGGTCTCAGGCCGCCACCATCGAGCGTCTCTTCGGTGTTCGGTTGTCAATTACACCAGGTGATACGGACATCGAGGCAAGTGATAACGAACCACCAGATGATGATACATGGATGTCAGAGAGATCAAGCAAGGAGGAACAAGTGCTTGTAACAATCGAGCTCGTCACTCTTCCGCGTGATTCCATTGGCGACGTGGGAGGAAATCCCGGTGGGGATCAGCTGCCTCAGGATGGGGGACTGTCGGGTATACCTCTCCCCTCTCAAGTCATCGACAGGGTTCAGGTGAGTTGATGAGCCTAATAATTTTTATTCCTCGGTTCTCTCAAAGCATTTGAATACCCAATAGCTCATACCAATATGCCATTATTTGTTGATCAACTATTTTCAATTCCGTGTCAAAGTAAAAAGTCGAAAAATTTTGTAACTATTTGAGAAAGAGGTGGAATCGATAACCCACTTGTTATCCTGTAACCGTGGGTTTATCTGCCGATGACGCACGTAACACATGCACGATATATACCGATACATTACAATCGAACATGATCCTCGTCATCGGGTGATGCTGAGGGGTAAAATAAAGGGAAATAAAGTGCGCCTTTCCCCATTCGAATGACGAGAAGAAGAGGTGGTGGGCTGGTGGATGGGGAAAGAGAGATCCGTGTCAACAAACCTGAATGTAGTACGACCGCCTCTCATCCATTATAATCGCCTATCGGTTTGTACACCGATTAACCAATACAAATATCACCCCACCCCCTTATCCCCCTCCCTTTACAATTACAACAACTCTCGTACTTGTTTCACTGGTACACGATAATTCATAAACCGTTGGACACGGATTCGACTCGAGATTGTAATGCACAGGTTTATGTTTGGCAGTTATCGCTCGATACTCCTTCCTCTAATGAGACCTCATTATCATTAATTATTCCGCGGAGTTATTAATTTCATTTGAGAGGAATATCGTGATGCCGGTAACTCATGTAGGAGAATGTTAATAAAATAGAAATTGGGATTAAACGGTTTTAATTGATTTTTAGATTCCAAGAGGTTGTTACAGAAAAAATTATTTCATTGAGTGGGAAAAAATTTGTTGATTGATTTCGAGATTCAAAAAACGATCTATCGATATGAGTGTATTTTTTCCCCGTGGGAATTATCCAAGGCTGGGGGAATTAAAGTTGTAAAAAACACGGATGACCAGTCGCGTCATGCAGATACATACATTCAAGTGTCCAGGGTATGACGTACCCGTCGGGTGACCTTTTCTAAACATCCGGGTAGAGGGAGAAATTAATTCAGAAAAAAAAACGATGAGACTGGACCTTATCTGAACGAACCAATACAAATCCCACAATCTACGCCGTATTTTTTTATTTGCACTCCACCAAAAAAAAAAGCGAGACATTTCAATCAAGTCGATGAGTTCACTTGAAAAATAAAAAACCATTCCTCTGATCTATGCAGAATGATTGATTCCTAATTAGCATTAAAAATTAATTGCTTTTGCAATTTTATTCGCATTGATCTGTGAATTTTTTCTTGAGTTTAAGGATCCATTGCTGATCCATAGTTCTAGTTCGCGGGATTTTCTTGGAAATGAAAGATGTTTTTCTGATACCCGTTATCTCACCCGAACACATGTCCGAGTGATTGCACTAATCAATGATGGCACATATTTAAAAGATTCAGTGTTGAGATAATCTTAATTCACGTCACACGGTACGATAACAGCCATCACAGAAATCAATCACTGGATAAATTGTCCGTAGGAATAAAACGTGTTGATTTACGACAATTGCAGTGTCTCGTTACTCAGACGCTTTATCACCATGAAATCACACTCCTCCAGATCACAAAGACAGGGTGTGGTGTATTAAGGATATCCAAGTAGTTCAAGAAAGTTTTTCCAGGAGAAATCCTTCTCAGACTTAACAGAATAGAATAAACTTCAACTCATCAGAGCACGATCATTATTATTTATTAAAAATCGTGAGGCATTTTTTTTTTAATCTCTCATCCATAAAAATGTCACGGTATAATAGACAGATAAAAATTAATTCGTGCACGACAATCGAAGATAATTCTTTGTGCTCCACCCAGTGGGAAAAAAAAATCGACATAATGAATGGAAAAGGAGAAATATTAATCGTTTATATTGCATACGATCGGAGTGATGACTAGTCAGTCGATATATTCAATCGAGCGGAAATACGATTGGATATATTTATCAGCAGAAGACACTCTTCACCTGTGCACTGGTGGTCTTTTGATAGCATTGATTCACCCAGTGCTCCAGTTATCAATGAAGAAAGCTAGTCTATTTCCTCCACTCCACCCCCGAGAACAATACAATATAAATAATCCATAATGCATTCACAAAAAAATGGACATCATTGCAAAAATCGAAAAATGAAAGATATATATTAAAAAAATTAATGAAGCGAATGGAAATTCAGAGATTTGAACTATGAAGATATTTTTAGCAGTGGAGTTACTGAATAACAAGATCGTTGAGTCTTAATATGGTTAAGACTGGGAGAAAAGTCCATAATATATTGCGAAAGCGTAAAATACGGTTTTCAGAAGTAATTTACGTTTTTGCGTGAGATCGGCATAAATATAATGCGTCAGTTGTTGGTGAGAGAGTGCTGGAGGCTCTGGGTCAAAATCAAGGATCCTGGATGTTGATCCTCATTGATTATTTCGTCATCCAACACTCTACTGCTACTTCCCACCGAGATTGTTAACCCGTGGTAGTCAGTGTTTCGAACCAATACCTGTTTTACTTGTTACAAAATTCACTCTGACGGATGCACGCCTACGTCTTCTCATTCTTCCACTATCTCCATCCCGTAAATTATTGAATTTATTCCGTGAGAATATTTTGACATTAAGGACAGAAAAATCTCCTCCAAAATTATTTAAAATAGCATTCTAATACAATTAAAATATATTCATTCCTATGAAGTTATGATTTCTGGGAAAAAATTAATTTTCTCCAAGAATTTGGTAATTTTTGCTGAAAGATATTGAATTTTCTCAAGAATATCAATCCACTACTGGAATATATTTTCCTCTCCTCATAAATATGATAAAAATGCGCGTGCAGACGTCAAGGAACAATTTGCAAGTGCTCGCAATAACCGATAGCTTAACAGCGGTTGAGGTTGAAGACCAGTGGGTTTCAGAATGCTCCATGAATAACGCCTGCATTGGGTATAAACAACAAAAATGAATAACTCGAATGCAACGAGGCAAAGAGAACGCGTGAACGAGTAATCCGGTGGAAACGGTGAAAAATTAATGAGAATGTATCGTTTGCCGAAGCGGAACGAATTCCATATCCCGCACTTTTATCGTGCATCGCAGATGTTTATGGTCTTTCATATTGTTTTATTATTATTATTTTTTTTATACGCTTTGGTGGATCATTGGGGTGTAATTTTGTGGGATTTCAATTGCGAAATGACACACGCACGTGCCTGAATGTCAGACTGATCCCGGATGCAGTCGTCTCGTCCGTGGCCCGCATAATCGCACACTCTCACGAGTGCTTTTTGCAGTTTCACCTCTTCGGTAATAACTTGCATAAATAAATAATCATTCGATATCCAACTTAAGGATGGCCCTTTAAGCCACATTTTTATCAATTTTATGGCAATTGTTGATGGGATTGAATAGAAGATGAAATGAAGATCGAATAGACATGAAAAGGTTTTTCAAAATCTATTGGATTTTTTTTTCCGCGAGGTCAACCGCCGATTTTCATGGAGAACAGCTCATAATGAGTCTTGGAAGTTGAAAGGAAGAAACTCGTTTCGACATATTGACGCAATTGCCGACGTATTTGATATTCAGCAGGGATTCGCACAATGTTAAATTAAATAAATTAAAAAACGGAAATTGTCGTTCCTGGAACCTGAAGACCGGCACCTGAAACACGTCATCTCAACTCGCACATGCCTTCCGGGCATTTCAGTCGTGTACGGCGTGAATTATTTCTCCTCGTGATTTTTTTATTCCCCGTTGGTGGCTTTTTTTATTTATTTCTCATTTATTTTTTTTTCGGTCATTCCCAACGTCGCCGATCTGCACGTTCCGCGGGGCGATGACCTCTCGAGATTCCGTGAAACCCTGATGGATTCTGCGAATTGGGATCCTGAATAATTCTCCATTTTTAACGTTTTCTATTTGCATTTTTAATGAGTCTCATTTTCATTCATCGTTAAGTCTCTGACATCTCGTGGGGGACAGAATATCTTGTCATTATTCGCGAGATGTTTCTGAATTTCTCCAGACAAGTCATTCCCAAGTATTTCAAATTCAACCTCAAGCATGAGAATTATCTCGAACAATAAAATAATTATTGGAAAAAAGGCCTTGAATGAAGGCCAATGATGATTCTCAAAATTTAAAATAATTTCGAATAATTTAACCGCAGGGAAAATATGGGCATAATGACGGGCCTCGTATTGCCTGATTATTAAATTATTTAATTTCACTGTAATGTTTCCACCTGGGGAATACCTGGAAATCCCCACCCTGGAAAAATATCTTAGAAACATATATTCCCGTTTTTTTTACTTGTGTGGCGAATTGGAGAAACCCAAGATTAAAAGTGTCCGTTGAAATTGACGGTGAGGTAGTTGGAGTTGAGAATGTCTTGCTGAGTGATTTGAGAGGTGGAAATACTAGGTACAATCGAGTACTATAAGGTGTAATAACAGTGTATGCCACCTGTCCGCATCGGTCAAAGACCCGTTGATGACGCGATTTACTAGCGCACATAAAAAAAAATATCCAGTAAAATTAGTATTTATTTTTTGGGCTAATATTTCGAAAAATTATGAGTACTTGGTGAAAAAAAAATTGGAAGAAAATGTTTGTGATGGATTTTTCCAACAATAGTGAATTTTCCAGGATTTTATTTATAATTAGAATGAACCCAGTAATATTTTAGACAATTGTAGAAATTTTGGGAGGAAAATTACTGGATGGACTTTTTCGACAATTCCGAATTTTCAAAGAGACGACTTCCTGGAAGTTCTGGAATGGAGACGAATTGGATAATATGTCGGATAATTAGGGGAAATTTGGGAGGGAAAATTGAGAAAAAAATTGAGGAAAAATTTGAGAGTAAACGGAGTGTTGAGTGTAAAAATGGAGGGGGAATGGTGAGGATTGGTTTTAGGTCCCCCCAGTGTTGGCCGAGTGCTGGTTTTCCATTCACTAGCCGACAGCCACCGGCAACAAGTCCCTCGTACATGAAATACCGTACGTGTGTTGCCGTGTGTTCACTGTATAAGTGTAAAGTACAATCGTGTATGAGTACACGGTATGTATTACCGTTTCGAATCGTCTCCCACTTCACCGCAACGCACACATACAAGAAAAATTTCTCCTTTCCCCCTATCTCCCATTATTTTTTCAAAAAAAAAATTCCTCATCATTCAGTCGAACGGTGAATCCGGGAGAATCGCATTTCCGCTGTCACCAGATCACTGCTCACCATTTCAATTCAGTTTTAAACAGTACAAGTTCATCAACACCTGATGTATGAACGCTCAATAGTCTGTTGTGAAAGTTTGTGTAACATTCAATTTGAGAATTGTTCAATTTTCGGGGAATAACCACTGGGAATATGACCGTCGCTGGAAAGGTAAGAGACGGCTACAATATTTTTGGAGAAATCGCGGACTTCCGGATTTTCTATTCATTATTATACATTTTTTTCACGATCTCATTTGAATTTGTAATTTCATGAATTTGGATTTAATTATCAGTGATTTAATTATCATGTTCACGAAATTTCTTGGTTACCGAAAATTCTTGGAAATTCGAAATTTTCGATACAATTTCTAGACTTTCTTTGGCAATTTCTACACTTTCTAACTGACTAATAATTATTAATTGATTTTAAATGACAAATTCTAGGACCCGGAGAAAAATTTTTTCTTCTTGGGTCTGTTAATTTTCAGATAATGTCTTCAATGCGGGATATAATACAAAGTAAAACAATCGTGTGATAATGATACCAGATCCGGTTTGTCAGTCAAAAGTCAATTACACCGAGATTACGGATTACGCGCGAGTGTCGCGAGGAAAATATCGACAGTTTATCGCGCCCGATGTCCAGCGAAATCCGATAACTCGATCGTTTCATTGGGCATGGAAGGTGTCTGGATACTCCAATATCGAATGTATCGATTTCACGCGACCCGGAAGTCCTCAGTCTGAACGGACAACCGTCAAAGGAATCGGGCCTTTCGCTCCCCTATTTTTTCTCATTCCCTGATGAATGAGTATCTACGGATTGCAGAAAAATTTCTATCAAATCAATTATCGAGTCAGAAAACAATTTCCATCTTTCATGAATTCATGAATTCTTCAATGGACACCTCAATTTCAAATTCAGCCTGAAGAGTAAATTAATTTCTCATAGGAATTTGTTTTTTCGGTGGAGAAATGATTTTTGTAATGTAGGAGTGGAGGCCCTTCGGTGGGGGCCCACCAGGTTCCCTTCTACCTCGAGGTCAGACACGCGCTGGAGCCGGTTCCGGTATCGACGCCACCCGGATCTTCACGACTGTAACCACCACGTATTAATTAACCCGCGGATTCTCGGTCATTAACGGTCCTCTCGTGTTCAATATTCTCCGAGGATTGAAATATTCAATGACTCGGAGAAAATTTGACTCCCGGGAATAATATAAAACCAAGTCACCTGCACTTCCATCCTCGAGGAAAATTTGGAACACCATCCGCTGGGACTTTTGACCGTTTTTTTTTGCTTGTCACGTTTTATCTTCTTTGATACACCTGTAAAAAGGCGTACAAAGTATGACCGACCCTGATTGCTCGGTGTATACACACGGAGAAGTCCCGTCCCGCTACTTTCACCTGAATCCCCGCTAATGGCTACATCCGCCAACCTGAGAGAGCTATGCCCCATTTAAGATAATTCCAGTGTCTTCCATCAAATCGCTCTCCACCGAGAAAAAAGAATTCTCCAGTTCCATAAAAAAAATTCCCTCAATCCCGTGATCTCTCATCGTCACCCCCCAAAAAAATAGAGTTAGCTTGACCTGTCCCTTGACCTGGGGATTGAGGATGAAAAAAAGTTTTGAATTTTGCAGAGGTATGTGGATTGCACAGTGCTGGGACGTGGGAGTGCTGGAACAGGTACAGAGGCCGAGGACTCGTCCTACGACAGCGATTTCGAGGCTGAGGACTCCATCGGATCGACAATCGTTCATCCACAATTGGAGACGCAGGTGTCATCGTCAACCCATTCGGACGTATCCCGAACAACATCCGACACTCTGGCTGCAGAGTTTGCGGAATATGTCACAGTCCAGGGAGTATCGCCCACCCAAAGTCCAGGTGAATGATTGATCCTGATAATTTTAATTATTTATTCAGCCTGCATTACTAATTTGTCTCCCTGTAGGCTACACAGCGCGTGTGGAATTTGCCCTGAAGTTGGGGTATACCGAGCGTCTGGTTCAGGTAGCCCTTCACAAATTGGGTCCAGATCCAGGCCAGAATGAGCTCCTGGCTGAGTTAATCCGCCTGGGGGCGAGTTCCTCTCGTTTTCCAGAAAGCCCGGATGATCCTGACTATCTCTCAGAGGTGGATCCACCCACGGACGACACAAAACGCACCAGCGAGTCGTCAGGGGGTCTTCGTCCAGTGGTGATCGATGGTAGCAATGTAGCAATGAGCCACGGTAACAAGGAAATATTTTCCTGTCGTGGAATAAAAATCTGCGTCGATTGGTTTCGCTCGAGGGGCCACAGAGAGATCACAGTGTTCGTGCCAAAGTGGCGAAAAGAGTCTTCAAGACCAGACAATCCAATTGCCGAGCAGGAGATTCTTGGTGAATTGGAAAGAGATCGTCTTCTTGTTTTTACACCATCGAGACTAGTCGGTGGTAAACGAATGGTCTGTTATGATGACAGGTATATCCTGCGATTGGCAGCTGAGCTTGATGGAATTGTTGTGAGCAATGACAATTATAGAGATCTTGCCCAGGAGAGTCCTGATTTTCGAAAGGTCGTGGAGGAGAGAATTCTCATGTACAGTTTTGTTAATGATCGTTTCATGCCACCTGACGATCCACTCGGCAGGAGTGGGCCAACTCTTGATCATTTTCTGAGAACTGGAGCGAGGAAAAATGATCCAGCACCACCTTGTCCCTATGCCAAGAAGTGCACCTATGGGAATAAATGCAAATTTCGTCACCCTGAAAGGGGACCACATCCCCAGAAATCAGTGACTGAGAGACTTGTGGAGCATGCACAGAGACACTTGCAGGCAAGAAGTCCCAGTCTGAGTTTACCCCTGTCTTCATCAACATCGAGCACTCATTCAGGGCATCAGCCTCTCTGCAGAGCGAGATCTGCTGTTCCTCCGTCCATTCAGGCATCCACGTCTGTACCCAAGAGTAGATCGGTTGAAAATATTGGTGATCCTGTTGGAGGGAAACTTTATCCTCAGACACAGGGATATGGAGGGGCTGTTGGTTGGCCCGCACCCAGGATCAGCAATCCTGAGCCTGAACCCGCTAATATGCACAGAAAACTCCAGAGGCAACTGACACTCAATCCAGCGTGTGATCCAAGATTGTATCAGCTCAGGAGATATCATCAGCCACATCCTGGTAGCTCGGGGAGAAATAATTTACAACACAGGCCACTCGTCAGACATGCCAGCAACGAGTCTTATTCGATTTCTATGAACTGGGATCCATCGGAGCATCACGCCCATCAGCACGTGACGAGGATAGCCTCAGCCCCGGATTCCTCCCGGGGATGGCCACCACGAGGGACGGGACTGTCAGTTCCCCCTAGAAGTCAACGTTTAGGGACATCCGAGCCCCAACTTAATCTTGTCCCATCCATACCTAGTCTCCACCCTCCGTGGACCGCAACCCAGACACAGGACGCAAGACGTCGTCTTCATTATCACCTTGCCAATATTTTTCCTGAGGAGCAAGTCCAGGCCGCAATGGCAATCCATCCTCACGAGACAGATCCCCAGAAAATCTGCGCAGCAATTCTCGCTATGTTCCCCAAACCCTAGAGCACTCCTGAGAGACTCTTTTTTCCAGCTCCTCATTCCAAGGTGAGGGATCAGACGTATTTTGGAATAAAGTGAATTTTTTAGGGAATTTTTCAACTGAAAAATCGAGATAGTATCAGATTTCATTTTTTTTTTAATAACAAGATTGTTCTCTCAGTGTAAATATAATGAAACACTCAAAAATTGTCTGATCCATCAGGTAATTGATTAATTTGGAGTTGAATATGATCAACTGAAACCCGAGATATACCTCTTAAAATTAGCTACAATATCAATCGGACCAAACATTAAATATCCGTCGGTCGCGGTGAACAACTAGAAAATATTTAACGAATGTAAAAAGGGCCAGCTTACTATTAATCTACGATTACCCCACGGTTTACCCTCAACAATTACGCTGATAAAAAAAATGTCTCTTGTCAGTGTACCGGTTAATTATCGTTTAATTTCAATTCACTGCGATTAAACCACGGGCCTAAATGTGATAATGACGTTAAGGTATTAATCATAAGAAAGCAACAGAGTGTACGTTTTTTCTACCCATTTTGATCCCCTGGATCTCATGGACTCACGCTCTCTGTGAGAGCACATTTTACCCATTCACGTTTTTTTTTCTGTAAGAATTATTCAGTTGTCCTGAATCCTAAATAGTGAGGGCTGAGGCAAAATGGACGCTTTTTTCATTCGAAGATTTCGAAAAATTCTTTGTTAGTATTATAAAACCGTAAAAATATCGAGATACAAAAAAAAAATTTACAACTCCTTGCGGAAAAAAAAATGAAATCAATTAAACTCAATTAAATTTGTGTTAAAAAAATGAAAACGAGTGTTCATTTTACCCCACTGTACACCATTGAACCGCAAACATTTTCATTGTTGAAGGATCGTTATGCATTTGATGTTTATTGTTTATAATCGCTCTCGTGCGAGTCATTGAATCTGTCAAGCACAAATTGACGAATATAATAATGTACGAAGGTCAGTTATAGAGGCCTCATAAAATTGATGGTCGTGTGAAAACATGGGTAGAACATCTCATCGAGCTAATTACGGTAACTAGCGATTCGCGATTGAGAATATTTCCACAATGGAATTGAAGAGCAACAAACATCAGGACACGTCGGGGAAAAACACTTCAGACCTTTTTTATCAGAAATTTAATTAGTAGAGAAAGTCTCAATTGTTCGAGCCATTCATCTGGCAAGAATTAGAGTTCGTGTTTGAAGTGTTTGACTCATTGTTCCTCATTTCTCGTTTTGCGATCGATTTCAGACGAGGGCATTACTACATTTGGATTAATATCAGAGTCGAAAATTGATAGCGGACTGATGACTCACATTGAGTTACACTCCAGCTGTCAGTTTCCACCGGGAGAAATCACTTGGAAAAATTTTCGAGATAAAATTTCTGTTCATTTTTCACTGAAATTCTATTCCAAGTCTATGAATCTCAATGAAAATGCAATTTTTCCAAAGAATTTCTCTCCGTACATTTTTCCAGGGAAAGTGCAATACTATGTATTGCATAATTGATATTCTATTCAGACACTTCCAGATGTTACGTATCAAATACTGTGAGTGTTTCGATCCTCTAGAATGCACAGTAATAACTACAATCGAAGAATCAATTACAAAATCATTTCTATCGCCGTTGACGGACGATAATTGTTGGCTCTGCATCTCGCACAAAACACCAATGATACCCACAGCAGAAATATCATATTATTACGTTAATATGTATAAAATATTATATTATATATAAGAAATTTGTATCAATGTTATTGCTTATGAAATGTCAAATAAATGTTTTCTTTTCCAATCTTCTATTACAGAAGTCGTTGCACGAGAAATTAATAAATTAATTTTTTTTTCAAAGGGAGTAAAGTAATTCCTCATAAATATCTAGTGACAATTTATCACAAACTAGAAATTGGCGTAAGTAAAATCGTGATAACTGGAACAATTGGTAGAGGGTAAATAAGGAATGCTAATATGTACATAATTGCATATCTTTTTCTCGTTTTTTACACAAAAAAATTTAATTTCTTAACGATAAACTCCTTTGAAACGTTCGAAGTCTACAATGATGTTTAAATGAAACTTATTCGAAATAAATTTATCCACGAAGAGCGAACAACTAATGACAATTTTAAAAAATGTACTCGATCGAGGATTACAGTACGATGAGGGAGTAACACAGGTACACTGCGAATTTATCTCAGTCGTCATCACTGCAGAAAATATTTCCCGTTGCAGCCGCCATTTAAATTACAGCTGAATAAATCTGTCGTGAACACATAACAGGAGTGACTGCAAATAGCTATTGCGAAAATTCCAACAAAATGGCACGCGAAAAAAAATTCAATAGATTCAATTTTTTTGTTTAACTTTCCCGTGGGTTTTCGTTGATTAAATAATTATTTTTGCTGCAACTTCTTCTGGCCTGTTAAAAAATCCAATGGAAAAAACTTATACGAGAATTTTTCTATTGAATTCCTCTCCTACGTGGCATGAAAAATTAATTTTCGCTCTTTTTCGCATTTTGAACGCACACAACCGTAATTCGTTCTCAAATGTGGACTTGGACAGAGTTGTTCGTAATCTCTGATGAAATAGACACTAGTATTTTTCATCGCATGATCATAGAATTCTTTCGTAGAAGAGTAAATACGCCTCGCGTTGTAACACACTCGCCTCGTCAATTTCCATTACTCTGCAAAAATTGGTAAATGCATCTTTTTATTACAACTACAGCCTTACGTGATGTGAAACGTAATTATCAATTATTATCAATAATATGCAACGTTAAAAATAAAATTGCACAAAAATTCGAAAAAAAAAAAATGTACCTGGAGTCAGAGACGTAGTACCACCTGCCAGGAGGTGGTTGTATTTTTTCCTGGGGGTCTATCCTCTCAGGCTCGACGACTTCCTCGCCATCATTAGCCCTAGCCTTGGGTAGAAAAGCCCACCTGGGATCATCGGGCTGCAGGGGCTGCCTAGCCTTGACATAAGCTACATAATGACCTCCATGAAGAGTTCCACTGTGTTCAACAACCCCATAAAGTGAGTAAATCTTCGCCCTGTCATGACACTTGCAGACAGGAGCCAGATCGAGAATCATGGGGAACGCCACGTGCTTGGTAACTTTTCTGAACCCAAATCTCTGTGACTGGAATCTCTTCAAATGCAAAATAAGAACAGCAGGAACCCTGGAGACGAGATACTGCTTGGTGCTGGACGTGCACACCATTTTTCCTTTTTTTTCTTTATTTTCCCGAGCAGTGCAGGCCTCGCACCCCACCTTATTGCTACCACTCATCAATTCCCTCGCAGTGAATTGATTCAGGCAGGACTGAATGGAGCACTCGCCACTGGCCACCTGATAACTCGTTGGAGATTGATTTGAAACTGACATATTCCCCATTCCACTTGTCACCTCATTCATTCCATTTCTCATCTCAACAGCAGTTAGTTTCTTCAAGGGATCCTCAGCCTCTGATCGACACTCGTCAGTCTCAGCCTCTGAGAACCTAGAGGATTTATCTTTCCTGTCTTCAACCTCTGGTCCATCATTGATGACTAACGTGAAGGTCAGTCTCTCCTGAGAACTCGATGTGGGACTCTTCGAGGTGATGGGGCTGCTCAGGGGACTTCCGGTGGCCCCAGGACTCATCTCAGAGTTGACGATGAGAGACGTCGATGGAGAGAGGTCTGGCAATGCCTCTGAGGCTGAACTCACTGGACCCTCCAAATTCATCTCCAGGGATGGATTATTTAGTCTTGATTCCAATGTCTCAACCCCTGAATTATACATGGAAATTTCTCTCAATGAATTCTGAGTCTTTAACTCATCCTCACCGCAGGGTTCCCCAGGAGATACAGGACTTGTGACAGTGGACACCTTCTCAGAGCTGTATCCAGATTCGATGACCTCATGAGATGCCCCATCATTCTCGATATTATCCTCAACATCAGCATCACTCTCCTCTGACTCAGCCTGACTGGCCTGATCCACATTATTCCGACTGACTCCCGATTTGTTGATGTTAGTGTAATCATTCTGTCGATTTCTCCTCGCAGGCTTCTTCCCCTTCTTCAGTTGATACTTGGAGGGTCCACTGGTATTCCCCATGAGGTCAAAACTGTCTTCGAGACCGCTGTTTCTGCGTTTCCCCACCACTGGAGGCTGTGGCTTGTCCATCAGAACTGGAAGGGAGAGGTCGAGGAAGGGCTCAGTTCGTTGAGAGGAGTGATGGCAGTCCAGACACTCCAGAGTAGACACCAGTACCCCCCGAAAGACTGGCTCTGATCCCAGGTGCCTGGCACACGCCTGATTTCCATAAAACTTCACCTGTGCCTTGAGATTTCCATCGATTGCCTGACGTTTTATCTTGTCATCGAGACCAATTTTCTTCAGAATAATTGCCTGATACCTCCTCACGTCGTCGTTTCTCACGTGCTCCAGGAGATGACGTAGCAGCTCGTGGGAATCATGCTGACCTCCATCCATGCACTGGGACGATTTTTTCTTGAAGGAGTTGAGGAGTTCGGAGGGCCTGTACGCCTGATTGCTGTCTGAGCTCTGCATATCTGTCAGTGTTTTCCAGAGGGTTGCAGTGAAATTACCCCACCCCTCGAGCTTTCCCTCGATTGGTGGCAAATCCATCTCCTCTGCGTCATCTGAGGGCTTGCATTTGCCTCCTGGAAGCACGAATTTCACGTCTGGCTCCCGCAAATCCTCCAGAACCTTCACCAAAAAGGGTGTTTGCGCCAGGCACTGCAACACTGAGTTGAAAAAACAGGTGTTGCCCAGGTTCACAAGCCCAACGACTCTCGTCAGGCTCGTCAGGGGTAGCTGCTTTTCTTTGGTGGATGGAATGGACTCGTGAGGCTTTTCAGCACAGGGCGAGGGAATCGCGGGCTGAGGGGACGTGTACGTTGTCGTCGCCAGTTTTTTTATGAATTCCACTATTTCGAGTAATTGTTTTCTGCAAGAAATCCATGAAGACACGTGATGAGGATCAACCTTTTTTTTTTACTAATAACAATAACAATAATTGTTATCTATGAATGAAAACATGAAAATATTATAATTTTCGTCAAGGCAAATATGAGATATCGAGAGTTTTATTCGGATAAAAAATAATTTTACTTCAGGATTAATTCTGTTAGGGAGGTTATTGGTATTTTAACTAACCTACTGTCAGCTTTAACCGCATCCTCGCACGCATAACACCATATACTCCACCGATGGGTATCGATAGCTAGACAGTGAGAATCACTGTGAGGTGTCCTGAAATGATGCTCAGCATGTTCGTTCAAAGACCGCCCACAGGCTTGATTCCCACATTTGAGGCATATCCACAGTGGTTGGATCAATGGGGTCATCTGCAAGGGTCGGCAATCAATGAGCCATTAATCAAATTGGAAATCATCAAAAGTCAGAGTTAGTGATTTTCACTGACGACTTACCCCATCATCGTCATCGACTTCGATCTTATTGGTATCGACTTTACTACACGTCGCGCACTCCGTTTGAATTCCAACTTTTTTCAGAACTTTTCGAAGTGCATTCATATTAATGGACTTCATGACGTGAGGGCACTTGGGTCCATCTGCAAGGAGAAATCAATTGATCAAGTGTCTCCCACACGTTTAATTAAAGTTTTTCGATGTAGAACGAGTGATAAATTTTCTAACCTGACTTGTTGTCCTCCCCAGACTCCGATGAATGAATACTCGCATCATCATTGACATCCGGTTGACGATTTTTCCTCTTCCCCATGACACCTCAATTATTCTCCACCCGAAATAAATAAACCAGTTGACCTAATTACGAATTAACAAAACGTGATTTAATCGGCTCCCATGCATTACCCACATCTCATGCACAATTGATCCTAAGAGATTGATGACTGCTCGTGACGCATAAATCAGAGGTCTGATGACTCGTCCCTCTTGACTTGAGAGTTCATTACTGATGTGATTATCTCAACAGAAAGATTTACCCGTTAGTTTGTCTCCTCACAGAACAGCCGAATTTATTATTGCGACCTCATGGTGCTTTGGCAATGGCAGATTGTCAAGGTTTACTCCACTTTTTCGACTTCTTTTTTATAGTGGTAACCAGATGAGAGTTGTCTTCGGCTGTGATCCCGAATAATCCCGAGCGCACCTCGCCGTGGCCCACGTATGCGCAGTGACGCTAAATCGTCGCACTCTGAAAAAATTAATTTCTCAGATATTCTTCACTCGTTCAATTTTATTTAATCCTCTACCAATCTCTCCTCCAACAATCTGAGAATTGAATACATCCGAATTTTCCCTGAGATTCCAGTAATTATGACGGGGAAAAAATGTAAAAAATCAGCTGGTTTGGACCTAAAATGAGTTGCGCGCCAAAAAGAGGGGTGCCGAGCATGCGCGGGCGCGAGTGTCGGTGGAAATTCGGGGCCCGAGCCGAAGTCCTCTCTCATCTGTTCGAGATTACAGTAAATTTATTGTCTGAAACAGTCTGAAGTCCGACGAATTTGACTGCAAATCCTCGGACTCCTTCACCTGCTCCAGTGCCCTGAGATATTGTATATTTTTTATTTATTTATGCCAAAAGACATTCGATATTCTCCGTTTGTCTACAAACGAAAATAATTGAGATTATTGTTGCTACGATTGTTGAGGCTTTACTTGAGGAACGAGATTCGGAGTTTACTTACGTTGAATACAAATTCTCGAGAGAGAGATTTTTGACAGTCGATTACTCGGTGATTGCCAGGGTGAACTTATACTCTGGAGTGGACAGAACATATTCAACCTCAATTAAAAAATTAACTCGTGTACTCATTGGAGCCGCTTGAAGAAGATTTGAGGAAGTTATGAATATTCTGTCTACAATTTGAGTCGACAACAAGTGTTTTGGATTTTTTGAAGTGAGCTGTTCTGTTAGTTTGAAGTTGGAGCATTTCTCATGATTGTTTACCTCGGTTGATGGCTAGAGTCGTTAATTTTTGGTGAAGTCAGAGGATTTCTCAATTTTTAAGAGAAAAAGGTTATTAGTGTGGGCGTTTCCTTTGGGGAAATTAGACGGTGGACATAAGGACGGGAAATGTCGAAGAACAAATTGAATCTGACACTGCCACCGGGTTCGATAGAACCGGTACCAGCAGTATCACCATCACCACCTGTACCACCTCTTCCTACTTATGCTGAACCACCAGTTATTCCTGAGTGAGTTTTTAAATGATTCTTTTTTAGGTAGAGGAAAAATTAAAATGATATTTACCCCTTTGATTCCCTCTGTGACGTGTGAAAAATATGGCAATCCATTTTTGTAAATAAAAAAATTTCGTTTCAGTGGAGTGATGGGAAAAATGAGCATCGACGCTATTCAAGAACGACTGGAAGAACTGGAAATGGATGAGGAGCAGAGAAAAAGATTAGAGAGTTTTCTAGGACAGAAGGAAAAAGTCGGAGAATTATGTGACGAAGATTTTGAAAAATTAGGAGAATTGGGAGCGGGTAATGGTGGTGTTGTAATGAAAGTTAGACATAAAAAATATGGACTGATAATGGCGCGAAAGGTGACTCGAAACATTGAAAATTAATTCCACGTGATCGAAGTATTTTTATTCTAACCAAAATCACTTGAATTTCAGTTGATTCATCTGGAGGTGAAGCCAGCGATAAAAAAACAAATTATACGCGAGTTAAAAGTCCTCCACGAGTGCAATTTCGCCCACATAGTTGGATTTTACGGTGCATTTTACAGGTAAAGAATTGAGTGAATAAAAATAAATTTCGAATCCTCAATGAATTAATTGAATTCAATTGCACAATTTAATAATAATCTGAAACATCAAGCACATTGATATTAATGCAATTCAATTGTTCAATTAATGAAACAACTATTAAATCGATTATTCCATCGAATTTTAATGTTAACATTTATTTCAGTGATGGAGAAATTAGTATATGCATGGAGTACATGGACGGAGGATCTCTGGATTTAATTCTGAAGAAAGCTGGAAGGATACCAGAGCCCATCCTAGGCACAATAACATCAGCAGTAAGTAATAAATAAATCCTTAACTAAAGTCACAGTAAAACTTGCAAAATTACCACCAGCCACAAACCCCTTAATATATTGATTAATAATACGTCTCCCTCTCCATGATTCCCCCTGGATAATTTCTGATATACCACCTCCTGACTTCGTCATAGCTCCACAAAAATATGCCCAAGGGTAGACAAGGTAGAAACCAATACGGATCGAGAGGCATTGCCTTGAGAACCTTTTCAGTTCCCGGTGTATACAGCAAAATGGCAGTCAAAATAATTTCAAAGACAAACGAAGCATTGAGAAACCAATTAGTCATGCCCTGTTGAAAAATGGAATTTCTCCTCGTCTTGCACATTACGAGATCGATCATCTGAGTAGTGACAATTGATATGAAGTACCCAGTTCTGGCTTCATTCAGGAGATCCATTCGACTCTGATAGGTCCAGTGCTGGCCATACGAGTCAATCAAATCAGTAATAGCTTTATTCTCCCATGACTGCCGGAGTCCGAACAAATCTAGCGGCAAAAACCCATGGAATCCAAGAATCATGAAGTAGTTCAAGAATCCAGCGAGTGCTTGGCACATACCAATCTGCCCATAAGCAACCGATATCAATCGTTTATTCACCAATTTGTCGTACTGGGGATTCCTGGGTGCTCTTTTCATGATGTCCGACTCGGGTTCCTCATAAGCTAGTGCAATTGCTGGCAACAGGTCCGTCCCAATATCGATGCACAAGACTAATTCAATGACAAAGGGTAATGGGATAGCCAGAATAATGCTACACAGCATTGGAATCATCTCTGGAACGCTAGACGTCAAAGTGTAAGCAATTGATTTCTTCAAGTTGTCGAATATCAATCGTCCCTCTTCGATTCCAGTGACGATTGATGCAAAATTATCATCCATCAGGACCATATCAGCTGCATTCTTAGCAACGTCTGATCCAGCTATTCCCATGGCAACACCGATATCAGCTTTTCTCAGAGCTGGAGAATCGTTCACACCATCTCCAGTCACAGCTACTATTTCCCCAAGTCTTTGACAGCTCTCGACGATCAGGAGTTTTTGCTGGGGAGACGTTCTCGCGAACACGATCTCCTCGTATTTTCTTATGATGCTGTCCAGCTGGTGACTTGGCATGGTCCTCAGTTCCACTCCTGTCAGAACGATCGCTTTCTGCAATAAAATTTATTTCTTGCATATTTTTCATTTATATTAATTTGATTCTATGGTGAAGCGGTAAAACAAGTCATAAAATCAAATGATTGAATAATTACTTTCTGTGACAAAAATCATGACACTTGTATTCAGTGAAATTTGAAAATTCGAAATTTTTGAAAAAAAAGTAAACGACGGATTGATTTTTCCCACTTCACTCAAGATTGATAAAATTCATTTCTGCGAACTCTTTTATCGCTGCGCTCCTCAGAATTCTGGCTGATAGATCTATCCGCGATAATGTGCTGTTCGTAATGCACATCCTCCCCTTCTCCAATGATGCCTACAGCCTTGGCAATGGCCATGGCAGTGACAGGATGATCACCAGTCACCATAATAACTTTAATTCCAGCTGTTCGACACGTGTGGACAGCCTCAGGCACCGAAGGTCTCGGTGGATCAATCAGGCTTATCAGCCCTACGAACCTGTACCCCTTTGCCGGAAAATTATAATTCTTCGGTGAAGACGTATCGAACACATAATTAACTGGATATTTACTCCCTGGAAGAGGTAAATCGCAGTAGGCGAGAACTCTCTCCCCCAGGAAGGCAAGTTCTGTGCAAGCACGACGCGACTCCTGGATATCAGTGCTTGTCAATTCCCTGGTGTGTCCATCCATCGCAAGAATTGTCCCACAGAAATCAATTATGACTTCCGGTGCTCCTTTCATTATCATCATATATCCATCCACCTCTTGGTGAATTGATATCTGATATTTATTGGTCGATGTGAATGGAATCTCAGCGACTTTGGGATAATTCGATCGAAATCTCTTGGTTTGATGTACGTGCTCGCAGAATTTTAGAATTCCACTCTCAGATGCATCACCTATCACATCTCGATCCTCGATTCTCGTGAAACCATCGAAATCACTTTGAAATTCGGCGCGCAGACAGAGTGTTGCTGCTTTGATCATGACATTGAAAGCTGGTTTCTCCAGTAATAAATCTCTCTCGGCACCGAGGGACCAGAGACCCGCTGGAAAATTATGTCTGACATTGCCGAACCACAGGTTTGACACTGTCATTTTATTCTGCGTCAACGTACCCGTTTTGTCTAAACAAAAATCACATCTCATTACTGACAAGTTAATTGAGTAATTCCAGTCTCGATCAGACGTTTTGACCTATTACCTGAGCAAATGGTCGATGTAGATCCAAGAGTTTCCACAGCCTCCAGATTTCTCACCAAACAATTTTTACTAGCCATTTTCTTGGCCGTCAGTGTCAAGCTCGTTGTCACAGTGACAAGCAATACCTCTGGGACATTCGCTATGATAATCCCCAGGAGATAAGTGAAGGCCTTCACCAGATTAGATTCAATCATCAAGGACAGACCAAAAAAGGTAAAACCACAGAAGACTGCTATCCACGTTATGACGTGGACAAAGTGATTGATCTCCCTTGAAATTGGTGTCTCTGTCTTGGTGACTTTAGTGGTGAGACCGGCGAGTCTTCCGATCATTGTTCTGTCACCTGTCGCTATGACTATTCCACTGCCTTCACCAGCAACAGCGTAAGACGAGAAGAACGCGATGTTTTGGGACTCCAAAGGATTTCTGTCGGTTGGATAATCACTTCTTACCACTGGCTCGCTCTCACCTGTTAGACTCGAATTTTCAACTCTGAGGCCAGTGCATTTTATGATCCTCAGGTCAGCTGGAATTTTGTCTCCAAGTCTTATCTCCACTCTGTCCCCAAGGACGATTTCTTCTGTTGGAATAGTCTTTTTATCACCCTCTCGAATTACTAGAGCGTAAGTTGGTACCATTTTAGTGAAGGATTCCATGACTTTGGAGTTCTTGCTCTCCTGGATGAAGGCAAAAAGACCTGAGATAATGCAGATGGCTATGATTATCACTCCGAACCACTCGATTCCCGCTTCGTCGTCGTGACCCATGAGCTCTTCGAGCCCATACAGAAAGAAGCAGAGGCAAGCGCAGATCCACAGAAGTGCAGCGAAACCAGCGAACATGCATTTCAAAAGTTTTACGTACTCTGGGGTTTGCTTTGGTGGACTCAGACAGTTTCTCGTTATCTCCAGGCGTTTCGATGCCTCTGCGTTAGTCAAACCTCTCCTTGGGTCTGTTCCCAGCTTTGTGCAGAGCTTCTCCAGGGAAATTATGTGATCGTCTGTGGAAAACTCTTGGTGGAGTTCGTTGATCTCGTCGTCTACTGATTTCTTTTTTGTGGAAAAGTGATGCGACTTTCCTCGTGAGGTTGATGGTTCATCGGACATTTTAGATTTTTAGGGGTTTTTATCGGGGTGTAGGTTGACCTCGAGTGGAAACAATCGAAGGAAAAACAGATTTTTTCTTTTGTTTGAGAATTCGAAAGGTTTTCTGCTGTATATTTTTTACGTTTTCACCTTCAGGCGTGTTTGAAGACAATGAATTTCAATTTACTTTGCAGGTACTCAAGGGACTGAGTTATTTGAGGGATAAACATGCGATAATGCACAGGGACGTCAAACCGAGTAATATTCTCGTCAACAGTGCTGGGGAAATAAAAATATGTGATTTTGGGGTTTCTGGGCAGTTGATCGACTCAATGGCAAATTCTTTCGTTGGTACGAGGAGTTATATGTCGGTAAGTGCAATGGAAAGAAAAATATCAAGTGGAGAAATTAGCAGTGAGGTGATAAAAGAGAAATATGAAACATGATGAATTTTTATTTTGTAGCCAGAGAGATTGCAAGGCACTCATTACTCTGTACAGAGCGATATTTGGTCTCTGGGTCTTTCTCTGGTGGAAATGGCCATCGGCATGTATCCGATTCCACCTCCGGATACGAGAACTCTCGTTTCGATATTTGGACCACAAGTTGCTCCACCACCCGCCGAAAACACCTCGAACAATGTTTCAACACCAACGAGTCAGTCACCTTCGCATAGTATGATTTATCGAGAATCAAAACTATCGCACTGAGGGAAATACAAAATTCACTGAAATCAATGGATTAATGAATTTTTATCAATTGTGAAGAATATGCCTCGCATCTCATCCCACAAAGTTTATTTCATTGTAAATTTTTGGGATTCTCGAAATTTTTATTTCACTCAGTGCGAGATTGCGGGTGAACAGAGAGAATAAAACGTGGTAATTGATTTTCCAGATGCCAGCAGTCCACGACCCATGGCCATTTTCGAACTGTTGGATTATATAGTAAATGAACCGCCGCCTAAACTTCCACCTGGCATTTTCACAGATTCATTCATGGATTTCGTTGATCGATGTTTGAAGAAAAATCCCGCTGAGCGTGCGGATTTAAAAACTCTCATGGTGAGTCTTCTCCAAAGTGAAAATTTTTTTTTGAAGACTTATTACCGATATCTTATCACTTTTCATTTTTTTTCTTCGTGAATTTCTGAGTTTTTCCTCAGTTCCCACTGTTTTCACTCACGAAATCCACCTTTTAGAATCACGAGTGGATAAAAAAAGCTGAGTCTGAAAACGTTGACATTGCTGGATGGGTCTGCAGGACAATGGACCTCCAACCAACCACACCAACTCGTTTAGCAAACGTACAGTCCTGAATAAATGTTACTCTTACATACTTGACCACGTACATACGCGTTCAGTACTCCTAAGTCACATTTGATTTTTTCTCCCCTGCCGTTAAGTGCCCCCCACGCAATTTTTAATTTCCCTTTTTTATGTCAGTGGTGTACTTCTCTAGTTTAGCAGTTAATTATCTTTAACAACGTCAATAGACATTAACAAAAATAGTGGAATTACGGAGAAAATAACGAAACGATGTTGTCGATTAAATGTATGCATCACCACTGCATTTAGAGGAATAATTTAATTAACATTTTTACCAGTTTTAGTGTCTTTACCCTCATGAAAGTATGTAAGAAAAAAAAATCTTGTTATAGTTATAGTTTATTCCTAGTACCATTGATGTTTCATGAGCATTGTATTTTTCCTGTGATAAGATTATAGAAATACGGGGGAGGAAATTAATTCCTCGTGTATCTGAACCACAGAATATGTGTGAGAGAGAGAATTATGGAATTTATTTCACATTTTTGTCATTCACGTATGAAAAATAAATGGATAAACGTAAATTCTCTGCGAATTTGGATTAAATTTCTTAGAGACATTGCACATTGTTTCTATTTAATTTTTTCATACGTGTCAATGAACGTTTATGTATAGAATTGGTACCTGGAAGCAAGAGATTTTTTTTCAATTAATTTTTTAAAGGGGAATGCGATAGAGATAATGAACGAATATATTCAATAGTAAATAATAATTAAAAACTGTTCACTCGAATACGCTTGCACTAGAATTTAATGTTGATGACATTTATTTCTCCCTTTTGATTACATGGAATTCGAGATATGGCGTTTACGAATGGAGAAAAGTTGAAGTGAAAAAAATATCGTAGAGGGAGTGAAAAGAAATAAAAATCCTCGATCAATCATCAGATTAAAGTATTTATATGCTCACAATAAGTGTCGCATTGTGAGATAAACAATGCATTCAGAAAGAAAAATCGAAAAAATCCTATTTTGATGAATCCAGAGTGAATTCTGCGTACGAGCAGTACAATATTGCAGAATAAAATAATAAAAACCGAGATTGAGTATTAAAAAAATGTTGCTCGTGTGCCTCAAGCGCTCAAAAATAATTCTCCTTGTTTGTACGCTTTTTTCTGCGCCGATGTAATACCATTTATGGCCGAAATACACCGATTTAATGTGGTTATCTGAATTAATTGTCGCATAACTGAAAATATCGACAGCTTAATATCATTTCATCAATTGCATTATGCGATTTTATTGATTTTATGTAATTGAGTCTGTTAAGCTATCGATATCCTCCGTTGAATGGAAAAAATAAAGGGAAGATCAAAGAATAAAATAATGGTGTTATTTATTGTTATTTATTATCCATATCTTGAAAATGCAACACTCGACATTCCCACAATTATGAACACTGAACTCGAAATACTGACATTTTTCGAAGAGAAGCCAATTTCTTCCTTCATTATATATTCTTTCAAAAATACCGATAATTCCTGCGAGGAATTAACAAAATAAACTCCTGTGAATAAATAACGAAATAAACTCAGATACATTAAGCACACAGTCAAAAGTAAATGTTAGAAATACATGCTAGGTACAAAAGTGAAAACTTATCAAATATTTTTCCTTTGGGTTCTTCCACTGCCATTCAGTCTGTGAGCGAGAAAGATAAACTCAGATGCATTAAACATAAAGTCAAAAGTAAAGTAAATGTTAGATGTACATGCTAGGTACAAAAGTGAAAACTTATCAAATATTTATCGTTTGAATTCTTCCACTGCGATTTATTCAGTGAGGGAAGAGAGTGTATAACACGATATAATTACGAAAATCATTACGACGACGTTAAGACGGGTCTATGGAACTTTGATGGCAGTAATTGTATATAAATTGTTCCAAAGCACTGTTAGAAATTCATTTCCAGCATTTAAGTGGGGAATGTGGAATTTTTTCGTTGCCTGCAAAATGAAATTCCAATTTCCAGTGTTTAATTTCCCAGACATTTCCCTGAAATGCCAAAAGAATTTTCACAGCGAATCGACCTAAATTCTTCAAAAAGGAAAAAAAACTACAATTACGAAGAGACTTCACACAATTATCACACATCTGTTCCCATTCTCGAGTTGGTTCCCAAGGACGAGCATAAAATTTTTTCTGCGTGTAGAGTAATTTTCAGGACATATCGACATTAACGATTTGTAAAAGTGGAGACACCCCCAAGACTTGTGACTTCTTAACATTAGTCTGACCAACAATAAGCTTGAGCATTAAATTATTTGTTCGTCGTTTAGTGATAGAAATAGCAGCCTGGATAGTTAAATCAGATATGGAAGACCTGGAAAGATCGAGTAACACGAGATTCGGTGCCATTCTAATGAGATCGATAGCCCCGGAGTCCCTGACAAGAGGACATTTGCAGGCCTTCAGAACCCTCAAATTGTGGAGAGTGGCGAGAGGTTTATCGGTCACTTGTGTCACCCCACTTATCACCAAAGTCTCCAGCTTTGACAGTGCCGATAAGCTGACAATGGCCCTATCAGTGACATTCATGCACCCAGTAATATCTAAATAATTGAGTTTTTTGCAATTTTTAGAGACATTAACGAGAAAGTCATCAGTGACACAAATATGATGACTGAGATTCAGATGCTCGAGATTCTTAAGATTGACTAAATGATTCATATGTACGGCAGAAAACATTGCGTAATCTCCACTGAGCTCCAGGTGTGTCAAACTCTCGATTGTTCCAATAGCTTTTAAAGAGCTGTTTAACAAACAAATGCAGGATTTCAACGTGATTTTCCTCAAAGCAGTGAATTTTACGACTGCAGAGTCGAAGTGAGTTGACTGCAATGATATGCACCTAGACATGGAAATCTCTTCAATGGTGTCAGTTGGCAAGTATCCAAGGCACTTTCCATTAATTGATTCATCCTGGATTTCAAGACTCTGTAATTTCGTACTCATAGCAAATAGCTGTGACAGATTCTTTTCACATGGACCATTCAATGACTTCATCACGAATTTCGTCATGTGCTGGCAATTTTTCATGAGAGAAGCGATTCCAGAGGGTGAAAGTTCCAGGCCTCTGATATTGAGGAACTCAAGATTGGGACAGAATTTCCCAACGATCGTCAATGTACTGGACGTCAAACCATAGGCAACGATTGAGAGGTCGAGGTGTGCAAGGAATTGTCCACACTTCATTAGGACTTTTCTCAAGGTATTAGTATCCAACATTTGAAGACGAGCTTTTGGGGAGATGCCCCAGTGCTCTTTCACCAGGTCCAATTTTTTTACCGATCTCCACGACTCTTGGGCGAGGCTTTGCCACCTTTTGCATACTCTCTCTATTCGGACTCTGTCCGCAATTGGAAGGTGCAAGAATATCTCAATGAAGCAGTCGTCATTGAGAACTTGGATGGGAGAGTCATCCTGTGGCAACTGCTCTACTACCTCATCCTCGTGGCCCTCCTTGTTTTTCAGGAATCTCATCTGATTCTCAAGGCTATCTGGCTGATGCCACGTATCAGCTGGTGATACTCGAAGGATTCTGCAGTGCAGATGCACCTCCATCTTCTTAGCAGCCTCACGAGCTTTTACTGCAGCATCAACTCCGCTGAATGTCACGAATGCAAAACTACTTCTTCTCTGGGTTCTCTTGATGTAACAACTGTCCACCTTTCCAAATTTCGAGAACAGCTTCTGCAGATCTTTGTTCGTCGTCTGTAAATTCAAGAGTTTTCCACTTCAATCCAAGGAAAACCGTTATTCAAAATTTTTTTTATTAATTCAAACATGTAGTTATGACAAATGATGAAAAAATGGTATTGATTTTGTATTACTGCGTTGAATTTTTAAAACTCACACGTTCAGCCAAATTTCCGATGAATAATTTTCTGATAGGTACACCTTCCTCTGTAGTTGAGCTGATCCTTCCACGATGCAACATTGGGTAAAGAGCTGAAGCTACTAATAATATTTTACTTCAGATTATTCTGTTACAGTATATTACGTAACAACCGCGTAAGGAATTTTTTTGGATCTAAAAAATTCATAACGCGTGTGTTCCGTGCACTATTTTACATTCTTGGGGACGTAATCACGTGATTCTAACCTTCCTTCTCTCGGTAGAATCGCGTGATTACCGGCACCGATGACATTAATGTTAATAATTTCATACCGTGTATCAAGCTCATCAGCTCCTCCATGAGAAGACAGTGTGCGACATTGTTCATTATGAAACAGAAAAATAATTGGCCAATGGTACGTTTGACCGTTTCGATTTGTCTGGCAATTTCTTTGTGTCTCGCAAAAGCTGTGTCGTTTTTACTTCTTCACCCAAAGGACGTCTCCACCTCTCTCATTTTATCCCAGCCCTACCCCTTTCTTTCTACTGCGCAGTCGATTTTATTTCCTGGAATTCGGGGATTGGTGAAATTCCCAAAAATTATTTAGAGCATCTCACCAGCGAGACGACATCTATTTTATCAACTTCCACCTCCTGAATTTGCACGTTCGAGAGATGGCACTACTTGCGCCTTTTTGACTTTCAGAGTTTTTTAGTTTTTTAGTTGAACGACTAAAAATCCATAAATTACATATAAAATATAAATGTAAAAATTGATATTATCCAAGTCGAGAGATTTTATTCATTTTACTTTTGTTATCTGCATTTTGAATGTTTCCCCATTTTTTTTTTAATTAAATTGTTAATGAGAAAAAATTTAATGGAAAAGAATTCGCAGGTAGAGATTTGACAGGGAATTTTCCGGGAATTTTCGATCAGGAAAAAAATTCCGGGCAGTGATTTGAAGTTGGAGATGAAAAACGAATTGATTTCCCTGAAGTGACAGTTGTTTGGCAGATTTTTGGTTCTTAACAGTCAAAATTAAAAATTCCCGTTCTCTTTCGAATAACAAAGTGTAATTATGGATAATTATCAAAAAAATTCAATGAATTCGGATGAAAAAATTCCATTTACTTCGAACTTGGACGATTTTCGCGACTGTATTTTCTCGGAGAGCTGCACCGTTTTTGATTTTGATGACGAACCACATACACCACGTATGATTGATATTATCGAGATCAAGGACACAGGTTGTGATGCCCAATTTCCCGGGGAAATCCCATCATTGAATGTCCGCCATGGCAGAAATTCTTTTGGTTCTCCTTTTGAAAAAGTACTAATTTTCCAAGAGAAAATCAATTAATTCATGAATTACTCCATTACTATCCATTATTATCAATTATTACAATTATTTCACAATAATTTCAGTCGAGCCATCGCTCAAGAATCCCTCGTCTTGTGAAATCCAAAATAAATCATTCATTATTCCATTATCGAGACACTAGAAATGAGAGATTGACGAAAGGACGTAAACTACCGATTCCGGAAAATGATCACTCCAAGGAATTATCATCGAATCCAAAAATTGATGAAAAATGCGAATCACCAGATACTGGAGGTGCCCCTCAAATGATGGCACCTGCGGAAATTTCAACTTTGAAATCGACTTTGAAATCCGACGACCCTGAACCTTCGGAGAAATTAAAAATTCACGATGCACCGATTTCGATCCGAGATTCACGGAGTGATTTCAATAATTTGGTCATTTTTTAATTTTCGAATTTCTAATTTTCACTGCACTTGACTTGACTCTCAGCTTCACACTTGCTTTTCGTCTCGATTTTTTATTTTATCACATATATTTATTAAATAAATATTGAAAAATTTGTAGAGGTACGAGAGAGCGCAGGAAAGAGGAGTAAAAATCGGCCAGCAGATATCAGGTCTCTTGGAGCACGTGAGAAAGCATCATCGAGTGCAGAACCCATCGAATCCCCAGGATAATGCACTCTCGATAGTGAAGAGGGTCCTCCGTCGGGATTTAACAAGAAGAGTCACCCCCGAAATCCACAAAGACACTTTCCCCCAATTCTACATCGGCAGTAATGCGAGTAAATTTAAACTGTTTCGTTGTGGCGATGAATGGACTCATCTGTGATTTTTATCACTCTGATAGCAAAATAACACGTAAGGTGGAATTCAATCAATGATTATGAGGGCAGAAGGGTTGGGGTGAAATTGGGGTGAAGTCGCCTGATGGTTCACCTCAAAGGAAGACCCTCGAATGATACCAATTATGTCATCAACAGTGTAACCCCCCTGTCACGGTTTGTCATCAAATTGTACTCCGCCCGCATGTCAGAAAAGTTTTACCCCCTTTCAAAACATACACGTCCCACATAAGTTCTACACCCTCAGACACTGAAAATGTGTCTGCAAAGGGAGAAAAAAAATCTACGCGCTACATTTTTCTCATCCAATGTAACCGTTCCCCAGAAAAATTCGCACAATTTTATAAAAAAATTTGTTGCAATATAAAATATCAGACGTAAACCAAATTCGTCATTAGAATTGCGTTTTATCGAGACGTTTTAAAGTCTCAATTAAAAATAAAAAATCAAACTGAAGACTGTCCAATGGGAATTTCAAGTCTATAATTATCAAAGACTTGACTTAAAAAATACAATTGTTGATAGTTGTTCCCAGCACATGGACTCCATTTGAATTTTTTTTGAGAAAAATATATCGTAAGAGGGATAATCAAATAACTCGCACGCACACAGTATAAATTATCAATCAGTCTGCGATTGTGCAACCCCAAGCAGAGATCAACGCCTCCACGCTGATGCTGAGGGGGTTGTTACATACTGGGGATGTCTCAGCGTTTCCTCACGGTTCCACACCTCCTACACTGACCCCAACTATCTTTCCCCCGTCTGTTTCTGTTCCTCTCTTCTGTCCGCTTATGCGTGGGCGTGCGTTGGATGTACCGCATTATCCGGCACGTGCAGCAGCCAAAAGCGTAGGACTCTGACTCTCCAATTTTTCTGCATGCGCAGACACACGTGCTGCCTATTTCTCGTACAGTTTGATCTTGTACTGAAGATTATCACTCAACGATCAATTTTTACAATTTCCCCACAGCCCCCTCCCCCCAAAGTATACTTGATTCAATCCAGACTTGCAGCTTGATCTCAAAAAAATTGAATCGAAATGAAAATCTACTCAGTTCAAGTCCATTTTGCCGACTTGAATCAAGTACGGGTTCTACTTCATTTAAAATATGGAAATTTCAGTCAAGTCCTTACTTGAGTCTAGTGAAAAAACCAGTACTGTCTTGAGAATAAATTCCTTGGGATCTCAACAATGCTGTGCAATAATTATTTCCATTATTTGGTGAGCTTCATTTCCTTAGATGCAATCAATGCACCCATTTCTCGCCTGCAAGTCACGGAATCCTACAAGTGAGGTAAACCAATATGTACCCGTGTACAGGGTATCAATTAGTGATTGCAGTTCGATGTAAATTAGGCTCGTGGCGTTATAATGCCGATGATACCGATACCTGGGGGACCTCGATAAAAATCTCTCCAGACTTTAACAGCTCCAGTACCCGATCTAGTATAATTCGAAATTTTTTATTGCAAATATAAAATTGAATGAAAATAATGCACTCGTTATTGACTCTACAATGCACATGGATCCGAACAAAAGCTTTACTCTCCCAGATGCATTCGACTTTAGACTCGTCCAATCACGGACGCGCTACATCATTCTCTCATACGAATTTGTTTTGTCATTTCTCACGTGTGTACACACGAGTGGATGTGTGTGATTGGCGTGAGAGGAAAATAATGATTGGAACATGATTCTCGATGCGCACCTTAAAAAAGCAAAAGGCATCATAATAATTGCAGTGAATCCTAAATAAATTGAATGATGAAAAAAAAAAAATTGTTATGCACAGTGAATCCTAAATAAATTGAATGATGAAAAAAAAAAAATTGTTATGCACAGTGAATCCTAAATAAATTGAATGATGAAAAAAAAAAATTGTCATGCACACTTTTGATGATATTTTGTTGTATTTTAATCGCAGCCTCGGGTTACGCACAGAACGTTGCTGCCAATAATTCAAAATCCAATTTCAATAATAATTCAATAAATTGAGAAAAACAAGCTGTCAATTGTGACTCATTACGCTCTGTACCGTCCGAGTTGCACGTCGGGGGAGAATAATTCCCCGGCTTTTGTACATTGGAATGATATTAGCCCGAGCAAAGGGCACACGTCCTGGAAATTATTGAATTACTTTGAAATATCCAGCAAATGGCCAAGACCAAACTTGACAACTGTAACTCGAGCATTTGGCCCTTATTTGCGTGCATAACTTGCGGTTAATCAGACTTCCCTAAAATGTGACATAAGGCGGTGACTCTCTTATTCCAGAATAAATAATTAATTCATTTTTCAACTTTACCGAGTAATCACTCCATCCAGAAAACTGATTCATTATTTTTTCCCTTCATTTTTCATTATTTTCTCATCGATAATTATCAATCCGCGGCTTTTGTGACGGCTCGATAATTTCTCGAAGAATATTCTCCTCTCTTCTCCACACCTTCGTCTGGAATATTATATTATATTGGTTACGTCTGGTCTCGGAAGATAAAAAAATCATAATCTCTGAATTTTTATTTGCACCGAGCAAAGGAGAACGCCGACTGGTACCATATGTCATCCCAGGTGTGAGAAATAGAATAAAAAAAGAAAAAAAAAAAAAGAAGTAACAAGTTTGTTTCTCCAGTGATGAATATCGGGGTAGATATTATATTCGCTGTGGGGTGGAGATCGTCTCCCCGAAAATCGAGAAACCCACACGCGGCCGCTGGCGTGATCTGGGGGACAATATATTTTATCAAAGTGACTTTAGAAATATATCTGGCCTTTTATACAACCCTCCGCAGTCGACCATCGCTATTTATGTGTCGCCGCCTTTGCCTAAGCACTTGATATATTAACTGCATCAACGCGCACTTTGTGGCGGTCCCTGACACCAGGAATTTCATTTTTTTATTCAATTTTTCAACAATCCCCAGTAAAAAATATTTTTCTCCCCCCAAAAAATTCATCTAGACCCCCAATTACACGCGTTTCGATTGTGGATTGCATTACTACAGTAAAAATTACAATTACGATCCGAAGTAATAATAAAATAATAATTATAATACGTACTCCAGGAGTAATGCCAATTATCGGGTTGTCCGATATTTCGCGCGCGTAATTAAATATTGGGGATGAACTCGGGTGTTTGGTGATTGAATGAATGATAATTCGATTTACTTTCGCCAAGGTTTATTTCACCTTTGAAATTCCTTTGAAGAAGGTACGTATCATGCAGTAGTTACGATATCTCTGGTTTTAGCCGGAGGGGCGACATAAGGAGCAATGGCGAGGGGAGGTACTCGTTGATTGGGTTTGCACTTAGTACAGCCGTGATTGCCGTTTGTGAATCGCTCTCTCCTTTGGTAATTCTCACCCTCCGAGTTTTCTTGCCATGCTGAATACATGTACTATGTAATTTTGGAGGTGCCGGAATTGTCGACTCAAGAGGAAAGACAAGACATACCGTAAAAAAAAAACCCTCAATTCCAGGACTCAATTTTTTTCATTGATTTTTTTTACCCCTGAGATCCTCCCAATTAACACCCCTTTCACTTACTTTAAAAATATTCTCAAATATTTTTAATCGAATAACAATTCAATTTATGAATTGAGATTTTATTTTTCCCGGCATTGAGATAAAAAATCATAAAGTGAAATGATCTCAGGCTCATGAATTTTCATGTACTTAAAATCATGATATAAAATCGAGTGACTTTTCCTTAAAATCAGAGATCTCGGTGTATTATTTGATATTTTTATTTAGTTGTTGTTTAACGGCGTAAAATAACGGAAACATTGTCGCAGTAAAATGCAATTAGAATCCAACAGATTCCTGATAACCCGATGATTATTTATAAGAAGGCAATTATCATTAGCGCTTTTCATAGCATTAATGCGGATTAAGTACTTGGTAATGACGGGTTGCCCTGGAGAGCTGATCACGTCACAACTATGAAGTACACGGCATGTTTCAATGAAGAATAATAATCGCCCCATCAGCAACACTATAACCCACTCCCCCTGTGTCTGTCTGATACATATCGTTTACGATGTCGGAACGGATCCTTCCCAGCCCCATTATTACAAACTGTAGCTGTATTTCAAGCTAATCACTTTTTATGATAGAAAAAAAAATAAGACCAATGGCTACGGTCCTACCGTCCCTCTTTTTGTCGCATTTTCACGGCATCGAGTTTACATAGTTGATTACTGCGCCAACTATCTTTCTATTTTACATCTCAATTAGCTCGAAAAATATTCTTTCAAATACTATAAATATTCACATTATTTCACATTATTTTCCATTTTTTCCCATTATTTTCCATTATTTTCCATTATTTTCCATTATTTTCCATCCATTAGCAATTGAAATGGTGTCACTCGTTTAAAAAATATTCAAATATTCATTATTCTCCTATTTTATTATTTTTTTTTGTTAGATCACTCTAGTTATTACACAGAGAAAATTTTTAATAATTATTTCACTCTTTATTTAATTTTATCGTGTTTGTTAAATTTTTTCTCAAAAAGTTAAAGTTGTAAATTTCTCGTGTGAGTAAAAAATGATTTAGAAATCGAGAAACAACCAGAGGATTTCGACATATCGTTTATCCATTATTTACGACCAGAAGGAATGAATTTTCAATTTTCGAGTCTCCGACAGTGGAACTTGAAAGAATGGATATCACAAATAAGCCATTAAAATGAATGAGCTTATTAATATTGTAATATCCTTTTAATACGCGTAAATCTAGGACATGGACAAGGCCACCTTGGACGACAGATTTACGAGAGGCGGTTGAATTTAACAGCCAGTGTATAACTTCTCTTCTGATCCCCTAAAGACAATAAAAATTTCAGAGGATATTGTTATTTTGCGGTATAATAGAATAGACAACACCAGTGGTAGAGGGGAATGGGAGGTGTACAGCCATCAGGCTTGCCTCTGATCATGGGAATTATTTATTCACAGTCGACTGTGAGTAATGGCCCTGCACTCTGGTGCGAACGCGTTTACACACGTGTTATTGATCACTAAAATATTGAGGGAGTACAGTATCCATCATGTACGTTGGTTAATGGACCGCCGATTGGAATGCATCTTGCCAGGTGATCTTCACCTTTACCAATTCATCATTTCGGCTTTTCCATTTAGACTCAAGTGCTGAATGTTACGAATTTCGCGCCAGGACAAGCAAAAAAAGGGCATTAGATCAATCAATCCAAAAATTTATTCCGATTTTTTTCAATATCCAAATTCAGAGTGACTCAAGTTGGAGGAAGCCGGGTGAAAAAAATTGGAAGCGGAATATTTTTTCCAAATTTAAAAAAAATTCTTGGATACTTTTCAAAGTTTTTTTTTTGAAACAAAAAAAATGGGTGACAAAGAATTGTATTTTTGGGAAAGGTTTTGCAAGATTTTTCAAAAATTTGTTTCGGAAATTTTTTTTATAATTTTCTAGAAAACTCTGCGAATATAATTTTTCGATTTTTCAATATTTTCAAAAAAAACGCCATCTAAATTATAAAAAAAAATGTCCTATTCAAATTTTTGAAATATTTTTCAAAACCTTCCCAAAAAATTGAATTTTTTTGATCCCCCATTTTTTTTGTTTCATAAAGAAAATGTTGCGAAAAGTTTTCCAGAAATTTTTTGAAAATTTGTAAAAAATATTGCGATTACAATTTTTTTTTACCCGGAAAGTCAAATGATAAACTCGAGTCGAATCCCGGTCGAAATTTGATTGATACAATTTTTTTAAAATTCGACATAAATTCAATTTTTCACACCTTTATCGCAACTTTGGCATCTCGGAAAGACGTACGTAAAACTGCCAACAATTTGGATCAATGGGCAAGCGACGTGAATTGAAATGAGTACTTCGGATTCACGATTGCCACCACAATTAGCATCCCGCTGTTCCCGGGATGAGGGGAAGCCACGAGCCCTCCACCCTATTCCCCCAAGGGCTCGGCATTGACCATTCAACTGTGTTTCGAGGATCATGAACTGAAATTATTACGCCTGAATAACCATTTTTTCTCCTCCCGCCTGATCCAACGAATTTATTCGAGAAATCGCTCCTTATCTTCACCACTGTCTCCATTTGATCTCATCATCATCCATTCGAGTCGCGATAAGCGCTAATTCCTCGTCCATTTTGCCGATAATTTTTTCTCCTACGGATATTGATCTTCACATTGTCCACATCACCTGCTTCATTATGCGGCTCTCCACACGCCACACGTGCACGCAAAAATAAAAATAAACCACATTATATATTTCTCTCGTTACATATTATATCAATACAATATCCCAACCATTGAATGGTAATTATATTTATTCAACTACAATATTCCACTTGAAACATGAAGATGATTTCCCTGATTTTTCAGCAGGTGCTGAATTTTTTTTCTATACTCTATGAATTTTTTTTTAAATTGAAAATTATGAAAAAAGTGAAAATTAGTAATTATCGTCTGCGTCGAACACGCATCGACAGCTATACAGATGTATCCAATCTATAGACGACCACCTCATGACAAATCTCCCTCAATTTATTTAACCCCCTTCGAAATCTCATGAAGAATGAGTATCCTTTTTCTCCCGAAGATGAACTAAAACTTGAGGCAGGTATGTGTGAGGCACGATGGGGAATCCAATCGGAATGAAAACGAATATTCTCATATGTGTTTAACAAAGTGCCGGTTATATTGGACCGCCCCATAGGGTGTTTTACAAGGCAATGCTTTACCAGGTGGTCAATCGGTAAGAGATGATACTTTTTTTTTTATTCCCCTTTTTGGCACAAAGGCTTGCGCGCGCTCACCCCGAGATATCACACACAATATCCTCTTCCGTTTCTCGTGTAATGGCATCCAGCTGAGAATATTTTCTCGGTTTCTTATTTTTTTTCACGCGCCCCCCTACAGTGTTACTTCTTCATCTTCCGATGCCAGGTTTGATGGTGCCACATATATTAGCTTCTCTAATACTGCCTGGGAGCCCTACACTGAGAGAAATATTCAATAAAAATTACGTGTATTTTCCGTAATTCTGGAGCGAAATGTGGTTGTCGGAAATTTTACGGAACTGTCACGTAATTTTTATCTAAAGTCACGGAATTTTTCCGCGGTGTTCCGTCATTTTTATCTGAATTATCGGTGAAAAATAACGATACCGTCACTGAAATTTTTCAAATCAACTCCGTAATCGGTAAGTGAACTGAAAGTTCCGTAATTTTTACTAAATATTTCTCTCCGTGTACGTTGACCCTTTGTCGTGCTGCACGATCAGCTCATTTGATATATACTACTGGTAATTTTCATCATTCCTTTGGTGTCAACATCTCTACACCCGCCAGGAAAATAACACTTTTCATTAAAAAAATTTTCTCGTTACAGCAGAATAATCCCGTACCTATTTGTCAAATCCCCGGACGAACAAGATTTTCACAAAAAAATCATGGACATCTATCAAGGGTATTCAAGTTCTCAACTTCTACATAATTCAATTACCTCAATTTTTAATCTCAAGTCAAGTCGACTTGACAATACTTGACTCATCTTCATCCTTCAACGATCGCATTGTGACAACCGCGAGTACATTTCCAAAAAAAAAAATCACCTCCTGATAATTTCGACACTGGAATTTTGGCTATATTATTTTCAGTTCAGCGAATGGGAAATAAAAGGAAGTGACCGAGAGAGAGAGAGAGCTATGCAGTCTCGACACACATACAAGGTAGGTGGACCCAAAAAAGGATTCAGATTCTTATTTTCCCATAAATAATTTTAATGACGCGCCGCGGCAGTTCATATATACGAGGTAGGAGCCGCGCGCGGCACATCCGAAGGTTGGGTATAGCTGTAGGCAGCCTTGTATTGTTATTTATTACTATCGTACGCATATTCGGGCTCACCATTACATCCCCCAACCAGATTTATCGTACCCACACGAGTAAAATGTGTTACCTGGATATATCCACCAATATTAACATATGTATTTCACAATCGACCATTCGATTAAATGAAATGCATACACAGAAACAATGTGCAGATTTAATCGGCTTGTTTACTTTTTCCCCCCTCCTCCCTCCTCCCCCTCCCCTTCCACCCCCCTGAGTTATCCCCGGACTATCGATTTTTCTCCAGCTGGCTTTCAACCCCTGCTTTTCTTCTATTTTATTTTCAGTTGTTGGTTTTTGTTCTCTCCCTTTTTCATACTCTCTCCCTTTTTTTTCTTTATTTTCGCGGTGAACGTCACGCCGATAGGCGGAGGAAGTGGGGAGAGGCGTGATAACTCCCGCCAATCGCAATGCATGGGCTTTTGAGAGGGGCTTGAGGCCCGGCCCATGTGGTCCATGTTGGTTACGCCCAGGAGACAATCCATGTCCACTCAAGTTGAACATCACCATCAAACTTTTCTCGGGATTAATCTACGTTAGCAGCGCGTCGCGAGCCATGGGTTATCGACGCGCTCGCTCGCGGAAATCCTAATCCTCGATTTTAGTCTCGGGATTTATTTGTTGTGGTGTTTTTTTTTTTGTGCAATGGAAATAAATTTGTGATTGTACGGTGAATTTATTGTGCCATTATTTGGGTTATCGGGTGCACCAGATATTTCGGGGATAGGATAACGTGATATGAAGGTAAATCTTCATTATTTATTGCTCAATGCAGGATTTATTTGGGTTTATGATTTGTTAAATTGATGTTTTCCATTGGTAAATTATCGTTTCATGTTGACAATAATCGATGCTGATAATTCTTGTCGCAGGAAATTTTTTTATATTTTATCGTCAAGCATTTCGAGATCCTTCCGTGGAAATTGATATGAAAACAGAAAATTCCGTTGTTTTTTTCCTGAATTCCTGAATTTCGAGGGCAGTGAACCTTAAATTTGAAATGAAATTGGAGAAAAAAATATTTTATTGACAGTTTAATGCAATTTGACTGGGAATTTTTGCCAGCGCGAATTTTTATTATGCCCTGAAATAATACGAGTCAAGTATATCAGGACGTGTCTCGTTGATGATGCGTTGGTGGACAACTCCTTTCGGAAACCTATGATTTAAAAAAAATTTCATGTGTTCGGGGAAGCCTTGGAGCAGTTGATGGACTGCAGAGTAAAGTCGGAACTTTGAACTTGGCGTATAACTTGGAATCAGGACGATTCATTCAGGAGCTTCTGCTCGAGATTACGCGATATACCGCGTGGGCAGTCCTAAATCCCTTGAATCACTAACCTAAATCGGTATTTATGATTTCGTAATCAGCCCTGAGAATATCCAAGTCCGTTATACACACAGATTATTTTTTATTTATTTTTCCTTTATTTTTCCTTCAATTTTGGAATACGATCATTGATACTCAGGGAGAGAAATTCATTCTATTCGACCTGATAAAATCGATTTATACCCGGATTCATTTTTATTTATTGTGAATTTTTTTTTCGTTCGTTAATAATAATCCGAGTCATTCAATTTTAATCGAATCACCCTCGTGATTCATGAGTTGTTATTTTAATTGTACCGTATTGTTTTGCTGTTTAATTTTTTTCATTTGATTGTTTAAAGTCGCACTCGCGATTCCCACGGCGAAAAATCGTTGATCGCCCGCATTTCGGTAAAAATAATTTCCCAAATGCAATAAATTGATTTTTTATCCCGTCACCCTTGCCAATACTTGGCACCCTTCACTCTCGGCTCGCCATTGTCCCAAAACCGTTGATCTGAAAATCTAGCGATTTGATGTTACAAATCTGTATTCCCGCCGGGAGCTATTCTCCTTAAATGAAAAAAAAAAAAAAAGGGAAACATGGCGCCCGCCAAATATGCGACGACAATAGATTAACATGAATGCCTTGTGTGAAAACTCGTGAAAAGAATAAAAAAAATGTGTCGAGAAGCCAACGAAAATCGGATAGCGGTCTAAATGGATTTCGAGTGGTCCAGGAGCTACTCAATTGGGGGTCCGGGCCCATTGTTGTGTGCACATTGAAGACAGTTCTCTTCCTTTTTTTTTTTTATTATATTTCGTTTGTGGGATAAAGGAAGTGGGAAAAATTATACGAGTTCTGAGGAAATTCTGGGTGGAGGCGTGTTGACTGGGCTCGTGCCTTTTTTCATGACAACAGATGCGGCTGTTATTTTTTGGAGAACTCCCCGGTCATTTTGTCGAGTCTTTCACGTGAATTATGACCGTCATCATCGTGATCTTTATTTTCACGCTATGATTTTCACCGGCGATAAGAAATACAAACAGATTGAAATGGATATTTAATGGGATACGATAGATTTTTGGTTAAATTTTCGAGAATTCTCGTCAGACATTTTTATTTGTCTAAAAAAATCTCGTGAACTTGAGGTCCACTATTTTTACTGAATCTTTCTGTCTGCATTACTCAGACGAGTATTAATTACCGATCAGAAGACTTGCGTCGTAAACAGCCGGATTAGGCAGGTTTCGGCTATTAGTTTGAAATATGCGTCTGGATCTGAAAAGTGGCCTAACCGTGAATCGCGTAACAGGTTACAAACGGCCGTCTCATTCGAGACCAGAGTTATAATCCCATGACTATTGTACTCGCTCAGAGAATTTTTAATAAAAAATCAACGCCAACCAAAAATGCGATTCCAAATGACATAACGCGAAAAAAAATTTTTGCACAATTTTCATTTCACGTTTTATGATTTTTCCTCGATAAAAGATCTCGACAAAAATCCAAACAGGAATGATGAAAAAAATATTTATAAATAGTCAAGTGATTAATATTTCATATTCAATATTAATTGCAATAAAATCAAAAATAATCATGCGACATCTCAAAAAAATAAAAGATCAGGTATTATTTTGGACAAAGGGATGAATTCACCCCGTTTCTCAGGAATTTGATATACAGTGAATCGGGAAAAATTCACTTGCGACTCAGAGGAAAAATCAAACCAATTTTTTTCTTACTGAGTATTCTGTGGAGTGAAAAAAAAAAGGGCGACTATTCACGATGAATTCATACGACCGCTGAGAAAGGCTCCATTCTTGTTTCTGAAGTGGTTTCGGTTTCCTTTCCTGTATCCTCTCAGATACTTGCCATTGACTTTATACCTTCCTCTTGAACTTGGAGAGGGATATAAGGTATGACTTTCAAAGCCAAAAGCCCCGGGGATCAACAGGGGGTCCAGTTGCTCAGTCTCTATGGGCCTTGTACAAGTCCCAGGGGGAAACCGAAGATCCGTGTCCGTGTCACTGTCTGTTATGTCCTCTCTCATCTGCCCAAAAACGATGCACAGTCACCTTGCCACTTCTCTGTGATCCTCCTCCCTTCAAAATCCATTCAATGCTGTTATATTCTCATTCCTCCAGACTTTTCAGTTTATTTACCGGTAATCGAGACGAAATCATGTCGAAATCTTTAATAACTCAGAGAAAATTCCATAATTTCACATCACAAATCCCGAAATCCCGAAAATCCTGTCTAAATCCTCTTGGATCATGGAAAAATAATTTTTCCTCCCCGAAACAATACGATGAAAATATTTTTTTCGTATGCACAACCTGAGAAGAATATATCAAAAGAGAAATTTCCTGTGAAGGGTGCATCCTTGAAATCACCCCGCGTTAAATCGCGGAAGGATCTCTTACCCCCATTTATGTGACACGCCCCAGCGATTGGAGGCTGCGCAGTAGCACCAGATCAACTGGCAGACATTTAAAATGTTAGAGGGATGTCAAGGGCCACCTCTAGTTCATTCTAACACACTCGAATAATGGAAGAGTGACAATTTGGTGTAACAAGACCGCTAACACTAGCCGAAGGGACTGCCGTGCGCCCTCTAATGCTCCTCGTCTATTGCACAAAAGGGGGCTGAATAAAGAATTAGAAGGATGTTTCATGATTGAAGCGATTTGAAAATAAAAGACCCGGGGGTAACTCACCAGTCACTGGTGGGGATCAATGACAACGAGTGGAGTTGTATCGGTGGCTTTTCTCGCAGCGGGATATCTCTTTTTCGCTTGACCAGCTGCAACTTTATATACCTCCAGCCCATTTCGATTTGTCACACAATCTGTAAAGGTTTACTATATCTCAGTGCGATGAGGTTTTAGGTACTTTCTAGTTCCTATTTTCTTTTCTTTTTTATTTTTTTTCTATTTACTGTGAAGAGCCCCGTTGCGATCTAACCGCCGAGAGCTATAGGGGAAAGGAGTTGTCGATTTTTTAAACGATTGCTTGAGATTCAATAGCCATCAAGTGGAAAATTAAAGGATGATGGAATATCTTTTTTATAGTGAATGGATACTGAAAAATCATTTTATTTTATGAAAGGGTGAATTTTTTTTGAGTCATTCTTGAGAGAATGGAAAATTAATGTGGGAGTGCAGGGCAATTATTTCAAGGCTGCAAGAAGAAAAAATTGAACATGTTGATTAGAGTGTGTTCTTTTTATCCAATCATGATGATTCCATCGATTTTTAATGACGAAATCCCCGTGTCAGTCACAAATCACACGAGATCACTGATGAAACCATGAAAAATCGGCAGAATCGGTAGAGAAATTATTGAAAGTCTCGACTCGGCTCTGAAGGCATGGAGAAACAATTGGAAATAAATGATTAAAATATCATAATGCTTCAGTGAATGTAATAATAATGGAGTCACCCTGGATGCACCCCTGAACTTGCAATGTGGTGAGTGTGGGTGTTAATTGAAATTCTTAAATTTCCCAGACAGAGGCAGAAGAGTTGGCGCCCGAGGGCGTGTGTGAGGGTAATGGTGTGGCAAAGGCAACAGGAACAACAACGACAATCGGCCAGGACGTGTCACCGAGTGTAATGGAGTGTGGTGGTTGTGGTGAACGGGTACGTGAAAGAACAGTCCTCTGCGTTGGCGGTAGAACATGGCACTCGAGGTGTCTCAGATGCTGTGCATGTGCAAGGCCTCTGCACGATCAGCACTCGTGCTTCCTCAGGGGGATGAGACTTTATTGCCGGCACGACTATGCCCTGTAAGTTGTCATCATTCTTTTTAATAGTCCTTTAATGAAAACCATTGAGAAATAACGAAAGTAACACTCCCTGAAAAATAACCGAGACATTCAGTAAAAATCGGTCACCCATCAAAATCGGTATGTTGACCCAGATAAAAAAAAAATTGTAATCAAAATATTTTTTCCTAATTTTAAAAAAAATTTGGGAAAATTTCTCAGAAAAATTTATTCTAAAAAAATACGGCATCTGAATTATAAAAAAAAATTCCTCTTCAAATTTTTTTTAAATTCTTCAAAACGTTTTCCAAAAATAAAATTCTTGTGTTTTCCGATTTTTTTTTTGGTCATAAAAAATTTTCTGGAAAGTTTTCCAGAAATTTTTTGAAAATTTGGAAAAAAATATTTTGATTACCATTTTTTTTTTACCCGGGAATTTTAAAAACGCCATCGCTGACGCTTGATGTTGTGTCCGTGTTACATCTTCCGTAAATGTATTTAATAGAATTATTCCCTCGAGTGACGGAGGGAAATCATTCTGATCCATTCGAGTCGCTTGAAAATTCAAATCCCTCAGGGTGTGGGTGGCACATCAAAGTTGGGAGGATTCGCCCACGTCCACAACATCCTCAAGGAAGACAATGACAAACTCTGAGAGCTGCACCACTCACGATCAATTTCAGGAATATTAAACAAAGTAAATCCACGCCCCAGACTCACACCCAGAAAAATGGGTGCACTCGAATAAAAATCGCTGCCAAAAAAAAAACCTGTATGTTCGTCAAAGTTATCGATTTCGAAGTATTTGATTGAAATAAATCATTATTTTTCGGTGGAATCGGAGATCGAAGAGGGCGATCAGCAAAAGGTGTAGAAAAAAAGGTGAAAACGAGAGGTAGGAACGAAGGCGAGAGCAATAATAAACAGAAGTCCACGGCTTGGTTGCAATCGGGGATGCACTTTCCGTGTTCATGAATATGATAATGGGCTAATGGCCGCTAGTTCGTTGTTTAATTACCAAGCCCACCAGCGGCTCAACCGCTCGTTTACCTCTCTTTTCCTCTGGCTATATTCCAAATGAGAGGAGAAAAATAAAATAAGGTGTTGGCTCTATACCATCGCGTTAAACTCCACGACCATTCATCTGTGGAGGAGCAAACATATTCGTGCGTGCTGTTAGACACCTCTACAAGGTAGCCCGAGCTACTGTTGACAACGCTCTGGTTTTAACATTAATTTTTAACCAACATTCAATAAAATCCAACGACGAAAAATTTTGCGCTTAGAATTTTCCATTCAGGATGACACGTCAAATTGATTGCTAAAATTTTTATAATTATTCGTTATATTATGTTATATTTATATATAAATGATTTATTCACGTCAATCTCATCGATAATATGTGATAAATTTACATGGGTAAATGCGGAATAATAATAAGTAATGGAGCTTGTGTTATCGACTGTTAATCCTCGTGCGATCAACTTGTATTGAAGATTGACTAATCAAGTATGTATCAGTGAGATGGTCCCAACCACCCAACTCGCGATTTATCTCCAATGGTAATTACGTTCTACCGTTGAATATATTCATTTCAAATACCGAACCATATCGGAAGGATTAAAAATTATCAGTCACATCTCTCGTCACACCAATCGTTTTATTTTTCCTCCGGTGGGAGCGAACGAAGGCGCGAATTACATTCCGTTTATTCCCATCTATCACGGAGGGATAATAATGACATTTTTTTGCCCACTGTATTTTTTTTATGATCTGATGTCCCAGGGCTTTCGGTGCTAAATGCGCCAAATGCGGGAGGAGTGTGAGTGCTGGTGATTGGGTTAGGAGAGCGAGAGAGAGGGTTTACCACTTGGCGTGTTTTGCTTGCGACGCGTGTTCACGTCAGCTCTCGACTGGTGAACAATTCGCTCTGCTCGATGCCCGATTGCTATGCAAGGCCCACTATCTTGATGTCGTCGAGGGCAACAACACCTCCTCCGACGGTGAGATGTCTCACGCTTCGATTTAATCCACTGACTCATGAAAATATTCATTACCGCAGAGGGTGGCGATTCGGAGAGCGGACACAAAGGTGGTAGCAAAGCCAAAAGAGTGAGAACTACCTTCACCGAGGAGCAGTTGTCAGTTCTCCAGGCGAATTTTCAGCTAGACAGCAATCCTGATGGTCAAGATCTGGAGAGGATAGCCCATGTCACCGGATTGAGTAAGAGAGTTACTCAGGTATGGTTTCAAAATTCTCGGGCAAGACAGAAAAAACACTTGCACACCGGAAAAATGAAGGGCCAACACAGTGAGTTTTTTTTTTCTCCTCATATTTCAATTCAGTATGACTTTTATTAGATAATCGATAAATAATGATTTTTTGTTTGTTCAGCGCATCAGTCGCCGCCGACTTCTACGCCATCCCCTGGAGATTTTGGACGGCACATAAATCTGCACCTGACATATTCCTTTCAGCACCAACAACACCACCAACAGAATCAGGGACATCAGACCCAATTAAGTCCGGCGGCGTGCAAAAGCCCAACTCCCTCGATCTACCATAATCACGGTAAGCTAGTCATTCACCTTAATCATTGATTAAATTAGGGAAGATCGGGGCAAAATGGAACAGCGAACTGAGAGAAAAATCGTGTGAATGATTTATTTGGTATTTTGAATCGATGAAAAAAATCATAAGTGAAACTCTCTTTCAGGTTCAGAACAGTCGATGGACGAGCTGTCCCAGGACTCCATGATGCTTACGATGCCAAACGAAGTGTGAACCCTTCATCAAATCCTCTCTTTTGTAAATATACTCTCAGTATTTCCTCTAAATTAACGATTGGCGCTGGCAAGGGGCTTGGCCTGTGTAATTACGGTGCCCCAGTGGGCGGATGAACTTCCAAGTGAGACACCGGAAGCTCAAAAACTTTTGCAGAGTAATATTCGAGGATTAGATTTATAACTGAATCGTCAACTTACGCTTGTGCTTAGGACTCTGTAATCAAAATAGGTGTACGTAGATGAATTTTAAAATTGACGAGCACAAAATTTCGTATTGAGATGAACGTGAAGTTCTATTTGTTTTTGATATACCAATGGTTCTGTCGTCATTAAAAGAGAATTCATTGTTCAAGTTGTCGTTGTTGTTTCGTGAACTGTAAAACAGGGTATCGATGAGAAATATATGAGATGTCAGTGAATGATGAATTCTTTTCAATCCGGTGATCGGTCCAATGAACGCAGATGAGAGAGCTATTGCTACTCCAGATAAAACACATGTAAATATTGTAAACTATTTAGTTATCGAAATATACACTGCACTTATCTCGTGTCTAAAGTTGAAAATGTAGATATCCTCATTGATTTATTCCATTAACCAAATAATTTTCACAAAAATGAAATAGAGGTGAGTATTAACAGTGGAGTAATAATTTTTATTCATAACAGTACGATTTCTTGTTCCATAACATAGACGCGCATTCTCCGTCAATTGCATTGACACTATCATAAGCCTTTATCAATAACTATTTTTGAAATTGTCGTATTTACATTAGAGATAAGTCATGAGATCGCGTAAATTAAATTCACTAGATGATTTACACAGAACCGGTTTTCAAAGACTTGTATTTACAAGGAAAACTCTTGGATAAGTGGATCAGTTACTCGGTGTGGCACACTGGGAGAGTCTATACCTGGGCCGAATTGTTGTGAGCATAAAGGGACAGATCCTTGAGGAATCCTCGGGAATTCGGTCGTAAATTATCCACCTTGGTGGCAGAACTGGGGCTGCGGAAGATGGGTAGGCGTTGTTGGAGTTATCGGAGTTAGAGGTGTTAGTGGAGTCATTGGACTCCCTGGGCTCTCACTTCCAGCACTGCCACCCTGGTATCCACCGAAATAACTGCTCACCATGTTGCTGGGGTAGAGATCACCAGGATGATGTTGCAGCGGAGAATGGTGCACTGCAATTATTGAGAACTTAATGAATTAATTTGATGAACTTGAAATTAATTTTTCTGTTAGTATGCTTGGGTACAAAAAAATTGCAATCGAAATATTTTTTTCCAAATTTTCAAAAAAATTCTGGAAAACTTTTCAGAAAATTTTTCTTTTGAAAAAAAAAAATCGGGAAACAAAACAATTGTATTGAAAATGTTTTGAAAAATTGTTCCAGAAATTTTTTGAAAATTTGAAAAAAATATTCCCATTACAATGATTTTTTTCCCCGGGCGTGAAGTATTAAATTAAATATTACCTTGAGATTTGATTTTTCCGCTGTGTTTCTTTTGCCTCGCTCTGGAATTCTGGAACCAGACTTGAGTGACCCTCTTGCTCAGTCCCGTGACGTGAGCTATTCTTTCCAAGTCCTGGCCATCTGGATTGCTGTCCAACTGGAAATTGGCCTGGAGCACCGATAGCTGCTCCTCTGTGAATGTCGTCCTGACGCGCTTAGTCTTGCTGCTTTTGCCGCCGTTCTCAGAATCACAGTCTTCGGAGGAGGAGGTGTTGTTACCCTCCACAACATCGAGGTAATGAATCTTGCACAATAGTCTAGAATCCAACAGGGCGAACTGTTCACCTGTGGATAGTTGACGGGAGCAGGCATCACAGGCGAAACAGGCTAAATGATACACACGATCTTTAGCTCGTCTTACCCAGTCTCCTGATCCAATACTTCGCTCGCATTTCGCACACTTTGCTCCAAAAGTCCTGTCAAATATTATAATTAATAATATAAACATTACCTCATTACCAGAATTTCCCCGAAATTTTTCCGAAATTGAGTCCTCAGAGTCTCAAATTATGAAAATTGAAAGAAATTGAAAAATTTTTTATTTAAAAAATCCAAAGGGATTCAATGAATCCAGAATATTATCTCAAATGGTTAAAGTCTTGACAGATCGGTGTATACGCATATTAAAAATTCCTGAAGTCAATGAATTTTGTGATGCATCCAATGATTCAGACGAGGCACCATCGGTCCCCGAAATGTTAATATTCCAAAACGAATTATGAGCCCGACGATAAGCGATGATTCGCCAAGACCGTTAATTTTCGTGTTGAGTGGATTGCCCAGAGAGCCAATAAGATATAACAACATTTATTTGAGAGAAGGGACCTAGCCACTGGCAAGCTGCCTCATTAACATACTACTCCGTGTCTCATTCCAATCGTGAACATAAACAGTGCTCGCAAAGGGTCGTCGGTCCAGGATTGTTATCGAACCTCCGGAAGCAGATCAGATAACTCCTACAACTTAGTCATGTGGGGTTCCAATAACTATTGCCTTTATTATCTCATTATCATTCTTCAAGCGCACACGCGCGCTTCTTAGTGATAAAAAAAAAATCTCCGGTAAAAATTCCCCCGGAAATCATTCTCGAAATTAATCAATCAATTCAATCAACTTAAATAATTTTATTGATCAAATCCTTCCCCTCGTTGACTCAATTTATTACAACGTCTATTACAAAATGATAAGAAATTTCTGAGAAAATTATTGTATGGAAAAATATGTTAAGTCAAAAGAACTTAGTGTCTGGGATCTACTGCGGAGTCATCGAGGCGATACTTTGGACTATCGATTATGTTAATGAAAGACACGAGACACGCCTAGGAGTTGGTCGTGGCTGATGTATTCGGTTCATGTTTTTATTTATCAATATCTGTTTGGTCTTAATTTTTGGGGTCACCTCGTGGCGCTGGAATTTTGCAGTAATATTGGTTTACATAAATAAATGGTGGTACCCCTCATGAAGGTCTTAAAGACTGAATAAAAAGGCGCATATGCATATGGATGCAGCATCCCATACCTTGACAGCGAATGTGTGGATAACCCAAACCCTAGTACCGCCGCAGGGATATCTATAAATCTTCGAGGGCTCGTACAGATGAGCTACCAACCCGCCCCGCCCTAATTTATTCATTTGTTCTCTCATGGGGTTGGTCCTATAAGTCACTCGGGGATTAAGTCCATCGGCTTTTTCTTCACTGATAAAAAATTGACATCATATCACAGAAATCAATTCTTCTGCAAAAAAATATCGTATCAATTTTGATATACTCATCAGAAGAAAATTAATTGGAGAAATTTAAAATAAAGAATTGCATAATTAATATAATAAACAAAAATGTCATAGTCCGTGGAAATAATTAGTCGGGTAAAAAAAATTGTAATCGGAATATTTTTTCTAAAGTTTAAAAAAATTTCTGAAAAATTTTTCAGAATTTTTTTTAAACAAAAAACATCGGGAGGCAAGACAATGGTATTTTTGGGAAATGTTTTGAAAAGTTTTTCCAAAAGTTGTTTCGGAATTTTTTTGAAATAATTTTCTGGAAATTTTTGCCAATATATTTTTTTTTATTTACACGGTTGTTTCCTTATTTTAAAATGTAATTAAAATTAAATTTCAAAACTTTTCAAAACCTTTCCCAAAACTAAAATTCTTCTGTTTTCCGATTTTTTTAATTCCCTAAAAAAATTGTCCAAAAAGTTTTCCAGAAATTTTTTGAAAATTTCGAAAAAATATTCTGATCAGAATTTTTTTTAAACCCAGGTATTGAAATCGTGCCAAGAGAATAGCGCACTTGTGAATATTACGCAAGAGGGTGTGGGTAAAATAGTTTGGAGTGAAAAAAATGGTGAAAGAGTGTGAAGTGACGGGTGTAGGGAGGAGAAAGAGTGATATTTATTAATTTGAGAGGCGGTATATGAAAGCGATTGATCTCTCTCACGCGTGTGCACGGGAGATATCTCGAGGAGAGTCCGCGTGCGGGCCCTTACGAAGCAAATTCCATCATCTCTGGACACTTGTATGTATATGCCTCTTGAACGAAACCCCTGAGTGACTTGGCATACTCATACGAAACGAGGACAGAGGGATCTCCAATGTGAGGTCTCAGATCTCAAAAACCGTTCACATATTGTATTGACAGAGGGCACACGCATATGTATCTTATTCATCGTCAACTTTTCCTCAGTGACTTTTCAACGTCATTCAACATTCCTTCAGGACGCGTGTTTTGATTGGAGTGATAGCCCTCATTGCATTGAGTAAAAAAATGTAATTGATTATTCAAAGTGAGCGAGTCTGTGAAAATATTCTCACGTGTCAAGACTTATTTTCATTTAAGTGATTTCATTTCATTTTTATATTTAATTTCAAGGTCATGCTCATAGGGACTTGGATTAAAGGGACTTCATGAGTTGAGCATTCGATTGTTGAACCTCGAATTAAATAATTTCAGTTTGGTAAACGAAATTGGTAGAATAGGAAAGTTTCCGGGGTTATTGATGATTTATTTCCAACTAAAATAAAAAATTATGAAAATTATGAAATACTCACAGTGCATAATCTGTCCTGCAGTAAAGTCTCATCTCTCTGAGAAAACAAGACTGCTGATCGTCAAGGGGTCTAGAACACGTGGAACATTTGAGACACCGCGAATGCCAACTGTTAGTCCCAACGCACAAGACCGTTCTCTCCCTTATACTCTCACCGCAACCGCTGCAATCCACTTCCATCCCTTCATTATCATTTATCCCTCCTTCCAATTTCTTCGGATTATCTCCATTATTGTTATTCTGACAAGCGAGAAGATTCGGTACATCAAGGCAACTCTTTATTTCGGTCTGAAAATGAGGAACAGGGCAACTCCGTAAAACATACGCGGAGAAAAAAAATGGACATGTTACGAAAATAATTTCTCGTGCCAGAAATAAAATTCCCCTGCTCTCAATTCCTCAATTACTCTCATTCGTAAATACACTTCAACTCCTCACCTTCATTTTACTAATCAGCAGAAGATGGAGTAATACTTCGGGGATCTTCAGGGATTCATCATCACTTAAACTCCGAATTACTCCATTCGTCGGATTTTCATCGATACACGTTTCACTAAATCCTTAGAGGGCGATGATTTTTTTCCATTGCACGTGGAAAAAAAAACTTTATCAATACCGCGAGAGGTTTAGATCGGGAATTGGTGGATCAATTAATTCGGATGATTAACGGATTTTTAAAACACGTGTGCACTCTGGAGAGGAGAGACCTGTTATCCAGCTGGTGGCCAGACAGAGACTGGCATCCTGAAATGTGCCCCTACCACTGGAACTTTTACCCAGCAGGATGTTCAACCCAATGACACACACATTTAACAATCATAAACACCAATGTCGGGTTTTCGTTTTCGAGGGGATCCTGCGTTTGTATTGGTTTGACGATCGGGGGGGCGCGTCGGAAAAAGCGAGGGGAACACATTTGGCTCCGCCTTCCTGTTCACGCCCTCATTTACATTTTCCCTCTTGAATCTTCCCTCATTCTACCCCTGCATGCAACTAAAATCCACCCTAATTTCACTGACTACTCATTTCATTCAATTAATTTTTTTATAATCATTCGTTTTCACCAGAAAAAATTCACGTTGTACCACAAAATTCTGTTTTTAGTCACTGTCAGCTATCATGAGATTGAAATCTAATTACGATTCTTCATTTATGGATTTAATTAATATTATTCACTCAATTATTGTTTTCTCATAATTTTACAACTATTTTTTTCAGGAATTCACACCTTGTGGTGATATATTTCTATTGGGGCACTTTGTGAAAAAAAACAACAGTGAAAATATTCGTGAATAAAAAATCAAGTAATGATGTCTCGAATTAATTTCGATTACTTTGCATATATAGTTTGAGGATACGCCGACAGAATGGGAAAATAGAAAAAAAATAAGAAGCACCGGGAATTGATGGTGAGAATGTGAAATTGAAAGAGACTTCACAATGGAACGGTTTAAAGGTTTTCATTCAGGAGAATGATTTATTATCGCGTTGGGCTTGTTTTCTTTTTTTTTTTTTTAGTTTGAGAGTATTTTGAATATCAAGCCATTTCGATGCAGTTAATAAGTTGTTGTCCCACAAAATGCTTTTTTCAATTTTCAATTTTCTCGCTCAGAAATTTCTCTGAGAAAAAATACACCGAGTGGAAAAAAATTGAGGAAAATTTTTTATTGGACCATTGATTCCTTGAATATTCAACAAATGATAACGCATCACAATTTTTTTTCGAAATAATTCGATAGGATAGATTTTCGGGTAAAAAAAAATTGTGGTCGAAATATATTTTCCAAATTTTTAAAAAATTTCTGGAAAACTTTTCAGAAAATTTCTTTTATGAAACAAAAAAATGGGAAAACAAAACAATTTTATTTTTGGGAAAGGTTTTGAGAAATTTTTCAAAAAATTGAGTAGGAAATTTTTTTATAATTTCGATGGTGTATTTTTTGAGAATATCGAAAAATCCAAAAAGTAAGAAAACAACAGTATAATTAAAAGAAGAAATTATATTCGTTAAAGTTTCTAGAAAATGATAAAAGAAATATCCGAAACAACTTTTTGAAAAATTTTTCAAAGCATCTCCGAAAAATACAAATTAAAAAAAAAAATTACTGAAAAGTTTTCCAGGAATTTTTTGAAAATTTGGAAAAAAAATTCCGATTCCATTTTTCAAACCCGGGTTGCTGTGCAAAAAGGAGATTAACCAAGGATTTCCGAATTTTTTAAAGTAACGAATAAATGAGGAGGAAAATTTGTAGTAAACAAATAGAAGGATGAGAGTAGTTTATTAGCATGAAATTGATGAGCGTGTAATTCTATTGTAGTTCGGGTTTATTGTGAGTGTAAAGGTTGAGTTCTGGGGTTCGAGTGAATTTTCATGAGAAAAAATAGCGAAGGCCAGAGATGAAATATATGGGTATATGTGTTCCAGTAATTTTTTGGTGGTTTCAGTGGGCGCATCGATGGTTTGGTGTTGGAAAGGCACCTGTTTGTATACTCGAGTGGCTTCGCCGACCCATAAATCATCAAAGGAATGGACTAACCGCCTTTTATCACCCCGGTATTCTCCACATATAAAGTCTCAAGGGTACATTGAGAGTTGTAGTGGGTTTATTTGAAGATATAAAATGATGAACTGCTGGATGAATGCTTTCTAGTCGGAAAACCGTTCGGTTCTCATCGATGAGTGTGACCAACATCCCATGAGAAATCACATTCGATTTATTCTCCCGGCAATTATGAGAACAATGAGCTTACATTTTGCAATTGCAACGGTGAAAAAAGATAAATAAGGAATCGTATAGCAGAGTCATTGCGATGCAGACTTTCACAATGTGCATGTCATATATCCTCGGGTAAAACAAATAAACCAATGGGTGTCTTGAGAGAGCGGTGAAAAAACATTGATCAATGGCAGGTTTTGTGCACACATTAAAATTATGTTAAAGCTCCATGCAAAAAATTGGAGAAAAATATTGGGAAATTACTGGTGGATCAAAATATTTATCTGACATTTTCCTATTTCGCGTAATTATTAGTCAATAAATTTCATTGTTTTAATAATTCAATTATTAATTCGTTTATTTGGATTGAATAAACGGATTAATTTGTTTTTAATTGAAAAATTAGGAAAATGAACTTGGGGTCTAAAGGAGGGTGGGAGAAGGGAGACAAATATGGAGAGCAATTTTCCAAGGGGTGAAAATGCTCTGGAAACCGAAAATGTGAAGGTTGAATATTTTCACGAGACGATGGAACGACCACAAGAGAATGGAGTCTGGGAAATTGGAAATCGAGGACCATTAGTAACGCTTACCCGTTTACAATAAAAGAAAAATGGCGGTTCGAGGGTTATCCCGGGTGTCACAAGGACGCAAGTGCACAAAAGGTGATGCCTCGTGGGGTTTCATCACAAGGCGTGATCGAGACACACCAGGTCGCCTAAAACATTGCGCCATTTCGTCTGTCTCGGGAAAGAAAACATTTTCCGGGTACAACCGCCATAACAACAATGGGTTCACCCGAATTTATCCTCGGGACACAGGAATTTCCATCGTGAGTTTCTTGGAATGGACGATTGGGCGAAAATGTCCTTTTCCCAAACTAATAAAGAACCATTAATTTATTTATAAATTAGTGAATATCTAGGTAAAAAAAATTGTAATGGGACAATTTTTTAAAAATAAAAAAAAAATTTCTGGAAAACTTTTCAGAATTTTTTTTGAAACAAATGATTTAAAAATAAAAAAAAATTCCTATTCAAATTTTTGAAAAATTCTTCAAAACCTTTTCCAAAAATGAAATTATTTGCTTTCCGATTTGGATTTGTTTCATAAAAAAAAATTCTGGAAAGTTTTCCCGAAATTTTTTGAAAATTTGGAAAAAATATTCTGATTATAATTTTTTTTTTACCGGGATGTGCGATTTTCTCAGTATTTTCCCCACGAAAATTTTTGAAAGTCATTAATTTTTAGAGTGCCATGGGAGAATTATGTTTTCACTGCAATTCTGAGATTCTCCCCGTGATCGGGGGAAACCCCTTCACAATACAGAATGTTCTCTTCCTGCTCTGTGATCTCCCAGGGATTTCTTGTCTGAGTTTGCCTCCCCCAGCACTCGAAATTACCTAACCACCGAGGGATGTCACAATACAGACGTGATTACGAATCCGCCTGTTATCATCTAAACTACGGAGTTGTTAACCATCCCGGCGCCACATAAGTGCACGCTTCACATTCAATATATCATTCGATAATCCGCGTACATCTGATATCGAAGCCACAATTACCATTTTTTCACCACCACGACTCAATCATTCTCTCTCTCAAAAAAAAAAAAAAATCCAATCGATTATTTGCACTACTTTATTTACGAAAGAAATGAACAAGTTTCACATTCCCATTTTTTTAAAGCGTTCCCTATTTTCTTCGCCGAAGTTTCTGCCAAAAATTCACACAAAAAAGTCAGTGGAAGAAGAAAGGGAAGTGATGGGTGGGATGAGCACGAGGGGAATAATGATTCCGATTAGAGTACATCATGCTCGATGGATTGGCGTGGGACGTATTAATTCAACAGACGTAGATATGTGGATTGAGTATACATGGATTGTACGATTCCTCGACAGGGTGCACCTCAAATGTCTGGTAATAGGTGACACGTGTCAATCGTAAGCAAAGCCAACTCTCGTGGCCTGCGGGCATTGTCAAAATCATGGGAGACATGCCAGAATATCCTAGACCTTGCCATTTTTTACAAATGCCCCCTTCATCCATCCCAATGGGTATTAAACGTTAATCCGATTATTCATTCAAACTCCCATTCCCATTTCCCCATCCATATTTTCGCTATTGCGTACAGTAAAATAAATTTCTTCGACTTCTCTTTTTTTTTGTTTTTATCTTTATTTTTTTTTATTGTGTGTGGATTGTTGAGGAACAATTTATGAAGATTTTTTAATTCAAAAATAATCACCGGTACTTTTGACAGGCACTCCTGATACGTCACGATATTTAAAAAATAACGTGCGGCGGGGGAGGGAATAATTTATGAAAAATCGAACAAAAGCCTGAGGAATCGTTATATGTGGATCTTTCAGTGGATACGATGATAAATGGACCCTATAAAATTCCTTTCAACTGAATGCGCGGATGGTGGGCCACGCACTCCTTGATATATTACATTATACAAACCTATTAGAAATATTATTATTAGAAAACGCGTCTCGACTATGAGAAAAGACAGACAAACTGAGAGAAAAATTATCGAAATTTCACGTAATCATTCATCCAATAAATTATATAATAATTGGTAATTGTATAGAATGCATGAACATTTTCAGAATTGAAGTTTTTTTTTCATCTTCAAAGGAATCTGCACGAATTTCTTGAAAATTGATGAATGTCAGCGATTCCCAATTAATTACCGAAATTTTTTTTAATGTCTCTTTGTGTAATTACGATGAATAGTTCACCAGCGGTATCAATTATATAATTAATCATCTTGTTTTGGTATATCTCTCCCGTACACTTATATTCCTGAAACACCTTTCGCATATCTTCTAACCTTATCATATTTATGGGGCCAACTGAAAGTGCATCTACACGGAAACTGCATCGGGCCTCATGCATATTTTGGAATGAAATTTTTTTTTTCGTGTGAGACAATTCACTCGGTTTTCGACGAGAGGAATAATTCTTGTCTTCTTCTTTAATATTATTC